CGTTCAATGTCGCAAACAGCCCAAAAAATATTTTTTGGTCGTCGTCGTCGAAGAGGTCGACCCCCCAGATCCAGTTTGGCTGGTGGCGACATTGCGAAATCTGGGATTGGCAAGCTTGATCGTGAAACTTGCACCCAAGGTGCAGTTGGTCAAGCCAAGCCCATTGCTCTAATAAAAACCCCACGTTTCATTGTAAAGTTTGGAGATACAGGCACCTTTATGTTTGTAAGCGTGATGCTATATGAGAAGTGGTCTTTGTTCATTGCCAAGTAGCCAGACCTTGGAGAGCCAAAGATGCAGAAGGACCTCTTTGTGTAACTCAGCCAAAAAGTCAGGACTTCAGGGACAATGCATGAAAGGTACGCAACCCTCACTTTTATGTCATACATTGGCAGCTAATAGCCACTTTTGTGCATTCCCAACTTTTGTGCATTCTATTGTAGGTGGACAATTCTCCTGCTCTAGACATTCATTTCCATGATTAAAGTAGGTTGATCCGAGTTGATTTGGTTGAGTTACGCTCACACAAGATTACATCGGTTGAGCTACATCGAGCGTGCTTGATGTCCAGAGTGATGTAATCTCTCTTTGACCGCAGCTCAGTCAAATCAGCTCGGATCAACCTACTTTAATCATGGAAATGAATGTCTAGAGCAGGGGCATCGTTCCCATGCAGTGGATCTCGCAACAATAATGATTGGATAAAAGTGGCCGTTAGCTAGCAATACATGCCTGTTCCTAAATGATCCATAAAGTAATTATACAGTGACCCTTTCATTCGTGCAAACGTAGCTGTGTTACACAACGCGACCCTCTGCATCTTTTGCTCTGTCAGGGTCTAGCTACTTCACAATGAACAAAGACCACTCTTCATATAGCATCACGCTTACAAATATAAAGGTGCCTGTATCTCCGAACTTTACAATGAAACGTGGGGTTTTTATTACAGCAATGTGCTCGGCTTGGCCAACAGCACCTTGTGTGAAAGTTTCGCCTTCAATGTCGCAAACAGCCCAAAAAATATTTTTTGGTCGTCGAAAAAAGTTTCAAGAGGTCGACCCCCGGATCCAGTTTGGCTGGTAGCGACATTGCGAAATCTGGGATTGCCCACGATGAACTTCATACTTTGACACAAGATTCCTTTGACCCCGACGAGCACGTTGATCTATTAAAGAGCCCATGTTTGATTGTAAAGTTTGGAGATACAGGCGTCTCCATGTTTTTACTATGTTGTAAGCGTGATGCTATATGAGAAGTGGTCTTTGTTTAATGTAAAGTAGTATGACTATAATAGAGCAAAAGATGCAGAGGGCGTGTTTGTGTAACTTGAGTCATTCAGCACAGGCGATGCATGATTCTTGTACACTATTTAGGAATAGTTCAAAATGCCAGCTAATAACCTTAGTCCTCCCATTCACCTTTGTTACCCGATCCAATGCATACGAACGATTGTCGTGCTCCAACCCAGCATGCCCATCATTTAACTTCCTTGATTTGAGCTAACCTGGTAGTAAGGCAATGGCTGTTGTTGGATCATCATTCTCATGTAAAGTGTAAAATGGCACACAACCTTTTGCTATATGTGAGGATCATTTCTTTTATTTATGTGTACTATTGTCTATTGCGAAGGTGATGATAATAATGGGTGGATGGTGTGTGTGGGGTCATTGAGTGGCCTCAGTGTAATAGCAGTAGGGGATTTAAACTTGGGGGCGGCAGCTCCACGACTTGAGACAACGCTTCTCTTTTTTTCTCCCACCTTTCCTTATTCCATTCACGACATCTCGATCAAGGTAATGTACTATAGAAGAGTGCTCTTGTTGGCTGTGAGGTGTTAATGTAGTTCTGAACATGCATTGTCAGGGAGAGTGAGTGTGTCCAAGTGCTGAGGAATGAGCGTGGTTGGTGGTTGGTGGTTGCCATGGCGATATTGTTGCTTCCTCTTGTTCGTTGCTTTTCCCGCTCTACGCTTGGTGTCAACAGGTACATTCAGAGTCCAATGTTGCAGCAAAACTTGTTCCATTGACGCGTTAGCTTGCATAGGGGACAAGTTTGGTTTCAAGGCGTTGGCTGGTTTGGCGTTCTGTTTCGGCTCAACTATACTACACCATGGTTTTCGGTTTCCAGTAACCAACAACAACGGGTCTTTGTGTATATGGAAAAGGCAAGTACAATGAAACAAGCAATGAAAAGGGTGTTTATTGTGCGTGTGTGCTAATAATGAATTGAATAGGTTTCTTTGGTCAGGCAATGCAACTTGGGGGCATCATCATCATCTCTTTGGGTTCAAGTCCCAGCCTGTATCAAGTGGCCGCTGCGTCGCTCTGCACTAGCCAAGCGTGCTGGAAAAGCTTCTTGGAGCGCGTCCAGGGCTCTATAGGCCTGCGTTTGAGTTGATGGGTCGATGACGATGGATTTTTGGAAGAGCATGGTCACCGTGTTGAGGTAAAAGGGGATTTGCAACAGCTTGTGAATGTGTTTAACCAACAAGCTCTTCTCGTGATAGGCTCGTTCTTTCCCTTGAGGATTTCTTTTCATGAGGTGGGAAAATGATTGGAAGGATTGGGGATCATTCTTTCTTTGGGGAGGATGAATGAGGACAACGATGAGCCTGGACTCTACGTAAGTGATGTTTTTCCTTACCATGGATCGAACTGGCCTTGCGTGATTCGTGCAGTGCCTTCTCAAGAACAAGGGATCGCGCAACGTTGCTCGTATGGTGGTGATTTGGTTTGTGAATTCCTTCTGATTTGCTTTCTTCCTTTGAGAGGATCGAATAATGGTATACCAAATCGTCATCATTCCCGGTATCTGATGGTCTAACTTGGCTGCTTTTTACTTATAGAAACGACAATTACGACAATTACGAGTTTGATGATGATTACAACAATGGCGACAATAACACAAGCAAGCATGGTTTACCTTTCTCTTGCCCAAGTTGATGTTGATTGATCGTATTCCATATCGCGTTGACATCGAACAAGAAACCTGCAGGATCGCATTCTTTTCTACTTGTGACCCCTTGGCTATTTGTGATGGCGACTTCGAGTACGACAACGATGACGACTATGTGGGAGCACGACTACGAGTACGACTACAAATGATGGTGAGTAAGGGAGGCGAGGTTGGTGGCAAAGTAGGTAGCCATAGTTACATAAAGGAAATAAAGGATTGTTTATTATCGCACTTGGACTTTGCTAGCTTATCCCTTGTTGCATGCTTGTGGATTACATAATAACATTGCTTGGATTCGATGAAGTAATAAAGGTGGATGTGTGGGTCCCGCCCATTGTTATCATACACACTGTGTGCATACCTTCCGAGAGGCAATCATCATCATCATCATCCATTCGTGCAGCAATCTGTCAATGAGGCGTGTATCATTTTACACTGTACACGATAATGATGACCAATAACAGCAACAACATCCATTGCCTTACTACCAGGTCTCCAAGCAGCCTTTTTCTAGAATGACTTACAACAGGCATAGCTGCAGATCTCTTAGGATGGCTGTTGAAAGTAAATGGCATTATCATGTGAACGATGGCCAATGTATCGTGTTTTTAGTGTCGGTATGTGGATCAGCGAAGAGTAGACAACCTAATATGTGGATACAACTTTTGACTTTGAAATGTGCTGTACAATATACAAGATCAACAAACAATGATCATCACTCATGGATCAAACAATGAGAGAAATCAAGCGCAACTAGCCCGTCCATTAGGCACCATGATTTATCAATCCGCCCCATCACCATCAACCACATCAAAAGTCCATGCACATGTTGTGTTAATAAAAGTTCAAACGCCTGGTATGATTCTTATTTTGCTTCCTAGCATGCTTCTAATATCCTCAAGGAGTGGGTCGTTTAGGCGGTAAAAAGGACGAAGGAATAGCACTCGTAAATTTGGGCATTGCAGCAGACTCAACAAAGCCATTGGCTTGGAGGATTCGAGGAACCTTGGAATGTCCAATTCAAGTGAGGTGATGTTTAGCTTGGATAGTTGTAAAAAGACGTCGTCAAGAATAAGGTCATCACTCCATATATGTAAATGCTGCAATTGATCCAACTTGCCGATAAATCCGAAACACCTTACATGCTCACTCTTGGTATTATCCGCCTCCTTCATCAAAGGCCAACTGATACTCAAAGTCGCAAGTCGTGGCAATGTTGTCAATGCATCCAATGCATCATTGGAAAGTCGTATGTGCTTGGGAAGTGATAGTGTGTGCAATAAGGAATCAATGCTGCCATGGTAGTGAATAAATCGCTCAATGCCTCCCATATCCATGGTGGTAGGATTTCCATTCAACCCGAATGTGAGAGACTCAAGTTCGCAACGACCAACAAGGTCATCAAATAATACACTCGTGTCCACCTCAGTGTCATCCATGCTGATCTCCATTTTTGTTAGATGGGGCGATCCTCGTGCCACCCACCTTGCCATGAGCATATCCTTAGGATCGATTAGATATTGCGTGTAAGTTGTCATTTTGGTGAAAAGGGGGTCACCAGCACCCTGAATTGCATGAGCAAGAATTGATGTGTCATATGTATCGTTGTCGTTATCGTCATGTCTCATGCGGCCCCTAGGCACTGGAATGTAAAAGTAGACATGTTGTAAGGTGTGGCTGTTGCGTCTCATGAAATCCACCAGGTCTTCGAGATCCACAAAGAAATCATTCGCCTCATCGCAGTCAACGTAGAATGTATGCACACCGACACGATCACCGTCACCATGGTCGCTTGTAGTCGTAGTAGCCGTGGGAAGATAGAAATAGGAGTCATCATCATCATTGCATATAACAACTTTGAGATTTGGGCAATTGTCTTGGAGGATCTTCACATCTTTGAAGTCATAAACAGGATTTGCCGCAAAAACTTCCAACCCAGGTAATCGTTTAGTCATATCATGGATATCCAATTCGTCATCAAAGTGCGAAAAGAGCAACCTTTTGAGATTGGTATGGCATTCAGGTGCGGTATCCATTCTAATGTCCACATTGCGTATCGTCAAATGTACGAGGTTTGGGCAGCTACTGAGAATCTGACCAAGACAACCACGGTATGCATATGATTGGACTTCCAGGTGTGTCAAAGTAGATCCCAACGTTGTAAGTGCATCAATGGTTCTTCCAATCATCTCGTAATTATAACCAGGACTGCATAAACAACATCAATGAATAGGCTGCTTTTTGGTAGGGTGTAATGTAGGTAAGACCACTTACTCTTTTGCGATTAATGTTTGTAACGAAGGAAACCTTGCTTTCGACGTGAGTTGAGGGAATTCGGTAGCATCATTTTGGAGCGTAAGGGAAGTACAACGTGGTGCAAGATACTCAGCAAATCATCATTGCTGCCAAGGTCGTCTTTAGCCGTGCTGAATACATGCAATTCTCGAACACAGGATAAGAGCTTCTCTCGCCATACACGTGACACGTCAAGATATTCTCGGATTTCACTTGGTGCCATCTCTCCCTGAGACAAGATCCATGGTGCGATATTCATAGTGATATCCAAAGGGAGTTCATTGATGAAATGATCCTTTTGCTATCACGTTCTTGAGCCATGGATCGCGCTTCGACAAGTCGTTGACGAGAGGGATCAGATAATGCAACAACAGCCAGCCCTTGATCATAGATCTCAACCGCCGCCTTTTGTCGTCCTTGAAGTGAATACACGTGACCAGCACACAAATATACAGCTACCGAAGAAGGAACCAGTTGTCGCATCCAAGCAGCATCCTTCAAGGCTAACTCAAAGTTGCACTGGTTGCCAAGGCTCTTGCACGCGTGTCGAGGTGAGTGAGTTGTTATTGTACGCATTGTTGAAGACGACATGTCGAATCGGCAATGACACTGGTGCATGAGCCTGACTTGATGGCAAGGATCGGTTGCTGTGTAAAATCGCTCCATACGCTGACCATGGTTGATAAAAGACAAAGGACTGTAGATTGAACCAAGCTGGATCGTCCGCCCGGACCATTGGCTTGTGCGACTATCACAAATGCCATCATTTTCAGCCGCAGACAATGGATCACCCCAATTAGAATCATTCTATTATCTTGTTTACTGATATATAAAGATAATGTGCATCATTGGATCATCTTACACCCTTGTCGCCATGAGTAAAATGGACCATCTTGTAAGAAGCGGTACGTAACGGATCTTGGCTATGTTATGTACAAATCCACGTCCGTTTATTATACATTTCAAGACTTCTCGAAAACAATGGTTTTTATATCATCTAGCTCGTTCTGCATTTGAACAAGTTGGCCCTGCAGATGTCAAGAGTAAATGTTAACATGCTAGTACATCTTCTGCTCCATCCCATTCGACCGTTTACTCACAGCTAGCGATTCAAATACTTGTGTTTGTCGTTCCTTCCTTGCACCATCTGCTGTTTTTTCATCCTATGGGCACTGGGATCAGAACTTCCACTACCATATACATCATCATCATCCGTTTTCTCACCTTCACATCCTGGATCTTCTCGCGCTCTTCAAGCTTAACCGGAAGCTGTTCTTCCTTGATATCTTGAAAGTGATCATGATGCTTCTTGATGGTATCCTGTGCATGAGCTAAACATGAGCATTAGATAAACAGCACTCTGCCTGCTCGATCCATCCATCCAATATGTAACTTACTCAGCATGGATGCCAATTGATTGATTCTCTTTTGCAAAAATGCAGCCTTGGTGGTACGCTTTGACTCATCATAAGCAGCTTTCAACCTTTGTAATTGAAGAGAGAATTCCATCTATAGTCCATAAACTCATTACCCAGAGCACGTTGGAAACCCTCCTCATCAGATCTTACCTTTTCCGATCGTTCTTCCAATCCATGCTGTACATGTTCCTTGTCGGCTTCAAGTCGATGAATATCCATATCCTTAACCTTAAGTTGCTGAACAAGGTTGCTTGCTGCATTCTTTCCAAATGCCATCAATCCGCTTGTCATCGTGGTGATCTCCACAAGTGTACACTTACATGCTCCGACTCATATTGATGCTGTAAGATGCTCAATTGCTGTTCATACATGTCGGCCTTCCGATTTTCCATCGCATTACACATAGCAACGGTCCGTATTTCTCTCACCGTCTGCATAAGCTCCAAGGTGTCGATTGTGTCTCTCAACACGTCGTCCGGATATTCCTGTTTCCACAATGTCAGCTTGCGATGGTGGATCTTTTCCAGGTACTCACATTAACAAAAGCAAAGACGACTGTTTTACATGATCCATAAAAGCATTCGGCTGTGATTTTGGTAAGCAAGTGATCCGTGTCGTTGATGATGCTGCCTTCATAGTTCACATTTGCGTAGTTGTTGAGAAATTGCACTACATATCATAGCAACAGGGTGAATCAATAACAGCTGCGATAATAGGATAGATCGATATTTACCAAATTCTGCGAATGAAGCACTCTGATCGGATGGTTGACAGAAGGGGAATAACAAATCGATAACGGTAATCGTTCCAAGGAGATGTTGACTGCCTGATAGCCGAATCTTCAATACAAAGGGCACCCTTGCTCCGTATTTGGGGATCTTCCATATGTCATCAGCGTTGTCGACCGGCTCCATTATCGCCTGCCAACCATTCTTGTCGATTTCTTGTTCTTTGTCACCATCGATGTAAGCACAAAGAAATGAAGGAACAAAGAATGTGCACTTAACTCTTCAACTTGCGGTTCACTCGTAGATCGTAGTAATCCTTCTCATCAAGGCCTAAATAGCTGAATGGGTCCAGGTAAACATTGACGAAGTGTATAATCCCCCAAACCATGTAAGATGTAATCACTCACGCGTAATGCAATTGGAAGGATCGGTTGCCATCTTGTTCTTTTGATTCATTGAGTTTTTCATCGAGGCGAGATAAGATTTGATGTATGATTGTTTGTCTATGTTTCATTGTTAAAAGGAGATGAACATGGGCCACCAAGTCGCATGACACATACCTATTCTTGAATGAATCCAAAGGCCTATACGACTATATCAATACTTCACGATTTACCCCGTTCCCCAATCCTATATTGCTTACCCTGTGCTCATGAATACTGCAGCCGAGTTATACCCTGTACCGTATGATGAGAATCGCCTATCAATAATACCACAAATTATGGCAAATCATACCATCAAGAGCCATCTGAACCAGATCTTCGACTTCAGCTTTACACTGCTCAGGCTGTGTCACACACCGAGAAAAGTAGTATCGTGCTCTACATGTTTACCGTGAGATTGTTGATATAAAAGAACCTTCGTCTTGTCGTGGTGTACCTGATGGGTCCAAACGCGGTAATGTCTATACGCGGCGATCAGTACGAGCTTGAGAGTATGAGGGTGTTTTCAAAAGTGAACCTACCAGAAGGAATGTCAACCGTAATAGAAGATCCCGGGACAGTGGTGTTGATTCGAAGACACGGTGCAGATGCCGATTGCGTAGTAGTTGGTGGCTGTACGTAAGCAATTGTGTGGATCTTGGACATGGCCATTGTGAACAAAGAGACGAGGAGGAGACAAAGGCGGTTCGAGCGCTGTTTGTTTCGTTGCTATTCCTCTTATGCCGCTCCACGCTTGGTGCAACCATGAAACATTTAGAGTCTTACATTCAGCCGATCTTGACCTATTGACGACGTTGCAAGCTTACCATGCTGTGATGGGTGTACAAGCTGGCACAGCTGACCTTGTTCGGTGGGATTCTCCTTATGTCGTGCTCGAGTGGATCAATGGAACGGTGTTTGTGAAAAGGCGATTACAATGATACAGGAGGAGCAATTGTTTTATATAGTCTTATCCTTTACCTATTCATGTAAACGTGTTAGCTAAAAGAGTAAAATAGAAGGTGTTAATAAAAAAGCGGGAATGAGCGATACAACAATAGGAAAATGTATGTATTCCATAATGAGGATGACTTTGTTTAAATGCACCAGAGGAAGACAAGAACAGCAAAAGAGAAGTCATGTGACCCACCCATTTCAGTGTTACGACTACCCGTAGTGAGTTTTACGGGTAATCGTGCCGAAGCTTGCATTGTTCGGTTACACTATGCCCCTCTCCAACGCATGGCATAGATTACATAGTAATCCCATCCATAAAATCTTAACATCCATAGCAACACAATTTATGCGAAAACATAGAGTAGCTACCATGATACACTGGGTATTTTACTTTCTAGTGCCCTTCTAATATAGGTATCTTTTGGATTGCAGGCAGGGTAAATTTGTAGATCTTCTAATTGCGGGCATTCCATTAGGGTCAATAAGCTAGTTGGGGCCTTGTTCATGAGGAGGAATGACATGACTAATCGAAGGGACTTGACTTTTAGATTGGACAGCCGTACAAAGACGATATCAGGTATTGGATCAGCGATGAATAATACTAGATGCAGTAATTGTGGACTTCTCAACCCCAATTTTTGAATGAAGCGTGAAACCTTTTCGCATCGGTATCTTCACCTTGCACCAAAGGCAAGCTTAATCCCAAGGTTGTGAGCTGTGGCAGTGTTGTCAATGCGTCCAACGCATCATTGGATAGGCGTACGTCTTGTGGAAGTATCAACGTGTGTAAGTGCGAATCAATTGTGTTGTGATATTGAATAAAACGCTCGATGCCTCCCATGTCATCTTCCAAAGGATCCATGATTGTCAACTTGACGATAGCCGATTCAAGTTCGCAAAGGCCAATCAGATCATCAAAGAGTGCACCCACATTAGCGTTCATGGTGTAAGTCGGGTACAGGTCCAACTTTTTAAATGGGGTGAGTTCCGTGCAACCATGCTGGCCATGCGTAGATGCTGCTGGTGGCGTATTTGTTGAGTATAGCTTGTCATTCGATTGAACGTAGTCAAAGCATTGCTATCTGAGCCATGATCAAGATGTTGTTGTTGTTCACCACCGATAGGGAGTGACCCATAAAAGCAAATGTCTTGTAATGTATGGCTGTTTCGTTTCACTAATTCCATCACATCATCTACCACGCCATGATCCTCATCCAACCAATGACCATCATCCTTGATTAAAAATGAACGCACACCAACAGCAATAGTAGTAGAGTCATCCGACGATGGCGGCGTACAGTCATCATCATCATCATCACAATCTTGGCTACTATTACCGATGACCCTGAGCTTTGGGCAATTGCTTTGGATGATCCTCAAATCACCCGCATAGTAAAAAGGTGTAACCATAAATCTTTCCAATTCAGGGAATCTCTTGGTGATATCATCCACGTCGAATTCATCTCCATGATTTATCATAAATGATAACGATTTCATATTGGGGCAGCATGTGGGTGCTGTAGACATGTTTGTATCAACCCAACTCATCTTCAAATCAACAAGGTGGGGGCAGCTTCTGATAATATTGGCAAATGGGATGTCGCATCCTTCTTCAACAAAGATTGTCAAGTGGGTCAAAGTTGTAGCTTGAAAAGAGATAATGGTGTCCAGGATAAGGCCACTGTTGACATCATCTTCATCTTCATCTTCATAGCTGTAACGAGTAAGGAACAAGGGCCTAAGGAAATGAATCAGATGTAAGGGATAACATAGAGGTATCAACATACTACATGCTTACCGGAGTATGCTCAAAACTCGTAATGATGGGAACGGTGTATTCGACATGAATTGACGTAACCAAGACGCTTCACTGCGGAGAGTAAGAGCGGTACAATAGGGTGCAATCAGCCCAAGCAAATCATCACAATCGGTCGTGCCTTCAATATGCAGATCTCGTATGCACATCAATAATCTTTGTCGCCATACACGTGAAACGTCAAGGTATTCTTGGATTTCACTGGGTGCTATAATCTCCTTAGACAAGATCCACGATGCAATGTTCTCAATGATGTCGATAGGGAACTCCTTGATGAAATCGATTCTTTTGCTATCACGTTCTTGAGCCATCGATCGTGCTTCCACCAGTCGTTGATAAGAGGGATCAGATAATGGAACAGCATCCAGCCCCTTGTCGTAGATATCGATCGCCGCCTTTTGTCGTCCTTGAAGTGAATACACGTGACCTCCACACAAATAGCCCACCGACGAAGAAGGACCCAGTTGTCGTATCATAGCAACATCGTTTAAGGCTGCTTCAAAGTTGCCGCTGGTTGCCAAGGCTCTTGCACGCTTGTCAAGGTGAGTGAGTTGTTCTTGTACGCAATGTTGAATACAGCGTGTCGAATTGGCAACAACATTGGCGCATGTGCCTGAAGTGATGACAAGGATCGGTTGCTCGGTGACATCCCTCCACCCGTTGGCCATGTTGGTAAAAGACAAAGGACACTGGGATTATCAGCAACACGACTCGGCGGACTTGAAGGATGTTACGAGCGAAGCATTGATGGAAGTTGTCAACTCCACCACTGGGAAAGCAATAAAACTAATGAGCATTGGACTTTGAAAACCACATGGCATCGCCGTACATAAATATCAGGCACATCCATGACAACCATTTATGTATCTGCCCAAGAGACCAAATTCTATGGATACTTTAAAAAGCAATCAATTCGTATTCAGCCAGATCTCCTACTTCTCATTGGTTTACTCGATACAGTGATAACGAAGGCAAGGAGTATCACACATCACTAAATCAAAATAGTAATATTTTCCTGCGGGCGAATTTGGCCCGGATGAGAGGCTATAACTAAATCGCGAATATCACTAATTCAAGTATCACTGAATGTAGTGGGCACTGTACGTCCACCATGTGTATTTACGAAAGTGCACTTTCTCTATCTTGTTTTCTAACATGTTCCTAATCTCGTAAATGAGTGGTTCCTCTTCACGAATGAAATGATTAACAAACAGCTTTTGTAAATTTGGGCATTGCAGCAGGCTCAATAAAATGGTCGGCGTGGGAAGCTTCAAGATGGGTATGTATAAGTTAAGTGAGATGATGTTTAGCTTGGATAGCTGTAAAAAGACGTCGTCAGGGACAAGCTCATCGCTACATATCTCCAAATGTTGCAGTCGATCTAACTTGCCAATAAAATCAGAGCACTTTTCATGGTCACCCTCCTCCTCTTGATCCTCCTTCATCAAAGGCCAGCAGAAACTCAAGTTCCTAAGTCGTGGCAACCTTGCCAATACATCCAATGCATCCTTGGAAAGTCGTGTGTGCTTGGGAAGAGTTAATGTATGCAGTAAAGAATCAAAGGTGACATGGTATCGAATAAATCGTTCAGCGCCTTCCATATCCATCGTGGTAGGATTTCCATGCAATTCAAAAATGACAGACTCAAGTTCGCAATGGCCAATCAGATCGTCGAATAATGCGCTTGTGTCGATCTCATGCGGCCGATAACACCGACTTAAGATTAGTTTGATTTCCTTTAAATGGGGAGATTCTCGTACAACCCATCTTGTTAATAGTATATCACTATAGTCGCCTATACAATTGACGAAAGTTGTCATGGACTTGAAGAGAGCACCGTCAGCAGCTTGAATTACATGGTTAAGGATGGGTACATTGTCGTCACCTCCACCCAGGTCAATGTAAAAGTAGACATGTTGCAAAGTGTGGCTGTTGCGTCTCATAAAATCCATGACGTCCTTGAGATCCACCGTCCAGTAGACGTACTCATAACAATCAACGTAAAATGTATGCACACCGATACAATCCTGCTGATCACCATAGTTTTGGCTTCTCCTGGTGGTGGTGGTAGTAGTAGGTACGTAAAAATAAGACGCATCATAATCATTGCACCCAACGACTTTGAGATTTGGGCAATTGTCTTGGAGAATCTTCAAGTCTTCGGTCTCATAAAAAGGATTCGCTACAAATACTTCCAATCCAGGTAATCGCTTGGTAATATCATCGATATCCGAGTCTTCATCATACAGCAAAAACAGCAGTCTCTTGAGATTAGGATGACATTCAGGTCCTTTATCCATATCAGTATCTACACTGTCCATCTGCAAATGCACGAGGTTCGGGCAGCTGCTGAGAATTTCACCAAGCCAAACACCGTATGCCGATGTCGTGATTTCCAAGTGTGTCAAGGTTGACCCCAACGATACAAGAGCAGCGATACCAGGATTAGAGTCATCGTCGTCATCGTCATTAGCACGTGGACTACATCAACAACAACATCATCATCAATGAATGGATGCTACATACTAGGTAGGGTGATGGATATTCAGAGAATACAATACTTACACGTTTGCGATCAAAGTCTGTAATGAAGGAAACTGTGTTTTTGACACGAGTCGAGGGAGTCCATGTGCCTTAATTTGGAGCGTAAGTGCAGTGCAATGGGGTGCAACCTGCTCAAGTAAATCATCATCATCGGCAAGATCATCATCGGCCATGCTTTCAAGGTGCAGTTCTCGTATGCACAGCAAAAGTCGTTCTCGCCATACACGTGACACGTCAAGGTATTGTCGTATTTCATTCGGTGCTATCATTCCTTCACACAAGATTCTTGGTGCAATGTTCTCAATGATATCAATAGGGAACTCCTTGATGAAATCGATGCATATGCTATCTCTCTCTTGAGCCATCGATCGTGCTTCGACAAGTCGTTGATGAGAGGGATCCGATGATGAAACAGCAGCCAGCCCTTGATCATAAACGTCAATCGCCGCCTTTTGATGTCCTTGAAGCGAATACACGTGACCTCCACACAAGTATCCCATTGCCGAAGAAGGAACCAGTTGTCGTATCCTAGCAACGTCATTTAGGGCTGCTTCAAAGTTGGCGCTGTTTGCCAAGGCTCTTGCACGGTTGTCAAGGTGAGTGAGATGCTCTTGTACGCTTTGTTGGAGATGGCGTGTCGAATCGGCAACGACATTGGGGCATGTGCCTGACTTGATGGCAAGGATCGGTTGCTCGGTGAGGCTGCTCCATTCGTTGACCATGGTTGATAAATGAGAAATGATGTTGAACCAACAAGTTCATAAGCGTTGTTATATAGTATGATGGCCGCCAATCTCACATATGAGCGTCTTGTACGACTACCACCACACGATCCTCATCTTTAGTCATAAACAATGAGTCGCACAAATTAGGATGCTGTTGTTTGCTATGTCAATAAAGTACATCTGTGAATCATCTTATTACACGCACGTCATCATGGGTCATCTTGTAAGAAGCGGCAGCGGGATTGTCATATATGTAGCGCAGCACAAACCTAATCTGCTAAGCCGACGGCATCCTGGGTCATGGTTTCATCCGTTTCTGATTAATGAATACAACAGAGAATCCATCAACGATGCCGCATTACGCGCTAGTCGTTTAGTGATCCATCTCCAACCACTGCCAGCTTGATATTTTTCCGTGTGCACAATCTTTTCATTGCACCATCCTCATTCATTCCGATCTCTCTCGTTTTGTTGATGTACATCCACATAGTTTATCCACGATGTAGCTATTCTTTATGCTATGTGATATCGTCCAAATAGGAATGTTGCTGTGCTTGGTTATGCATTCTCGCAGTTTTGATCTCGTCATATATACCCGTTGGTATGGGCGCATTCGTACGATTGATACATATTCACATTGGCGTTGTGTTGTTCACTGCCATAGGCCAAGTTCTCGTCGAAAGCCGTTATCAACCCCCTGCATAACACATGTGCGCTTCATTGTATCAGAAAGGTATACACGCTTCTTACAATACTGATAACGGAACCACGCATCCATATTTATTATCCCATGTTAGCGTTATCACTATGTAATCCACAAACATCCAACAAATGGATAAGCTAGCAAAGTGCAAGTGCGGTAATAAACAATCCTTTATTTCCTCTACATGGCTATAGCTACCTACTTTGCCACCATCCTCACCTTCCTCGTCCATCCTCATTCGTAGTCGTAGTCGTTGTCGTAGTCGTGCTTGCGGTCGTGCTCCCACATAGTCATCATCCACGCCGTACTCAAAAGTCGTAATCGCATATATCCAAAAGGGCACAAGTAGAAAAGAATGGGACCCGGCAGGTTTCTTTTTAGATGTCAGCGAGATATAGAACTTGATCAAGCAACACCACCTTCGTCAGAGAACGGCAAAAGCGTGCTTGTTTGTTTCATTGTGGTCATTGTCGTAATCATTGCCATTGTCATGATCATTGTGGTCATTGTCGTAATCATCGTTTCTACAATTAAGAAAGCAGGCAAGTAAGACCATCTGATACCGGGAATGATACCGATTTGGTATACCATTAGGCGATCCTCTCAAAAGAAGAAAGCAAATCAGAAGGAATTCACAAACCAAATCACCACCATACGAGCAACGTCGGGCGATCCCTTGTTCTTGAGAAGGCACTGCACGAATCACGCAAGGCCAGTTCGATCCATGGCAAGGAAGGACATCACTTACGTAGAGTCCAGGCTCATAGTTGTTCTCATTCATCCTCTCCAAAGAAAGAATGATCCCCAATCCAATCCTTCCCATCATTTCACACCTCATGAAAAGAAATCCTCAAGGGAAAGAACGAGCCTATCAGGAGAAGAGCATGTTGGTTCAACACATTCACGGCCGAGCTGTTGCAAATCCTCTTTTACCTCAACACGGTGACCATGCTCTTCCAAAAACCCATCGTCATCGACCCATCAACTCAACTCAGGCGTATAGAGTCATGGACGCGTTTCAAAAACCTTTTTCAGCAACCGGTCGCTTGACACAGGGTGGGACTTGAACCCAAATAGATGATGATGATGCCCCAAGTTGCATTGCCTGACCAAAGAAACCTATTCAATTCATTATTAGCACACACACAATAAAAACCCTTTTCATAGTTTGTTTCATTGTACTTGCCTTTTTCATATACACAAAGACCCCTTGTTGTTGGTTACTGGAAACCGAAAACCATGGTGTAGTATAGTTGAGCCGAAACAAAACGCCAAACGCGCCAACGTCTTGAAACCAAACTTGCTCTCTATACAAGCTGACGTGTCAATGGGACCAATTCGGCTGCAACATTGGACTCTGAATGTACCTGTTGACAGCAAGCGTAGAGCGGGAATAGCAACGAGCAAAAGGAAGCAACAATATCGCCATGGCAACCACTAACCACTAACCACGCTCATTCCTCAGCACTTGGACACACTCACTCCCTGGCAATGCAAGTTCAGAACTACATTAATACCTCACAGCAAACAGGAGAACTCTTTTATAATACATTGCCTTGATGGGGATGTCGCGAATGAGATAACGGAAGAGGAAGAGACGGTTGTCTTTTAGATGATTTCGTCCCCGCTGTCATTATCATGTCCAAGCGGGGCACAGTTACATCATGCATGGTTGTGTGCCTGCCAATGGAGGGTTGTGGCGGCCTTCAGCCTTCGGCTTCAATAAAGAACATCTATGCTGATCATATCCATCGCCTAGCAATGCATTCGGCCTATTTCGGAAAATGTGTATTTTCACCCTTTACATGATGAAAATCGATTACTCTGCCACAAAACCTTGGAGCCAAGGGCGTAAACCTTTTAAACGCCAATGATGCAGCACCATTTACAGCTGAAAGTGAGAATGGGTATGGGTAGCATTTTTTTATCCCTGCATGTTGTTTACTGCTTTTGCATGCAGTAACAAGGCGTACACTTATAAGATTATCAATGTACCGAGGCCATCACCATCATTCGATGATCATGCAAGAAGAGCATACAATGTCTGCTGTGGATTTACGATATGTACACCATACCATTTTTTGGATCTGAATGCATGTATGTATGATCATGCTTACCGTATCGATAGCAACACCGGTCCCTTCAGGAATACATATAAAATGGCATCCAGCACGGCGGCGTTTTCGAAATTCATCCTATTCTCAACATGAAGTCTTCTTTCCTCGGTGCCATTATCATTGCAATTGGGGTTATCAACAATGTTTCCGCTGTTCAATATGTGGATAAAGAAACGTTTAAGTATTACCAAAACAAGTGCCATGACACCCCTTTCGAAAAGTGCGATACCGTTGGATACTGCATCCCTGACCAGGGTAAGCCAGCAACATTCTGGTTCGCATTTCGTATACTAAAATTCCATGTCGATATCGATTTAGCGTACAATGGAGATCTAAAATTGGTCCAAAACTGCTTGATCGATTTCAAAAAATATGATGTATCAGGCAGCCCCCCCGCTGGCATGGTTAGGGACGAAATTGACTACTGACAGCATCTAAAGGACTGGTGGTGGCAAGGTATCACCACAATGACTATCTTATCAAGCGCAAATTCACATTGGAGCGTTTTGCTCTCCCCAATAAACAAAGTTAATTTTACCATTACCATTACCATTTCAGCAGCTTGTCTCATTCAGCCAGCCCACATTTCTTTCACACGTGCCATGCTTAACATCTCAGCAAAAATTTGACATGTATGGTTATCATTCAGATGATAGCATGTGTGACAATGTACCTGTTTTCAAATGAAATTCCTTTCAAGGAATGATGGTGTTATGAAGCAGCCATGGATCGATGACCTTAACCTCCTTGAATGATGATGATTATTGACACAGGAGCCTTCTTTACCCCTGCATATTGTTTACTGCAGCACCATGTTGCACCCAAGTGTACCCTTTTAAGGTTAACTATGCATCAAAGTGGATACGCACATGTTAGATTTTCTTGTGCTTTCGATACATCCTCCTCGGGAAGGTGTAGTGATTATGCACCTGCATGCATGATCAGGCTCACGTATATACAAAGGGATAACGATGCTCCGTTTTTGACAGGTTCCATTTTTGTCTCCCAACCATTCTCGCCAATGTCTTGTTCTTTGTCACCGAAATAAGCACGATGGAAACAAAGATCAAGGTATCCACTTGCTCTTAAATTTTCGGTCCGTTCATGCATCGTGGCAGGTTCCATCGCTACCAGAAACTAGATGAAGCCGAATTTATTCAGGTATGGTATTAGAGTATCGAATTCCCAAACGTGAGCCATTCACTCACGCATAGCCCAATCGAGTAACTCGATTGCCCTCCTGTACCTTGTGATTTCATCGGTCAGCTATGTACCTCCCATTTACGCAACACCCCAACCCGCAACATGATTTGAGCTTGCATCGTTTGGTTACACAAAGTCTCAACGTGTAAAATGTCGTCAGAAGCTATGCCACAGATCCCCATCCGTATAGAACCACATGCATGTAACATTTATAGTGAAACAAATCATACAAAGAGATAAAGCAGAATTTTATTACCACGTTACGCTGGGTATTTTACTCTTTAGCATCCTTCTAACGCATTGGCTGATTGGGTCCTTTGTATTGCAGGGAGGATGAATATGTAGCTCTTGCAGCTGTGGGCATTCCAGTAGGTTCAATAAGCTTGCTATTGTGTTGCTATTCAATCGTATGATCAATGTAAGCGACTTGATGTTGAGCTTGGACAGCTGTACAAAAACGATATCAGGCATTATTTCTTCACTGCTGGATATTTCTAGCTGCGCTAGTTGTGGACATCCCAAGCCGAGTTTCTGAATGAAGCGTGAAATTTTTTCACCATCCCCATCACCCCGATCACCATTTCTTAAATCGTCTTCCTCTAGCACCAGAGCCAATCGAATCCCAACGCTTTGAGCCGTGGCAGTGCTATCAATGAGTCCAACGCATGAGAGGATACATATAAGCCTTGTGGAAGTATCAACGTATGTAATTGCGAATCGATGGTGCTATGATACTGAATAAAGCGCTCGATGCCCTCCGCGTCTCCAAGTTCATCCCGACATGGCAATCGGACGATGGCCTCTTCAAGTTTGCAACGGCCAATCAGTTCATCAAAGAATACACCCACATCGGTTTCCTCATTGCCAGTAGAAACAAGCTCAAATTTTTTCAAATGAGGTGATTGCTGTGCAACCATGCTGGCCATGATTTCATGCTGCAATGTGTCTATCTCTTGCGAATAACTTGTCATCCGATTGAATAGAGGCGGGTTGCTAGTATCAAAATCTGCAACGTCCTCAAATCGTTGATTGAACGGGAACGACGCGTAAAAGGAGACGTCTTGCAATGTGTCGCTGTTTCGTTGCATGAATTCCATCACGTGATCCATATAGCCATGATCCTCATTCAGCCAATGATTCTCGTTATCCTGAACATGAAACGTACGCACACCGGGAGTAGGCGTATTGTCATGATCGCTTGTCGCTGGTAAATCACCGACACGATTTTGGGTACCAATGACTCTAAGGTTTGGGCAATTGTTTTGGATGATCCTCAAATCGCTCGCATAGTTAAAAGGCGAAACTACGAGTCTTTCCAATCTTTGGGAATCGTTTGGTGATGTCATCCATATCAACGTTTTGCTCTTTCTTCAACAAAACGACAACGATTTCATATTGGGGCAGCGTCTGGGTGCAGTTGACATGTTTGTATCGATCCAACTCGTCTTCAAATCAACAAGGTTTGGGCAGATGCTAAAGATATCGCCAAAGCGAATGCTCCAACGATCGTCAACAGAGATGGTCAAGTGTGTCAACGTTGCTGCAGATTGAAAAGATACAATGGTGTCGGAAACGTGGCAACTGCCATAATCTTCTTCATCATCTTCATAGCTGTATGGACCAGGACTAGGAAAATGGATCAATTTCAGGTCTACATACGTATCACATCATACTTACTCGATAATGCTCAAACCCCGTAACAAAGGGAACGACCGCGCATCAGATATGAATTGACGTAAAGAAGTAACTTTGCTTTCAAGCGTAAGGGTTGTACAATAATGCGCAATCAGACGCAGCAAGTCCTTATCATCCGCAAGGTTGTCATTGATTGAGCTTTCCACATGCAATTGTCGAAGACAGGGTAAAAGCTTCTCTCACCATACATGGGACACGTCAACGTATTCTCGAATGTTGCTTGGTGTCATCTTCTTCTCAGACAAGATCCTTGGTGCAATATTCATAATGATATCCAAAGGGAGCTTTTTGATGAAATCGCTTCTTGTGTTATCGCGTTGTTGAGCCATCGATCGTGTTTTGACAAGTTGTTGATGAGAGGGATCGGATAATGGAACAGCAGCCAGCCCCTGATCATAGATATCAATCGCTGCCTTTTGATGTCCTTGAAGTGAATACACGTGACCAGCACACAAGTATCCAGAAGCCGAAGAAGGAATCAATTGTTGTATCTTAGTTGCATCTTTCAAGGCTGAGTCAAAGTTGCCGCTGGTTGCCAAGGCTCTTGCACGGTTGTCAAGGCAAGTGAGTTGTTCTTGTACGCATTGTTGAAGACGGCGTGTCGAATCGGCAATAACATTGGGGCATGTGCCTGACTTGATGACAAGGATAGGTTGCTCGGTGACATCGCTCCATACTTTGGTCATCGTTGGTAAAAGACAAAGAGCGCTGGGTTGAATCAATCACGCGAGCGCTCTTTTCCAAGGAGATGGATCGCCCACCCAACAACGCCAACGGCGTATCCGACACTACCGCCACAATCGCCATCATATCCAGTTATAGACAATGAACCACCTAAATTAGGATCATGTTGACTGCTATAACATAAAAGTGTCAATGATTAACCTTATTCATGTCACTATCGGTCACCTCGCATGAAACGGAAGCGGGGTATTCATTTTCCTAAAGCAGTGCAAACGTAGTATGCTACGCCGAGGCATCCTTTTGGGGCATGCCGCGCTCGATTCCATCAGCAGCCTAGGCGTATTGCTTGATGAAGAATGATGCCACTGATTAGTAGACATTGCTTTAAATTACCTACCAATATGGATGAAGGAACAAGGCAAGCACGCAGCCCTTTCAAGTGGCCAGAAAAAGTCATATTATAGACGAACAGGTTTATGTACATGCAGCAATTTGCTTCAATACATATGAATTCTAACCATGGTGTGTGAATGATTATGACTATTGGTTTGGTACATTGGATGAGAGGAATTGGATATGTATATAACGCGTGGTGGAAAAAAAGAGCCTTGTGCTTATGTATGCACTGTCAACTTGGCCATTACAATGCTCCTACTTTTAGCCTATATATAAGTGCGACAGGCATCCACCATCCATGCTCTGCATTTTACCTTAGGGATTACGTAGGTAATCTCCAATCATTGCCATTTTGACATCTTTCCATATTCACATTCTTCATTGCCAGCCCAACCTCCGTCTTTGATGCATACACTTTTTCAACATTCCCATCGCTCACGTTTTGGTGATACACCCATGTATTTCATTCGCGACAAAACTATCCTGCAAGCTACCTGTTGTCCTCCAAATAAGAATGATTTGCATAGTCTTGATTTGCCGCTTCCATCCGCGCTGTAGCAGTAGACTGAAACCTTATAAGTACATCGTGAGCAGTCGCTACATCAAAAGGAATGTTAATCCTCAAGCAATATGAGAGTATGTTTTGGTATTACCCGAAGAAAGGAACCAAAATGGTGACAATGAAAGTAGGATAACAATGAAATACTATCATCACAAATGTTAGTATATGGATCGCTCACAAAAAGGCTATTAACCGCGATACTCACATCAACTTCGATATCAGCAATCAAAGAGTGATATGACAGAAGAAAGAGATACGTGCGGAAACATCCATCGTGTTTGGCGTGTGATTTTCTACCCGCAATGAGGAAAGGATGATATTGGAAAACGGTGATGGATTGACGGATTGGCGCATAAGCTGTTGAAAAGCATCATGAATAATGTAGAGGCGCTGGTTGATTGCCGATGGTGTCGTTGTTGGAACCACAAAAAACAAAGGCTCGTAGCAGTTGATGAAAGATCCAGTCCCGTAATCATGATCCTGCTCCTCTGCGTAATGAACATCGCATCCAAGTAATTTTGGCGCAGTTGTCTTGAGTGAAGTCCAGGTCTTTTGAGGGTCAAATGTAGTGTGCTGATAACGATGGCTGATGAGGTGTCTCCGAGTTGAATTATGGTGAACATGGCGATAGTAAAAGAGCCGAATCTTCCATACAAGGGTACGCGTGCTCCATTTTTTGGTGATGTTCCATATGTCTTGGCAGATGCTGACTCTTTCCATGTTTGCATCCATCCCATCCTCGTGAATGTGTTGCTCTTTGTCATCGATGTAAGCATAATGAAACGAAGGCCAAAGATGTTCCATGATACATGCTTGCTCTTAAGAGACCTGTAACAGCATCATCAAAACACTGCTACAATTGGCTCTACCACCATCCACCAATGCTTACCATTGTGTCCATGAACGCTGCTAGTGAGGTATATCCTACACAGCACTATGAGAATCGCCTACCAATCATACAATGCGATATGGGATGTACCTTCAAGAGCCAGGGTTTCGACTGTTCAGCTTGTGCCACGCGTCGAGAGAAGCTACAACTCTTCCTACAAGGCACCCCTATGAGCTCGCTGGTACATTAAGTCAGCATGGTGGTGGACTACCTGATTGGTGCCAACGTGGCAATGTCTGGTACATAACGATCGGTATGAGCTTGACAGCATAAACGCGTCTTAGAGAGGGAACGTACCCGGTGGATTGTCAACAAGAATAGAAGAACGTCGATTACAAGATGTGATGCGTGTAAAGGTTGTCATTGCTGGTGGCTGTAAACAAGCAAGAGTGCGGATCTTGGACGCGTCCATTGTGAAGAAGAGACACAATGGGTCCGGTAAATCCCGCGTTGCTATTTTCATTGTCAACCCCCGCTTATGCCGCTCGATGTTTTGGATGGTGCATTCAAACCCTGATATAGAAGCCCTCCTTGATGCTGAATGCTGTCTCATTTAGCTTATGTGAACTTGCGTTGTATACATATTAGCACAGCTGATAGCTTACATGCATCAGGAAGATGACGAATACTGTTTACTGGGTGCTGTTAATAATGTAGTATTCCCATTTGCTGCTTATACATGTATCTATTTAGAAACTTTGCCTCGTAAGTGCAATAAAAAAGAGATCTATGAAAGCAATCTGGGAAGGAGATGCTACAAAGAAGGATGATAAGAAAAGACACGTGATTCAACCACCCGTTTCCAGCTTCTGAAATTTTACGGATTGGGGGAGGGACCTGCTTACGTTATCTGAGCTCGGATGGTCCCCCACCCGTAAAATTTCAGAAGCGCTATTGTGTAACGCAGGGGCTCAAGCTTGCATCCTTTGGTCACACAACATCCCCCACCCGTAAAACGTCGCCAGATTCATCCTACAGATTCCCATCCGTATAGCACCACATTTATAGTGACACAAATCATGTAAAGACATAAAGCAGAATCTTACTACCACGTTACGCTGGGTATTTTACTTTTTAGCATCCTTCTAACATGATTGCTAATGGGATCCTTTGTATTGCAGGGAGGATAAATATGTAGTTCTTGCAACTGTGGGCATTCCAATAGGGTCAATAAACTTGCTAATGTGTTGTTGCCCAATGGCGTGGCCAATTTAAGCGACTTGATGTTTAGCTTTGACAGCTGTACGAAGATGATATCAGGCATTGGATAACCGCTGGATATTTCTAGGTGCTCTAATTGTGGACATCCCAAGCCCAGCCTTTGAATAAAGCGTGCAGCGTGTTCACCGTCCTTATCATCAAGAGCGTCATCACTTGAGTCATCCTCATCTAGCACCAAAGGCCAATTGAATCCCAATGTTTTGAGCCGTGGCAGTGCTATCAATGTGTCCAACGCATCCTTGGATACAAATACATAATCTGGAAGGATCAGCGTATGTAATTGCGAATCGATGGTGCTGTGGTATTGAATAAAGCGCTCGATGCCTTCCATGTCCATCAAAGGGTCGAAGCTCTCCAATCGGATGATAACCGATTCAAGTTTGCATTTGCCAATCAAATCATCAAAGAATACACCCGCATTGGTGTCATCATTGGAAGCTGAGATAAGCTCAAATTTCTTCAAATGAGGTGATCTCTGTGCAACCATTTTGGCCATGCGTAGATGTTGCAGTACGTATATCTGTTGCGTATAACTTGTCATCCGATTGAATAGAGGCGCATTGCTAACATCAACAACTCCAATTTGATCCGATGGTCCACTAAAAGGGAGCGACGTGTAAAAGGAAACGTCTTGTAATGTGTGGCTGTTTCGCTTCATGAATTCCATCACGTGCCCCATCTCGCCATGATCCGGATCCAGCCAATGAGCTTCGTAATCATGAACATAAAATGTATGCACACCGGCAGTAGGCGTATTATCAGTATTGCTTGTCACTGGGAAATCACCAATACGATTTTGGCTGCCGACGACCTTGAGCTTCGGGCAATTGTTTTGGATGATGCTCAAATCACTAGCATAGTAAAAAGGCGAAGCTACAAGTCTTTCCAATCCAGGGAATCGCTTGGTGATCTCATCCATATCAAAGTCTTGATCCTCATTCAACATAAACGACAATGATTTCATATTGGGGCAGCATGTGGGTGCAGATGACATGTTCGTATTGATGGTGGTGGTCTCCAAATGAACAAGGTATGGGCAGCTGCTAAGAATATCACCAAAGCGAATATCGCAAAGGTCATCAACAGAGATCGTCAAGTGTGTCAATGTTGCTGTGGATCGAAAAGACACAATCGTGTCGAAAACGTCGCGACTGCCAAAATCTTCTTCATCATCTTCATAGCTGTGGTAATAAGAACTAAGATGAAGGATCGATGTCAGGGGATACTTGTAGAGGTAACCTACGCACCACATCACATCACTTACTCGACTATGTTCAAAGCCCGTAACGATGGGAAGCGTGCATCGGATATGAATTGACGTAAAGAAACAACTTTGCTTTTAAGCGTAAGGGCTGTACAATAAGGCGCGATCAGACCAAGTAAGTCGTTATCGTTCAAGTGGTTGTCATCGGTTGTGCTTAATACATGCAATTGTCGTATGCATATCAGGAGCTTTTCTCGCCATACACGTGACACGTCAAGGTATTCTCGAATTTCACTTGGTGCCATCTTCTCCTCAGACAAGATCCTTGGTGCAATATTCATAGTGATATCCAAAGGGAGCTCCTTGATGAAATCGATTCTTGTGTTATCACACTCTTGAGCCATGGATTGTGCTTCGACAAGTCGTTGACGAGAGGGATCAGATAATGCAACAGCAGCCAGCCCCCTCATCATAAATATCGATCGCCGCCTTTTGTCGTCCTTGAAGTGAATACACGTGACCAGCACACAAATAGCCAACTGCCAAAGAAGGAGCTAGTTGTCGTATCCTAGCAACATCTCTCAAGGCTGACTGAAAGTTGCCGCTGGTTGCCAAGGCTCTTGCACGGTTGTCAAGGTATGTAAGTTGTTGTTGTACGCATTGTTGAAGACAGCGTGTCGATTCGGTAATAACATCGGCGCATGTGCCTGAATGGATGGCAAGGATCGGTTGCTCGGTGACATCGCTCCATAGATCAGCCATGGTTGTTGGCGGGTAAAAAAGGCAAAAGACGCTGGATTGAGTCAATCACGTGAGTGTTGTTTTTCTACATGGAGATGGATTGCCCGCTCCTCACGTCAACAGCTTGTCCGACACTGCCACTACCTCATCATCTTAAGCCATAGACCATGAATCACCCAAGTTAGGATCACGTTGACTGCTATAACATTAAAGGTTGTTTGTATAATTGCATCATCTTGTTACATCCATCATGCCACTACATATGAAATAAACTAGGTCATCTGGCAAGCAGAAGAAGCGGGGTATTACCCTTCACATGTGCGTGTGTAATGCTACGCTTAATTCATGATGTGATCATCCTTGCATACGTATGTCGTAGTGACATCATGATGGTTTGCACTCGATTGAATGGAGATCACACGGCATCAAAATAAAGTAAATAACACTCGTAGTATTGGCATGCATGATCGCACACAATGGATCGACAAATGGAGAAAAAGGGACCATTCCAAAAGAAGACATAGACCTGTTTTATGTATCCAAGAACAAGCCCAGACACAGGTATGCCAAGTCGCTCTCCTTTTCTCTCTTTCTCTTTATTTATAATATACCCAACTTGTTTCTTGTTCATGTATGCCAACCATAAATACAAAACCAGCAACAGTATCATAGCGTGGTGGTCTATTTATTTCTCTCGACGAAGAGTTGTTGTTCAACACGGCCTCTTTTTGATCGCCCTCATCCTCTCCATCGCCTTTTTCTACGCATTGTACCAATCGTCACTCTATACCACCATTCCTGCGATTGTGCCCTTTTTATCGTCCATACCTCAGTACCACAATGCCTGGACATTTGCACCTGCCGTTGCTATGCACCACCCACAAGAGACCTTGTACAAGGCAGCGTTTGTTACGTTGATCCAAGGAGACAGTGTTGACGATTTTGGACCTTTATTACGTACAGTGCGTGATCTCGAAGATAGCTTCAACCATGCGCATGGATATCCTTTTGTGATCTTTTCAGTGGATCCATTGAGTACGCGTGCAAAGGAACTGGTCGCGTCATTGACATCCGGCACTGTCCATTTTGAAACGTTACACGGCCAGCAACAATTTTATGGCTATGGATCTGACACTCAGCTTGGAAAAGCCGTCAAGGCACGCCATCAATTGAAAGATCAAGTGGATGAGGGAGATAGCAAGACGTTTCGATTCAATGCAAGGTTCATCGCAGGCACCCTCTACCAGCATCCTGCGCTCAAGGACCTTGATTATTATTGGCGGTTCCAACCTGGCACACACTACCCCTGTCCCATCTTTGAAGAGACGAAGGATCCCTTTTATTACATGTACAAGCATCAGAAAAAGTTATCGTTTTCGCTCACGGTGCGTGAACCCACTCAAGCAGCACCCACCTTGTTCCAAACGGTTACCGATTATATAGAGCAACATCCTGAAATCCAGTCCCGGCTCTCGCAGCGTGATAGTCTATGGCCACTTGTAGCTAGCAAAGAGGATGGGCAATACACACAATGTGAATTCTCTAGTAGCTTCCAGGTATGTGTATATGGAGGGATGGACATGGAAGGAAAGGATCACTTATTGGGTGTATATAGATTGCCGATCTTTCGTTCTTTAGGAGCGAGCAGTACCAATCCTTTTTTGATCACATTGACAAGGCCAATGGCATCTTTTATGAGAGATGGTAAGTATCAGCGATAAGAGGAATAGAATGGGGGTTATACCAACACAATGGTTTAGGAGTGATTCCGCTATTCAGTCCATGGGCGCCGCCTTGTTTTTGAAGAAGCAGGATATTCATCGATGGAAGGATATTGGTTATCGTGGATTGGGAGGTTTACTGTATTGCCCTACGAACTCGGATCTTTGGTCAAGATGTGATTGTAGACCTGATTACAACTTTGATGATTCCCACGCTTGCTTATCATTCCTTGCATAAATTATGTACACATTTTAAAAGAGGGAAAGAAAATATACATTTCATTTATACAATATCAGTGATGAGCTTGCTACAGACATCCAAGAACGGGTATACACTAAGGATCTTGTCACCACCATGGTCATCATCATCATCATCCTCTCCTCCTATTGCATTCTTCCTCATCCAGATAGGTAGTTGTGCCTGTTCATCGCCCTCTTCTTCCTGATGTGGCTGTTGCTTGTCCAAATGCATCTTTTCAACCTCTTCTTTGACCTTATCCAATGTTTCATCCACACGACTCGGGTCTTTGCTTGAGTTGACATTTTTAAAATCCACCAAGTAGCTATTGTTGCCTAGCTTGTACAATTGAAGATCGAACTTGACCACCAGATTGGGTATGTTGTACCGATAGCGACACCGAATGTGATAGGGATCAATGACACGCCATTCCTATTGTATCCTACCATGAGTCCTTTTATCACAATAAAGCCGTAATCAATACATTACCATGCCCACATTTTGTAATGATCGATAAATTTCCAACATGACTTCCCATACAGGACATTTACTACGTATACCAAAATGCCACTTGGATCGTGGTTTCCCTGATCGTCGCGGTGATGTCATGCCATGAGGTTGTGCGGTTGCTGAAAGACGATGTTGTGAAGGGCGTGATGGAGTATCACGGGGTGCTGAGGATACAGGGGCCATGGCACCAGGAGGTGGCGTTCCCACAATAGGCGCAATCGGTTGTCCCCCTCCCATGGTAGCAGATGCTCGTGAAGAAGAACGTGCGCGTGCTATTTTGTATCATACTTAGTTCGATCCTCTCCAAAGATTGCTAATAAAACTTACATGTGGGTGTTGAGGGTGGTGGGAAGCTGCCATCGCTTTTAGGAAGACTTGAGCTGAGGACGGTGATGGAGGATGACAAATCATGCATGGAGTCGTTATCACGTGGTTCACTTTGATGATCCTATTGTTCCTCAATAGATCAATATCGATCCCGATTCCCGATTCTCAATATACTTACACTGAAGCTTGTGTTCCATGGAGGCGGTGATGATGCAAAGAAACTTTGGATGTTGCTGTCCGCTGTACATAGCCGTAAGCAAATGTACGTCCAATAAAATCCGGTTCTACTTACATTCTTTCAGCATCCTTTTGTGGTCGATTACCAATTGATAGGCCACCTTGATGTGGTTGTTTTCTGGTGCATGTAACGCTTTTTGTACCTTGTCCTCTGGATAGCCCATTTTCTTGACAACAAACATGTCAGCCCACTGAACCCCACGAATGCTTATCTTTGCTTACCTTTGAAAGTTCATGTGCAATGGCATCATCCACAGGACGACAAAGTTCATCTTCTGTATCTGGAAGGGGCATCAAGTATTCTGGAAGATTCTTGTTGAACCATGGGTTTTGTCTATAGATACAAACACACGCACACAATGAATATTTTCCTTTTCTCCTTGATCTCCTTCCCATTACATACCTGATTTCTTGAATGGTGATGCGTTTCATAGGATCCACAACCAGCATGGACGTTAACAGATACTTGGTTTCAGGACTGAGATAGGATGGCATAGTATAGATACCCCCTAGTATAACAAAGAGTCAGTGGATCCCTCGCTTTATCACCATCGTAGGCTCTTTCTTACCATTGATCTTCTTGAATAAGGTGGGGATGTATTCGTCATCAAAGGGCAATCGTCCACACAGCATCACGTAAAGAATAACACCACAGCTCCAAACATCCACTTCAGGTCCAGCATAAAGCCTAGGTGAATCATTAGCAATCATGCACCATGCCCCCCTGTAAATAGATTTTTACCTGCCAGAAATCACTTCGGGCTACACAAATAAAGAGGACAATGAATACCATACCATGATGGGATAGACACACACACACACGCACAACGTACCGCTGCATAATTGGGACTTCCACAGCTTGTTTTTAGAAAATCGCCATCGGTCATGATGTTGGATAAACCAAAGTCGGCAATCTTTACATTGTTGTTGGCATCCAAGAGTAGGCTAAAAATAGCGTACATAAGAACATTCTCTGGAAGAAAGTTGCTTGTTTTATAAATGTACTTACTTTTCGGGCTTGAGATCTCTGCATGCCGGCGGATAGATGATTAACACATATACCCTTTCTCATTTGCCATGGACACGCACTCCTCCCCTTACCTGTGTACGATCTTGTGTCGATGACAATATTCCACTGCACAAATGACTTGTTGAAAGAACCTTCGAGCATCATCTTCTGACATCTAAATCAAAGGGAGGGTGTCAATGTAAAAGCAATGATAAGGTGGATGATGATAACACGTACGCGGCCTTTTTCCACAATGTAGTTAAAGAGTTCACCACCAGCATATTCAATGACCATAATGATGTCAGTTGGCGTGACAATGACTTCGTATCTGGAATATAGAATCACGTGTGAATAGAGGAACCATACCGGATAAACAGAGTTGCTTACAACTTGATGATATGAGGATGTCGTAACAGTTTAAGATATTGGATCTCTCGTTTCACTCGTCCTCCCAAGTCCATGCTGGCGATCTTTTTCTTGTTGATGAACTTGAGTGCTACCTTTTGCCCGGTAATGGCATGGACCGCCACTGTTGCATAAAAATGTCAGCCCAAGAGCCCATTCACACGCCCACGCCCACTTTCTCTGATCCCCCCAAGGGTTACGTTTGACTTTGCCAAAAGATCCGGTGCCGATGGTCTTGATGATGTTGTATTGGCCGAGCTTAATTTTGCCGTTGCTAGTCGACATGGGTGTGTCTGTGTGTGCGTAGGTAGGGTAGGTAGACGAGAGAAAAGGAAAAGGGTGTGGTTGGTGTGTGTGTACGAGAAACCGACATTTGACCCTTTTCATTCCCAGCGCCCTTTCTAGTACTCTTCTTCGCGCATGATTCTTGATACTTTCCAAACATGTCATGTGCATCCCTTGCATGTGAATTTTTCTTTTACACATACAAAGCGTTGTTATGGAGTTAAAAAAGAACATCATTCCTTACGTCAAAGCAACCATCATACACCCACCATAACGATCCATGTATACCGCTTCAAGAATAAAGTAGTCTCTTACGTCATATCTAGAACCATCCTGTGGATGAATCTAAAGTGCATTTGGATAAGAGAAAGGGACCATTCACAAGTGGGAATACAATTCCTTTTTATTCATTCCTATGCCATAAGCAAACATAATTTAGCTAAGGCTGTTGAGTTATTGAGAGGATTGAAAAAGGGTGTAAAAGCTCCTCCTTGGGTATCACTCATGGTTGCCAGCTGGGTGCTTGCTGAATTAATAGTGGGCTCGCTTTCTTTTTTACTCCTCCCTCCTTCTTACTTTACATATACCCAACACCCCGCCGCCCCCCATGTCAAGCATTACGGACTCGACCGATCCCATGCCTGCTATCCAACAAGCTCAAAAGGCACTTGAATCTCTGCAGATAAAAGACACCGTCGACAAGATCAACGACAGCTACCAGCAATTACAAACCAAGATTGAGACACAACGTGAAGAGGAACAACGCATAGAACAAGGTGAGCTAGTAGCTTTTATGTACAAGGCACACACACACCACTGATGCAGCCATATAGAATTACAGCAGGAGTTGGATATGTTGAAACAACAACTGGAGGAAGTTTCAAAGACGCATGATTTGGAGGCATTGGATCGCGAACGCGAAAAATTGGAGGAGGAGACGCGTGCTGTTATTGAACGAAGACAAGCAATGGAGGTGGAAGTGGATCAGCTCAAGCAAGAACTACATGCTTTGGAAGCAAAGGAGTTGGATAACATGAGCAAAGACTTTTACAGGTAAGAGTGGATAGGCTATCATGGATCAAGAGGGAAAGCTGACAATGTGTATGTATACAGCTTGTTGATGGTGATTTATCGAGGACTGGGCGTGAAGACATTACCAGAGGAGGATGGATCATTCAAAAAGCTTCAATTGAGTAAGTAGAGAGGGGATACGAGGAAGGAGGATCGATGGATGGGATGGTAACCATGTCATTCATGTAGCGTCACCCGACAACCAAAAAGTGCAGGTCTTTGATGTCAGCAAAGGATACACCCCCTATTACATAGCAAAAAAGATCTGGCAATACATTACACCACCCCAATAATTGTATATACGTATATCATTTTAATACATAGTTTCATTTTGCATGTATACATATGTCTATTTACAAAAGCCTATTGTTGTTCGGGATTGCTGCTTGCTTCTGCTTCTTCATTCCATAACCCATCCAAATCATAATGCTGACGTACTTCAGGTGTAAAGAGATGCACGACGCATTGACCCAAATCCACCAACACCCATCCAGATTGATCATCACGTCCTTCGATACGAATCGTGGGTAAGTCCTTCTTTTTGCCTTGATCATGGTGTTTTCGAATGGCTTGATTGACCTAGATGCGTTGCTATGAGACACACATTCCTTCCTTGTCACTCACTATGTCACCACCTACCGTTGTTCTCAAAAGTTCAGCAGCATTCGTAAGGAATCGATCGCCCATGGAACTCTCGGCCACAATCATATAATCGGTAAAATCGCAACGACCACGTACATCCATCACTCGCACATTTTCCATCTTGTTCTCTTCCAACAATTGCTTGAGTAAATCAGGTGACATGTCGCCCGTCTCGATCAACTTCTTGGATATTTGTTCAAGCGATTGTCGTTCTCGTAAATGATCTCCCATCGCACGTTGTTGCCACAAGGGTACAAAATCTTCTTCGCTATGATCCACAAACCATTCGGTATCCACCATTTCCTCTTCTCCTTCTTGTGAATAAAGCTCAGGATATTCCTTTGGATCCAATTGCTCGATACCTTCTTCTTCGTCTTCTTGTAAAGTGGAAGCACTGCTGTTGTTGTCTTGTGTTGCAGAAGTCGTAGTGGTCGTAGAAGGGCGAATGGGCTTTTCGCTTTCCCATCGTGTCAAGCATTGTGAGAAGGGACGACATGATCCAGTGACCAAGGCAGGTCGAATGATACGTGAACGTGATTGGCAAAGTAGAATGCGTGGTTGGGGTGCCAACAATCGGTGTAAGACGAGTCGAGTATGCATGGTGTAAAGAAAAGAAATGCTGCGCGTCGTCGCTTGGACCCCGCCCAACTATAAATTTGTTGCCAAACAGTCATCCATGACCCGAATCCTTGGGTCGTGTTGACTCCTATCATTCTCTTAACATTGGGATGCAAGTATCATTTAGCATGTAACATCCCCCTATGCTATGACAGCATCCAGCATGCTTACCTCTTTTTGAAAAGTCATCATTCTCCCTTTCGAAGCGCATTTTTCATGATACATACATAGCACACGAGCACAACGATTCCCGAAAGGCTTAATGATTGAATCAAGACAAAGAGCTGCTCTTTCAACTACAATCATATAGCCACTGTTCACAAGATATGATTCAGTGAACAAAAACCACCATATCCTACTGTGATTAGCAGTGAAAGGATCATTACAGTGCTTTTAAGACGCGTACAAGGTACAAAACAGTGATTCATGACCACATGTAAAGGTGGGCTCCAGCGTATAGGTGCTTGTTCAAGGATAGAGTATGTAATGGCGTAAATGATTGCATGCAAACAAGCCCCCCCCTCCTGAAAATGGTCAGCCTCTGATACATGTGACATTATCGCGCTATGAATGTAGCATCAATGTTGTTAGTTGTTATCCCTCTTGCATAGCGCCGCATACCTCTCCTTTTCATGCTGCTTCTAATATTTAAAGCACACGGCGATATCCAACAAACCATCCACTAGTTTCCTTCCACCACCATCTAACTATTCCCATGAAGTTTTTTATTGTTTTTGGAGTGTTAGCCATGCTTGCGTCGGCGTCCACTGAACCTCAGCAACTAAACCAATGTGGAGAGACGGGGTTCCAGATAGTGGACCAGTGCAGCAACCAACCTTGTGCCTATGAGGAGAGAGGTCCTTCTACGAGTGTGGATGGAGAAACCTGTAAGTTATATACAAAGGGCACATCATCTAAGAGCACGAACACTCAAAGTGTTCGTATGTTTTAGCTGTGTATACCTCTTGTGTCGCACCTCCTGATGGCGTTGACTGCAGCAAGTTTACGGACCTTGACGAATGCGCTTCCAATCAATGCTCTTTTCTGATGTGGAAGAATGGTAAGTAGTACCACGGCAATACGTATATGAAGATGATTACTAAAGGATATTCTTCCATTATTACATAAAAGCTTTCAAGAAATGTGTCAACAAAGTCCCAGAGATGCCAGAATAGAAGCTCGTACAAAACAGCAATATTTCTACATGTGATTGAAACATTGGAGGATCACTAAATACATAAAATCTTTTACTACATACGTGATTGGTCACAAAGGTCATCATCGTACACGTACCAAAGCTGATAACCACCGTTAGCTGCATGAAATGCATCCTGCGTAGGTGGATGCCACCATTTGGTGGCATCCCATCCTTGAACATGATCAGCGCCCGGTGGAACATAACATGAGGGGACGCATTAACTCGAAAGCTCCGATCATGTGCTGCTGAAAACAAACATCTTCTCCCTAAATGGTCACCTTGGCTATGTTTTATAAAACAAATTGCTTATGTTTCTGAGTGAGAGATGCATTTGTGTCCTGGGATTGAGGTTTACATGTAGAAATATTCTTAAAAGATCAAGAAAGATATGTAAGCAAACTTGTTAATCATACAATACTAGGCTGGCAGTAACAACATCGCTGTACCAATCCCGCTTGTAGTACGTAGTATCTTTTTTATGTTGCACTTTAGATTCCAAAGTTTATTTGTCTTCTATACTATGTAGGATTACTGGTGGGGGTTATCAAAAAACCTAGTTATAATACATAGATCGGCATTGGATACATAGCCAAATCTCGGCAGGTCATAACATCCTCCTTCAAAAGCTCATCGCCGAAATAATGGCTTCCATCTGCTGCTTGAACAAGATAGAATCTTGTCATCCATCATGGATACTGGTATCTCCAGCACGCAAAACCTTCGCCATCCAGTGACATTGGGTAAGGCGTACACCATCCACCAAGACAAGGAGCAGAAGCTTGTTTGTTGACCTTGCAATGGTCATTTCTGTCTCCATGGCAACCTCTTTCACCTTGGTAATGTTTCAACAATCGCTCATTCGACGATACTCGAGACTGCGCCAATTTCAGAAATAATGTTGCCAATCCTATAATGGTAGCACGTGAGCAAAGTGTTGGGCAATAGCAAGGTATGGCTGTTATCTTACATTGGTTAAAGAACACCTCCCACAGATGTAGGATCCTGATTCCTCCATGACAGCTCCAACAACCAGCTGGTTGATATACCCAATAATGCCTTCGAGATGATGTCGATGGTCAAATAGAGGCTAAAGTAAATACATCAGAGAACTGTGATGCTGAAAAATGACATATCCCCATCCAACATACCACGTGCTTCTTGTACGCATTGCTGTATCCTTTGCATCTTCCATGATACATCCAAGCTGATCGAACAGGGTGAATCCCACAGTTGCCATGACGACGCGTGGTGGATGATGGCAGTAAATGTTGCTTTGAGCACCAAGACGACGACAACGGCTATCTCCAACAAGAATCCAAAGGAACAAAGAGCATCGTGCTTGCTTTGTTGTTGTTGTTCCTACTGCAAATGATGGTTGAGTACTTCATTGTATCCATGTATCATTGTATTCACCTTCCAAAGAAGCACCACACTCGCGTGAGCAAGACAAAAAATTTGGTTGGAAACAGGGTCGTTGTGAATGGAATCGAAGACCAATCGGGGATCGACAGGTCGGCGAACACCATACGCCTTGAACTCAATGAGACACCATTCAACGTTGCTGGGACAAGATCTGCTGTAACATTAGGCTATGAATGGGGAGCTGTCGTTGCCAAGTAATGGTGGAGCGGCATAAGAAGAGCGGCGCTATTCCAAGTCGCGGAGCTGACCCTTATCGAAAACTCTCCCAGTGCTTCATGAGACGCGCACACAATATAAAGCAGTGATGCATGGACACATATAACGGTGGAATTTAGCCTTTAGATACATGGTTCAAGGATAGATAAAGGCGTGAATCAATATAAATGACATGCAAAATAGTCCCCTGGAACTGAGCAGCTCCTGCAGGTACATAATACATATCGTTATGAATGTGTCCTTCCATTCGGAAACTTTATTCCAACATGACGCATGCAGTAAATAACGCAATGGTATGCAGCATCACCCTAAGTCGTACATAGCAGGCTGTATACAGTGTATGTTGTAGTAGAGCGAGGGATCTACTACGTATATTATTCACGCCTAATGTACTGCTAGGATTTGGCAAGCTTCTAAACAAGATGGATTATACTTGTTTAATATTGACACCTATGCAGCAGTAACAGTAGACGATATGCGTAGCGCCAATGTTCTTCATCCTGCATATGTTGTTTGCTCTCCTTTTCATGCAACTTCTAATATTTAAAGGATAAGGATGATCAACAAGAGCCATCCATTAGTTCCCTTCCACCGCCATCTTACAATTCTTATGAAGCTGATCAGTGTTTTTGAAGTACTGACCATGGTAGCGTCGACGCTTGCTGCCACTACTGCGCCTGGCACATGTGAAGGAAAGTTGCCCAAATTTACAGTGGACAAATGCAACAACCAACCTTGCACCTTTGAGAAGAGAAGCTATTCTGGTGAGAAATCAGCCGCAAGTAAGTTGTAAAAGGTATTCCATCCAAGAGTTTGATTACTCAAAAAGAACGTAGGTGCACTTGTTTCTTGCCACAAGCCTGATGGAGTTGATTGCACCAGCGTTAGTGTGAAGAATTGTCTTGTCAATGGATGCTCACTTCTGAATACCGCTTCAGAGTTGAGTGGATGGGGTGAGTATCACGTAGCACATGTAAGAAGTTTACTGAAGGCCGTTCCATAATTTTGCCAGGTATGCAGTGTGTCAACACCGTCCCCAAAGAATTAAAGCTCCAGCCATCAGCAAAAATGACTGTATAAAACAGCCAGAGACGTATGATACAGTATAATGAAGATACGTTTAGTACATATGACCAGCATCGGAAAACAAACAAATACATAAAAGGTGTCAATCACTATGAGCATATACATTAAAGCTGACCGCCCAGGCAGGTTACTTGCTTGACAGCTCAGGGCTGAGACACCCGCTTATTGACATCACGTGGTTCATGATGCTCTTTGCGGAAATGCACTCCCCCAAAATGGCAGGTCAAATTGCCAACAACGACATCGTCTCTTTTATGTGAGGTTTCTTGAACGTAATCAACCCTCGATATGGAAGATGGTTTCGTTAAAGATGCGTTAACCCGAAACCTTTAATTAGCGACGCTGCATGCAGCCAGCTGAAAACAAAGACCTCCACCATGCTGCATCTCGCTACTCCTCATACTAAGCTAACTATATTCCATGAACCACATTGTGCATGTCTTTGAGCGAAAGATGCATACTATAGGTGTCCTGTAATTTGGAAATGTTCTTGAGACGTAAAGAAAGATAGATACTTCTTGTGCATAATGTAGTATGGAAGTAATAGCATCGTTGCACCACCCCCCTGCTAATAGAACTGTATGGTCTTTTTATGATATGCCGCTTTAGATTCCAAAGTTTATTCAAGCTACCCTCCAAAGTAGGATTAAATCTTCTTTATCAAAGAGTCAACTAGGTATGATATAATAGATCCGCAACTTGCATAGCCAAATTTGGGTAGGCCACAACAACATCCTTCAAATGCTCATCAACGAAATAATGGCTACTTGTTCAAAGTTGAAATGTTGACATCCATCATGGATACTGGTATCCCCAATACGCAAATCTCCTTCCTCCATTCAGTAACTTTGTCCTTGCAATGGCCATCTCTTTTCCTTTGGAACAAAAACGTTTCAGGAACCGCAAACCTCCATAGAAGAGCATTATATGGCTTGATGCAATGATACTTGAGACTGTGCCAGAGTCAGAGTCACTGTTACCAATCCTATAATGGTAGCACATACCTCGTGATCGTAAGAGAAAGCTGTAATATTACACTGGAAAAAGAGCATCGCCCAAAAAGATCCTGCATCGGTGCTGTAAGCCTCAGCCTGTTGTTGAGTTGTTCCCAATTCGATATCATGAAATAGAGGCTAAAGCAAATACAGTTTGGTCAAAGAACATTGATATTGAAAAATGACATACCACATCCAACATCCCACTTACTGCTCATGTCCTTTGCTTTATCCTTTTCCTCTTTCAGGTGCATCTATGCGGGTCGAACACCAGTAGCCTTGACGACGCGTTATGGATGATGGCAGTAAATGTCGCTTTGAGCACCCAAGGCAATTTGCAACAAAAAGCAGTAATAGCAGAGAGTATCCCTTTAGTTTTGCTGCTAATAGTCCTTCAGTACTTCATTGTACCCATGTATCATTGTATTCACCTTTCAAAATAGCACCAGACTCACGTGAGCAAGACAAAGGATTTGGTGTGAAAGTAGTGCCGTTGTCAATGGAATCCAAGACCCAAATGGCGATCGACTTGTCGACGAAACCATACGCGTTGAACTGAATGAGACACCATTTAACGTCGCTGGGACAGGGGTAGTTGTAACATTAGGCTTTGAATGGGGAGCTGTCATTGCCAAGTGCGGTGGAGAGGCACAAGAAGAAAGGTGTTTCTCAAGTCGCGGAGCTGACCCAAAGATGGAACTAGTAGTGCTTTTGAGACGCGCTTGGCTTTCCTGTAAGACCATTTTCAAGTGTAGTAGAATAGTAGAATCCTTTATAGAAATAAAATAGGCCCCTGAATGATCTCGTTACCGAAGACCTTAATGAAAGTTTCTGGCAATGCAGGGGAGTACTCCTGGATTCTGCCATGTAGCATTTTCTTACTAGTAATCTGATTATGTGCTGTAGCATAGGATGGTGTATGATGTGATCAAGTGGGAGGTCTATAAATATATGTACGTTCATGATGCACTGGGATTAGGTATGTAGACGCTAGACAAAATGGTTTATACTTTGCTTCTATGTATATACATCGGGTAGTAGCAGCAATGCTCTTGTTCATGCTAATGGCGCTAAGGCTGCATAGCTCTCCTTTTTCGAGTTGGATCTAATATATAAAGAACAAGGATGATGATCAGCAACCATCCATTCGTTTCCTTTCACAGCCATCCAACAATTCCTATGAAGCTGATCAGTGTTTTTGGAGTGCTAGCCATAGTTGGGTCAGCGTTCGCTGCTACTACACCTGCTACATGTGAAGGGAAGATACCAAAATTTACGGTGGACAAATGCAACAACGAACCTTGTACCTTCGAGCACAGAGGTCCTCCTTCAGACCCCTATGGATCCACCGGTAAGTTGTAAAAGGCGATTGATCCAAAATTGTGATGACTCAAAGAGTTCCTAGGTGTATATGCCTCGTGTCATACGCCTGTTGGAATTGACTGCGACAAGTTTGGACAGGATGGGAAGAAATGCATTACCAACGGATGCTCTGTTGGGTGGCCAATCTCATATTTTGGTCACGGTAAGTGATAGCACGGCATCATTTGGAGCAAAGATGTTCACTAAGGGACATTCCATGACTATACAAGGTGTCAGATGTTTCAAGGAGATTCCCGATGGCTCAGTGGTCAAGGCACCAATAGAAATCCCCAGGATGTAAACCAGCAAAGGTCCTATGATGCAATAAATAAACATCTACTAGCATTGAAAGATCATCAAATAAAGTCTTTTACTATGTAGTTACGAGTCATTACCAAAGCCTATTACTTGCTCGGCAGTTGAGAAGACTGGCGGATCCGTTTATTGATAGAACTTAAAATGCTGCTGCATGCCACGGGTTGATAACATAGTACCTCTTCGCCATGCACCATCGCCCTACGTTTACTAAACTAGATTTTGTCACCTTGCGTATGGTTATGAGCGAAAGGTGCTTGGAGTTAACACACAAACAAGGATCCTAGGGAGGTACGTACAACAAAGTAGACAAAATGATTATATAGTGCTTGCTCATATAGCATGCTTGTAACATCGATGCGACGTATCCCCAGCATTTCCCACTAGCACAACATGGTTCTCCTTTTATGCCGCATTAGATTCCAAAGTTTATTTAGCTTCCAATCTACATAGGGTTAAGTCTTCTTTATCAAAGAGTCTAGATATGGTAGATCGGTAACTTGTATGACCAAACTTGGACGGGTCACAACATCCTAGCAAGATAATGACATCAGCCTGAAACTTGATCGAAGCTGCGATGTTGACATTCTTCAGGGCTATTCAGCACGCGAAAATGAAGATCCCTTGATCCTGCTGCCGCCGTGTGTCCTGTATCCATTAGCCTCCTTTAAAAAGCGTTCAAGAATAGACTACATACACAAAAGCATTTCAGCCAGAGCGTCTCGTGAATAAAGGTCATCCAATTCCCTTCTTGTTGCCTTTCCTTCGATCATTGCTTCTCTGCCGTCACCCAAGACATCCTATATACCCCGGTGATACGCCACTAGACCCAGAGCTCATGCCATCCAGAAAAAAAGTTGTCAACATTTCCTCTCAGCTTGCCGAGGAACAAGGTATACATGTGTCACTGTCTACCATCCTAGCATCCTTTGGAAATGGTTCACTACTTACGCGCATAGATGAGGATGGGGAACAAGCAGCAAATCAACTGTGAGAGATGATGGTATGAGTATTGGAGCACAAATGTTACTATCTCTGGTACTTACCATTCCATAGCACTGGTGATGGTGCATGTTGTGATTCCATCGTTGGTGGCAACCAGCCTTGCTTTTATGTGCGTAAACATGCAAGAAAAATAGTCGTGGTTGATTGATAACGTGGACCACTGGCTCCAATCGATATGAGGCACATTTTGTAGATGGCGCGTACGTATCGTCCACGTGATCCGATAAACGTGGCATTATCTCCTTGATGACAAGCATATCAGCCATCATTCTTAACCCGGAAAGTAGAGCACTATATCCTCGTCCACGTACATTGATGCATTGATGGGTAATAAAGCGTCTTAGAATAGCGTATGTGTGATCAGCCGGCGACAGTGAAGGTGTTATGTATAAGGGAGCTTCCTGGGACCATGATGGATCATCGACGAAAAGTGATAAAGTATGCTGTTTGAGCTGGCAACATATGGTGACGAATGTCGCGAGAAAACCACTTGGTGAAGATTGGTTATTGTTGTCGTCATTGGTGAAGGGTTGAGATGGGAAGCAGTAATGTAGCCATGGCGTAGTTGTCTAGACGACGTCAAATAGCATCGTAAGGATGGAGCTGTTCATGTATTGAGCGAGGGTTGTTGTTGTTGTTGTTGCCATGAAAGAAAGAGTAGGAAATTCACCTGGCTTGCATTGCTGCATTTTACGTCTAGCGGGGTGTCATCATCATCCATGCCCTTGCATGTGCACACACACGCCAACAGTTGATGGTTCACGTACGCATTTGATTTATTATAAATGTCCTTGACGACCATAAGAGTTATTCTTTAAGATTGCTTTCATGTAAATACACACTATCGAACACGACCAACAGGTCGCGGTAAACATCAGCCATATTTTGAGCAGTGGACAAATCAAATTGACGTGCACGATCACTGATGGTGATAAGTGGTATTGACCCCGTTTCTTTGGTAGTCGAGAGTGACGCTCGCATGAGATCGGATATGAAATGTTCAAACTTGTGCAAGAAGCACTGCCAAACTTGGTTGGGATCGGTCATTGTTGATGGGATATCAAATTGGAACACACCAAGAACGCCATACACATAATGAGCCGCATACTTACATTCCCGGCAAGATTGTCCAAATACTTGTAATAACGTGACAAGTGATCCAAGATCCATCCAATTCAAATCCATGTTGAACCTTCGGCTTGCTCTCAATTCCTTGAATGAAGGTGCTGGTGCATGTAAGGGTCGTATCCCTATGATAAACGTATCATCATTAGTATAGATTGTCGCTTGCGTCTTTTTTAAGTACATACCGTTTTCCATAAAGAAAAGAAGCATCCTTCCTAGCTTAGCCTCAAAGTGATAGAGATCATCCACATGCAGCATATGATCATTGGAGACTTGGTTGGCTGTTTCAGCCATCAGCAAGACATCTTGAGGTAGCACCGTTTCCTGCCACATCCACACACGCGTCCACCATATGCATTGCGTCAACAAAAGAATGTGATGATTCAGCTGCTCGTATTGATCCAGAAAATCATTCAATGACCTATCGGCACTTGAGAAATCAGGGTCCATATCCCACATGGAATACATTTGCGGTATGATATCCGGGTCACAGTCAATCATGGCAATGCATCGTGTACAGCAAGCATAAACATTGCCGAGAATGTCAAAAGGGAAATCATTCGAACGTGCACACAAGACATCGATCCACCAGTAACTATCAGGTTTGTCTTCAAGTAGCTTGAGTAGCGTGTTTCGCTTTTCCAATCGCATCGGAACGGGTTCCATTGGATGGCCATTTTCATCCTCCACGTAATTGAAAATATCATCCCACATGTGTTGATTGGTCTTGGAGATGTTCCAAAGATGGGATAATGCATACCATGTCGACGGAGTGAGTTCCCCTTTGTTGATCCTTTGCATGATACGATTTCGGTGGTATGAGTCGCTGGCAGGCTTTACAAGCTTCATTTTTGTCTTAGCGGCAGGAGATACATAAAGCAGCAGAAACTCAGAGTGGCCCAAGAGCTTACAGAGTCTCTTTTTGAATCGTCGCTTTCGTTCTTCTGCCCAACCTTTATGATTTATGTGAATCTTAATACACCAGTCATTAGCAGACGGTTACATCATGGTGTGGCATGTGCTTGACATACGTACTTGGGAGGGATCACAGGTACTAGAGTCGGCATGTACCATATTAAAGAGGTCAAAATGTAAGAGTGGGAGGGGTGGGAACAGTATTGGATATTCTCATTCCTTGTGTATTTATATACATGCATAATGCTAAAAGACGCATGCGTTCGTGCACAGAGATTTTGATGCATTTCTCATACTTTATAAGCTGCACGACAGGTGGAAGGAATAAGATGTCTTGGTACATGTGATCAGTGCATACGCTAACAAATAAGGAAATCTGGGTGTTGGGATGTCAAAACAAAGAATCCAAAGGGGCATAGGATGATGGTTGAAAAGAAGATCTCTTTTATTTCCTCATTTGCTATTGTGCTTCGCTTCCCAGCGTCCTATGAGCTATGTCCTCGTTCTTGCGCTATTGGGCTTTTCATCTTCACAGCTACGTTTTGTGCCTTGTCATCCATCCATGTGTGTTGTCAATCCTTGCCATGATCCATGGTCCTCGTTAGTCATCCTCTTGAATTGATAAATCCAGCTCTCGTTCCCATCACATGATGATACAGCATCAACACAACGTGATCCCATTGCTTTTCTTGCGTGAAGCATTCGTGTCAATGATTGACCCCAGGCCAATAGCAGTTCTGGTTATTCATACGTCTCGTAAAGTGCCTATGCAACAATAAGCATGTTAGCCATCTTTTCTTTTTCATTCTACTACCATCTCTTACCTTGAGCAACGGTAGTCCTTGTAACAACGTGCAACCATCTTAGTAACGTGTGCGTGCATATCGAGTGACAATCAGCTTGAGGCTCCTCAATGTCGACAATAAGACTCCCCGTGGAATTGGCTTGTCATTGTCAGCAGGTGTCGAGGATCAGGAGAATGAACCACTTGCGTAGTTGTAAAGTCATGTTGGCAGTGAGAGATCGCTGTGGTGGACGATGTCGAGCGAATAAGGTGTGGAAGAAACAGCACTGCATTAACGCGACGACGAGAGCTGAATTTTACGTGCAACCATTCCCATCATGCATCATCCAATCTCAACCAGATCCCATGATGAATAGATGTCCTAACGCCCAATACCAACGCACTTGATAGTAAAATAATGTATGATTATTCACGTCTCTTATATGGTACAATTATACTCGATAAGCAAATCACGGTAGACGTCGCTCATGTTTTTAACAGTTGTCAAATCCAAATGACGAGCACGATCATTGATTGTGAACAATGAAGGTGGTGGTACATCCATTTGACTTGAGGATTGGTTACACACGTAAGCCTCGACAAAGTTATCAAGCTCTGACAAAAAGTCATGCCAAACTTCCTTGGGATTCGCCATCCTTGGGATCTCAAATTGAAGCACACCGAGGACGCCATAAACATAATCAGAGGGATCCATACAAACTCTGGTGGACCCTCCAAATGTATCGAATAACGTGATAAGTGATGCCAGCTCCTTTTTATCCGAAACGCGGTAGGTGTTGAATTTTCGGGAAGTTTTCAGTTCCTTGAAGGCGGTGGTTGGGGCATGCAGTGTCCGTGTGCCTGTGGATAATGTGTGAATCATCTTGCGTGATATAAAGATCACATGACGTACCATGTCGCATACAGCAAAGAATCATCCTTCCCAGCATCGCTTCATAATGATCAAGGTCATCCATACAAAGCATGTTTTCATCAGAGACGTTGGTGGTTGTTTCAGACAAAAATAGGATGTCTTGAGGAAGCACCATTTCTTGCCAAGTCCAAACACGCTTCCACCATTCACATTGCGTCAACGAAAGAAAGAGCTCATTCAACTCTTCATACTGGGAGAAATACTCATCGAATCCTATTTCTTCTTTGTCGGATGCACGTGGAAAATGAGGATCCAAATTCTTCATCGTATGGATTTCGGATATGATACCAGGAGGACAATCGATCATGGAAATCGATTGAGTACAGCAAGCATAAATGTCACCCATAATGTCCAACGGTGTATCGGTGCGTGCACACAAGACATCGATCCACCAGTAGCTGTCAGGGTAAGCTCGTAGTAAGGTGAGTAGCGTGCCACGTTTTTCTGATCGCATCCAAATAGGATTATTCCCTTCAGGATTGATTGGCTCCCCATGTTCGTCATCGAGGTGGTTACTGATATCGGTCCAAAGCTCTCCCTTGGCTTTGGCAGGGCCCCAGTAATGGGATAACGCATACCAAGTAGTAGGATTGTTTTCACACGCGTTGATTTTTTGTATCATGCGTTCTTGATGGTATGCGTTCTTGGCAGGCTTTACAAGCTTCAGCTTTGACCCATCATCATCGGGTACATGGAGCACCACAAAATCCTTATGGTTTAAAAGTGCAGCGACTCGTTTTTCAAACAACCGTTTACGATTATCATCCCAGCCTTTCGCCTTAACATGTATCTATGCATGCATGCACTATTCGTTAATATGGGATTGGGGATGTTTCGTTTTGGCATACTTGGTTGGAGTCATAGGTATCAGAAGAGAGCATGATAATAAGCAGCTACAAAGAGAAAAGAGGTGGGAATTGAGAAACGAAAACTGTATTTTGCAGCTAATGCTGTGGTACCACAAGTACCTGTGCTTGTGTTACGTATGCAAAACGCCAACCGGACATGCCTTGATGTATGGTAATCTTTATGAATACCCAGCACGCATGTCATTTTCTTTTATTGGAAAAGAGTGCATGACAACGAATAAATGTGCCAAGTGGAATAAAGTTCGAGATAAAGAATGAGATGGTATCAGCTCAAGCTTACGAGATAGAGGAAAGGAATCTTGCAAATCAGTCATCGGAATACGGAAACACGTTCCGGATGGGAATCCTATAGCGTAACACGACATGATGATGCATCTGAATGCCACACTTACACGAAAAAGTAAATTCATCTCGTAATGAAAGGAGCTCTTTAATTTAATACCTAGTCATTGCCTAGGGTAGACTTGATCCATCTACAGCATTTGAATGCTCCCTTCTTAAATCAAATCAATTATCAGGTCTCACGTGAAAAGCTGTGTACAGACATAGTAGGCCAACCATATCTTTCCACCAGAATGAGAATGTGCTACTTAAACACGTGACATGTTGGTATTGGAATAGTGAGCTACGGTGGTGTCTACGTCTATAAGCAGGGTACTGAAGGCGCATTCACAGTAGTAACTGTAGCAAGCGGGGTTGTGTGTGCATCACATTTGAAGGCGACCAGAGGAACAAAAAATGGCTCTTGTCCTCCACTCGCGCGTTTGCAAGATAAGGCTTGTACTCTATTTGCTTAATACAAAGCATTCACTCCTACCATTGCTTCAATCCACAAGATCGTTGCGTGAGAATTCCAAACGAATCGGTAGTCCATTGACGTGTCAAAACCAACGACAGCGATGCTTTACAACAAAGGTACTGGCGATCTTTCCCTAACGCGAGCTTCATTACAGTACAGTACTCGCATTCAAGCACTAGACTCGTTTTATCGCTCATGCTTGGTGTCGTTCACGTGCAGCTCTCTATTGTCTTGCATATACAGTTCCAATTGACAACGTATGTATTCTTCCCCACTTTTTATCCTTACATTCTTACTCTTGGCTATGGTGAAAAGGAAAGCGGATGCGATGGTTCAATTACTATGATGCATTGCGTTTGTTCTAGGTTGAACATGTTGGAGGATGACACCTACGAGCAGTAACAAAATATGGATCTCGAAGCATGGTACGTATATCATTGTTGAATCTACAAGACAAAGTGTATTAATATGCGGTCCAACAAGGTGCCATGTATACAAGTCAATTGCATTGATTTGGAGAACATCTATCAACGTAAAACGCTACGACACCAGTGGACCCGGTACTAGCAGCAGCAAAGCATTATCCATCTTTATTGGTTATGGTGAGTGGGACGTTCTTTCACTGATGTGCATGCATACTGATGTTAATGCGATGTCAACGATATCATAGTTTGTGGTCGAGCGTTCTGGTAGCTTCGTGTCACGTGTGGTCATTCCAATATATCGATTGCTTTGGTGATGGCGTCATTCGGCATGGTATTGAGAGTGTATACGTTCAGCGGATAAGAAGAGCGGATCACTGGCTAGATGGGTCTCTGATGGTATTGCCAAGACTGGAACTTCCTTGTAAGTACGAGAGTGGATGTGTCTTTGTTACCAAGGATTAACAAGGACTGTTGGTTGTAGCATCATCTTTTACATTAGTCGCTGCGACACTAAGCAACAGCAAACAGCACGCAATGCTATCTTCTATGGGATGGGCGGACATTACAGGTGCGATTCAACGATCTTTGGTGCGCTGTTCTTGAAAGAGTCCTCATTCGATATCCGTCAATGATGAGACAGGCTTTTGGTGATGTACAGGTAAGGGAACAAATCATCAACGCAAAGTTGGCGTGATACGGATATTAATGATAGTTTTATATTTTAGCTGTATGGCGTTATGAAGATGGATGGATGGTGCACGTGATTATAGGAGAAGGCTGAATCAGAGCATATCTATTACAGCATCCGCTATGCTTTCCTTGTTCGCAACCGATTTATCAGGGCCTGCTGAGCATTTACAGTCATCAGATTCGTCACATTCAATCAATGGCATCGTTATTACGACATTGCGAGGTGGACTTATCGATTTGCATCGTGTCATGTTTCCATCATCATCATCTACTTCTTGGTGGTGCTAATCGCCTCTCAAGAAATTTGACAACAAGGACGTTTGGGTGATGGTTCTTATTCACCTTCGGCGACTGGTGATCAAGAAGAATGTAGTCAGCCTTCAAATGTACATGGTCACGCTCTTTTTATTTATCAGCAATTCGACATACAACGTCGACATGATGCAATGTTTGCAACCAACACGCACTCGTATCACAAGAAGAGTGGTGGAGGAGAGGATTCCTATTGCATGGTGGATGTGGATGGTGGAAGCTATACCTGTTGGAATTCATTGATATGGATGAGCCAGACGAGGATTGGTGTACATGCTTGATGGATACGGACGTTGCTTTGGTTCAGCTCTCCTTTTGGTCATCAGGAACATGGATTTGATTAAGCACCCAACACGCCTCCTCGACGAGATTGATGTCACTATTTCATGATGGGAGTGGACACCCTGGCAAAGAACCCGATTTCATCACGAATGCATCAACTTTTTCATGCACCCATTTATTCAGCTTCTCGTAAACTTTCCAGATTTTCATCCACTCACTTTATCAGCTCATGCACGATCCCCCAACGAGAGCTACCGGTTTATGCATTCCCCAACAGCAATACACTGCTTTTCACACGCCCACGGATCATATAAGAAAGGATGTTGTTGCCCATCATTGTGCTCCACCCATTTTCTTTCCTGCATCCATTATATCTCTTTGATTGCTTATATCGCCATATCACGATTATGCAAGAAACAGTGGCATTGAAGGGGGTGATGACAATCAAGAAGAAGGTGGCATTGGGCAATGATGACGCCCAACAAGTGGGCTTCTTTGAGCGGTGCTCACTGCAAGAAGATTATCGCGTGGAAGAAAGAGATGGGCAATCTTATGGAGGTGTTTGGTACGTTACTTGAGCAAGAATACTAGCACTGGCCTTATGAGTTTTGACTTGCATGTTTGTTAGGTCCTGATAGCGACATCATGAGGAAGCTTGAAGGCCTCGCTACAGGCGCCACGATCGAGCTGGTCGACGGCAAGGTCTTGGAGATCGATGGACCGGTTCAAAAGAAGGGTGATCATTTGATCAAAGTTATGTAACGTATGGCACAGGCAAAAAGTGGTTATGTATTTGACTATCAGCTTCTAAACAGACTTTTTCTTTGGTAGCTTGTAGTTTTTGGACCATCACCCAAAAACTACGTAACAATCTCAGTTGGCGGCACTGAGGTATCGCAGCACTTGGCTGCTTTGCAGCAAATGGTGGGTGCCAACCGAAAAGTGGCGGGTGAAGACAAACTCGATTTTTCCGTTTGCAAGATGGATGGCGAGTGGTCGGCTGTGCAGGTAGCACAATTTGCAAAGGATGTTGCAACAAGCTTGGATCAAACGCCACCAACAACCCACGACATCTTTGTATACGATGGTGTCGCTTTTGTCAACACCGGCGGCCACAATATCCAAGGTATATGTTATGCTCGTATGTGTCTCTTTGTTCCACTTCAACTAAGCAAATGTTGGTTTATAGTCCTTGGAGTCTGTCCCACGGATCAAACGAGCTCCATACATGAGTTGATCGGTATGCATTGATCCTCTTTAGGATAATCCAAAGCCATACTCATTATTGTTTTAATAGAGACGCTAAAGGGCGGGAAAAAAAAACCAAAGCGCTCTGGCGATAGAAAACACGACCCACTGCACTATCATCAACAAGAAGACATTTTCTTCGTTCATGGCCACTTTATGATTGATCACCAATTCAAGCCATTATCTGCTGGAATGCGGTATGTGATAATGTGGTCGAGTGGGAAGAGCTCATTGTTTTTACCAACATACATGTGAAAGGAAAAGCCTGTACGTATATACATATCCAGAGCCCATATCACGATACGATAGTTCACTCCTCCAAGCCCCCATGAATAAAGAGAATGAACATTTACATGCTTAATACCTTTATCTCCTTTGACCCATCATTGCTATTGTAGTCGAATTTGTGATTCTACGAATAAAAGTCTTACTCCTTATCATGTTGACACCTATGATACACAGTCGTATACAGCGAGGAGATTGCGATATACATCAGCCAAGTTTCGAGCAGCCGCCAAATCGGTTCTACGTGCTTCCTCAGTAATTGTGATAAGCCGAACTTGATTCTGTTCAATGTTGTTTGTGAATTGCGAACGCGTGAACTCTAACAAGAATTCATCCAGCTTGGATAAGAAACAATTCCAAACCACGTTAGGATCGTGGATGTGCTCATCCGTCCTTGGAATATCAAGAGGGAGTACGCCGAGCACACCATATATATAGTCGATTGCATACAAGGATTCCCTGGAAGATCGGCCAAACACATCAATCAAGGAAACAAGCAGCCTTGAATCCATCTGCTCCATAACACGATGCTTATCAAACGTTCGAGAATATCTCAATTCCTTGAAGGCAGTGGTTGGTGCGTGTAGTGGTCGTGATCCTGCATGATGCTGCATTAGTAAAACACGATTTGAAAAACAAACTCCATGTTTGCTTTACATACCATTCTTCATAAAAACAAAGAGCATTCTTCCTAGCATTGCCTCAAGGCGATAGAGATCATCCACATGGAGCATGCTATCCTCGGATACTTGCGTAGTCGTTTCGGCCATAAACTTGATTTCTTGGGGTAGCACCATCTCTTGCCATGTCCAAACACGCTTCCACCAATCGCATTGTGTCAAAGTGATGAGGAGATTATTCAGCTTCTCGTACTGATCAAGGAATGCCATGAAAGGCATATTCTCATAGGTATCCATATCCACATCCTTCATCGCATGGATTTGCGATATGACGGCAGGTTTACAGTCGACCATAGCGACGCATTGGGAGCAGCATGTGAAAATGCTTCCCATGAGTGTTGAAGCCTCTACGTTGCGTACGCAAAGGTTGTCGATCCACCAGTAGCTGTCAGGATGGTTTTTGAAGAGTGTGATCAAGGGCTGTCGCTTCTCAAGGCGCATATGTTGGTAAGGGCGGTCCCACAAATTCAATGGCTTTCCATGTTCATCATTCATATGGTCCCCAAGATCATGCCAGCAGTGTTCATCGTATTGCACTTTGCCCCAGATATGAGATAATGTGTACCAAGTCGTGGGTATAGCATCCGCTTTACTCTCGTTGATTCTTTGGATAATACGATCTCGATGGTATGCATTGTCGGCAGGCTTTACAAGCTGCATTTTTGACTCATCTTTAGGCACGTAGACCAACATAAACTCTGGATGGTTCAAGAGCGTCTCGATCCTTTTTTGAAAAAGCTTTTTACGGTTCTCGCTCCAGCCCTCTGTAGGAACATGAATCTAATATTATGGACATGTAATTCTTTAGCTTATGCTTGAACATCGATGATCCTACTACATGTGCTTGTTTACTTGGCAAGGCTCATTGTCGTTAGGTGTATCAGACATCATGTCAACTCTTGAAAGGAAAAAAGAGTGGGAAATCGAAAAAGGATGTTTGCAGCTGTTGTACATCAGTCCATGCATGCATACTTGTGTTACCTAATGAAACGCCAATCGGATTTGCCGTGCAGTACGGAAATCATTTTGAACGCTAACATACATTGCATTATTGCGTTTTGACGACTTTTTTTTTATATAGCGGTACAATACGTATCAATAATCTAATAAACGACAAGGCAAGGATGGAAGACAGGGTGGGAAATATCATAAAAGCGTGCGTGATGATGATGTTAGGGAGGTGGAGACGTGCCTTCCGAGATAGAATCATGTTGCGTAACCCTGTGCTACATGTCTACAAAGGAAATTCATGCGGTGAGCTAGTCTAAAACCCGTCATGCGCCGAAAAGGATGCTTTGCAAATATGATATTGAACCCCCATTCCCTCAGCAATCCATCACAATGTTTGAATCAAGATCCTTGAACCGTTTCACGTGACGCGTGATGCTCTTACTTTTCTCATCACGCTGGTAAAATAATCCCACCTTCCTCGTTGTCATACCCATCCTACCCCTTTCCATCCATCTACCCACAACCCTATGTTCCTGCATTCTTTTGATTCACAAAACGTTTCCTGGATGATTGCTTCTTTATAATATTCAATGACAAATTGTACATTTCATCTAATCTACCAGGTTGCTGGCTACCAAGAGTTCACTGGATGGATGAGTAACAAGGCAGGGATGTCAGTAATCCATATGATGTTGAGGGTTCCGCCGTCATTGATGAGCCATGTTGATGAGGAGGTGTGTACTTGAGAGTGATCCTCTTGGACAATAGCTGATATGGTATCATTTGGCGTTGAATCCATGTTGAGAGCGATGACGCGAACTTGCAGCATCGTATGCAGAGTCATTAGTCGGATCTCGTCACCAATATCACATACAAGCTTGCAACATAGCAATCCATCGTATCCTCGACTTGGTCCAAATCACACATTCTCAGCCTTGTGAACGAACACCGGTATCATAGTAAATATCTCCAGCGCAACATCCTTATCATCTCGTTGATCCAATGCCAATGTCGATTGTCAAATAAATGCTTCATCATCCCACATCCTCTGAACACCTAATCAGTGTTACATACGTTAGGCATGGCTTGACACTTTAATGCACAAATCCACCCTCTTCTTACCATGGCTTATAAGACTTCTTGCCACACCATGGGATCAAGCTTTACAGGACCAGTAGTTGTGTATGCTGGCACTTGCTCACGTGATAATCACTGCTGCTGCACGGCACACCCTTATCGACGATAGAACTATAGCTCCTGTTTGACTTTTGTTGTATCTTGTCAGACGACTTTACGATCGTAGGCAGTTGAATTGCAGAGGCTTTAGAGTAGGAATGCCTTCATTGAACACATTGACGGCCGGCGATTGCTGAATAAAAGAAAGAGAAGGACACCACAAGATGTAAATGGCAAAGAGATAGTAGCAATGTCAAGTTGAACGAGAGCTGGCGGTGTGTGTGAGAGAGAGAGAGGCGTGAAAGAAAGAATGCACACAAATGGATCTTCCCCCCCCCAATAGTTTAACCCCCAGCCTGCTTGATTGTTCCTGTAAGATCGGCATCATTCCATTTTAGCTACATGCTATTTGCCCATCTTTCTACAAGTGAAGCTATCAATAAATTATCCTTCAAAGACATCCAAATGGGTTTATTGTCATTGAATGCCACAGCTGAATCCACGTACTACATACAAAGAGCAACAGCGTATAGATCTTGTCCTCTTTTAAAGCATATAGCGTATACTTAAAAGGCGATGTAAAGGGATGATGCGGATGAATCAAGACAAAGCTGCCAAATACAGGCACACCACGCTTGTCTCACCCATGTGTAATTGGTGCCTACTTTTACAAAGCCTACTGGGACATCCACCCCATAATGCCAAAAAAAATGCATCCAACAGCATTGAATCAGATGACCATGGTCATTCACAACATTTCTTCCAATGGTAGGGTTACTCGAAAATGACAATGGCACCCATCATTTCTTTTATCATTGCAACCCTATCTCATACATCATTGGAAAATGATAATAGACTCTGGATTGCAGTAGTCAGCTGCATTATAGCGTAGCCAACAAGTGACCCAACTGATTTATGTGCCAAATTCGCGTAAAACAAAAAGAGCAAGTGTTTAGCTTGAATAAAGGGATGGGTATCTAGCACTTGCACTGGTCTGTGGACGATTTGCATTGCCATTCACCCTGATAGCATGCTGATGAGTCACCCGTGTCCAGGCCATAGCCACTACAGACAGAGTATTGGGTTTGGAGGCAGACGGATCCCAAGGGCGTATACGTTGTTTGTTGACATGAGCAGCAGCATGTGGTTTCCGCTTGTACGTTGGCAACACCGAGGATCAAAGATAAGGAAAAGACAACCAGGATAACTTGATGCACGTGGTGGAACATTCAACCAGTAGTAGTAGTAGTAGTGATGGGAAAGTAGATGATTTTTGTGGTAATGATGGTAGTTATGTATGGATCCAAGGCCATGTATTTATATTTTTTATTCAAAAGGTACATGAACGTATACAACGAGATGGCTAAATGTTCGAGACCTCGCATCACATCGAATCGAATCGAGAGAGCATACCCCTTTGTCTAATCAAGATACCTTGTGGTTGATGTTAAGCTGTTGGTGATTGCTTAGGTCCGTATATCGCATGCAATTCTTGGAATCCAATTGGTTTACTTTTCTTTGACATCCTTGCATTTTCTTTTCTCATATCAATGACGCCGTGGCAAAGGATTTATCACTGCTGAAGACCAAAGTAATGGATTTGTAGTATGCCAGGGGTTCATAGGCAATAGCGACCTTTCTCAAAAGATTCATGATGTGCCTTCTCTCGGTCTTTTCGCATATAAAGTAGATGACATCTGAGATGCAAGTGATCAAGCACAATCGATGCTTTCATGCAAGAACGGGTTCTCATTCCATAGCCAATTGCCCCCGATACATACAATCGCTGTTCGCATCCAAGAATTCGTAAAGCTATTATAGCTGTTACATAAATACGTGCGTAGGGTCGCGAATTAATAGCTTTAAGTGTGGAATGGAATGGAAGATGGAAATGTATGTAAACGTTGGATGCTGTACAAGCGGATACCATGCCACGTTTTGGTTAAATTACAACATACAGTAGGATGATGTGCTGCATACATCCCCTCAATTCAATCCAACCAGCAGTAGTATGTAGGACTGAAGTGGGCGAAAAAAGTTCAATGTTGTTGATACTACTGTAGGCTATTCGGCAAAGTGAACGGAACATGTCTTGGGTATGTACATGTTGTTACACGTAGCTGTAGCATGGCGCATGAATGTTTGTGTCGGGGCGCTTCATATCTCTCGCATTCATAGTCTCAGGGGTACGTAAAGCGGATGTGTGTTGGATGACGCATGATGATGGCATCTTTGGTGTTATCATAAAGGGATCATTGTAGTTATATGAAAAAGACAGTTTATTGGTCATTAATGTATTCAATTGACATCAATCATAGCAGCCATGGATATCGTGTATGATCTTTTGGTTTACATCTCAAGTGGGGTTGGTGGTGATGGGAGGGGGATGATCAAACGTGCGGCTGGGCCATTATCTGGGAGGCGCTGCTGCGTCTAAACGCGTTCATTCTTCTTTTCTATATTTCTTCCAGCCGCAACATGACTCTGCCAATGAGTAATTCTATGAGCAACAACAAGGCAATGACACCCTGACGTCTACAGCGCGGAAAGCGACATGCGATGGAAGGAGACCAACATCTGAACAGCGGCATGTTGCAAGCCTTTACGAGGATGAGCAAGGACAATGAGGGACAGGACAAAGAATGTGGATCGTTTACCGAGTTTGGAGCCAAAGTTACCCTATTGGCCAAAGACACCCAAGCATACAGAAGGATTCTTTAGGTATGTGTTGCGCACCAATCGTTGTCACCACCACCATGTATGTGCCGATAGCGCTATTCATATGTATGCATGATTTTTCGTTGCCAGGAAACAGCATCAGCAAGGTATCCTTGGTATTCGTATTAATCGGATTGGTGGTTGTCAGTGTATGCGATTTCCAAGTCTGAGCTTTGGTATTCTAGCTGATGCCGAGATGTCTTCCACAGGCAACAAGTACAGCCTTTGACTCAAGATCTTCAAGACAATGTATTGAAAGGATGGGAACAAGACCAAATGGAGAGGTGAAAAAGGTAGGTATCATGGGTCAACGTAGATGTAGTCAGTGGATTGGTGGATTAGCAATGTCGTCAATAAATAACCTATTTTAGAAGGATTTAGTAATTAAGATACACTTATCAAATGTCAAATGAAAGAGCATTTAAAAATACATATCAGCTACATGTTCTATTGTATTGTGCCACGTCTATCATGGTGGTTATGGTGGATTTGAAAGCTCAATGTAAGAGCGCTCTCCAATTGTGGTGGTTGATTAGACATGATGATGGAATAGGCGAATCATGATCGGTATTAGTGGTAGTGGTCAATGCTGAATGCATGGCTGTGGCCGATTGAGTGACCCTGGGATTGGGAGCATTAAAAGTAGGTGTATCATTTTCTTGGTCTGTTCTGGATGATGATGATTCTTCTTCTCAGTCACTTGAGTTGATGTGGGTGGTGGTGTTATTGAAGTGTGCATGACATCATGCAAGGACGCTGGCAAGGATGATCGACGTGGATGTGTGTCTTGATCCAAATAGGATCCCCCCAGGATCGATTGGCTCTCAGTGTTAGTCATCGAGATGGTTACTGGTATCGGTCCAAAGCTCTCCCTTGGCTTTTGCATGGCCCCAGCAATGAAGCATGCATACCAAGTAGTAGGATTGTTTTCACATGCGTTGGCCTTTTGTGTGTCATGCGTTCTTGATGGTATGAGTTCCTCACATGCTTTACTATAAACAATATTATAAACTTGATGAGAGAAACAACAACATTCGGTTGGAAGTACAACAACACGTTATCATTTGATCATGGTCACTGACAACATTTCTTCGAATGAGCGGATTACTCAAAAATGACCATGGCACCCATCATTTCTTTTATCATTGCAACCCTATCTCATACACCATTGGAAGACGATAATCAAAACTTCCTTGCCATGATATTTTTAACACCAATACAAGTAGCATAGAGGACATTGGATTACAAAGTGAGCTATGGAGAAAGCGATGGTATGATGGACTAACGTAGCCAAAAAAGTGAAAGCTGATTTATTTTCCAAGTTCGACAAAACGAAAAGAGCAAGAAGGTAATATTGGAAAAGGTGGGATGGTGAATCTAGCACTTGCACTCGTTCATGGCGTCTACGCATTGCCAGTAACCCCGGTCGCATGCCTTTGGGTCTCCATCGTCCATGTGTTTGCGATTACAGACATCGTGTTGGAATTCGGCACAACCACCAAAGAGATTAATCTGACATTCGCAGCAGCATGCGCGGTACGCGTGTACGTTGGCAGCACCGAGGATCAAAGATAAGGAAAAGATGACCAGGAAAAATTGATGCACGTGGTGGAACATTCTGCCAGTGATAGAAGGAGTAGTAGTGACAGGAAAGATGATGAATCTTGCCGTAATGATGGTGGTTAGGGGCCATGTCTTTATATTTTTGGATCCAAAAGGTGTTGTACATGTACGACAAGATTTCGAGACCTCGCATCATATGGAATCAAATCGAGGGAGAGCACTCGACCTTTGCCTACAAGCTGTTGGTGATTGCTTAGGTATAGCGTATGAAATTCTTTGTTTATTCTTGGATTTGGTTCACCTTTCTTTTGCCACCCTCACATTCTCTGATCTGGTGCATATCATCGACATTGTGGCAAAGGGTTGTCATTGCTCAAGACCAAAGTATGCCATGGGTTATTAAGCGACCTTTCTCAAAGAACCATGACGTGCCTTCGCTCGGTCCTTTCGCATATAAAGTATAAGGCATCTGAGATGCAAATGATCAGGTGTTGCCATCCTCCGCGCAGTGGATTCTCATTTCATAGCCATGTTCGCATACAAGTATTTGATTTTAAAGTATACGTGATAGCTATTGTATAAATACGTGCGTGGGGCCAAGTCAATGGCTTTACGTAAGGATGGAAATGTAAACGTCGGATTTGTATGTACAAGCGGATGCCGCATGCCACGTTTTGGTTAAATTACAGCATACAGTAGGATGATGTGCTGCATGCATCCCCTCAATGCAATCCAACCAGCAGTAGTATAGGACTAAAGTGCGCGAAAACAGTTCAACGTTGGTCATATTGCTACTACAGGCTATACGGCAAAGCGAACGGAACTCTTATGTCTTAGGTATGTATGCATCTATTGTTACACGTAGCTGAGTGGCATGGTGCATGAATGTTTGTACCACGTTTTACTGCAGCTAATCTAAGAGACGTTGCCAACAATCACACGCTCGCAAAAGATGGATAGATGAATTTATGTATTACTACGTACATCTCAAGTGAGGGATGGTGATGGGGCGGCTGAGCAAAAGATTTCCCCATTATTGGGAGGGAAGGCGCTGCTGCGTCTGAACGCGTTCACTTTTCAAGCTGCAACATGACTTTGCAAACGAGCAATTCTCCAAAGCAACCAAGCAATAGATCCATAACGTCCTTAACGCGGAAAGCGACATGCGATGAAAGGGGACCAGCATCGTTGAGCGAGTTTGAATGTCTAGGTTTCGAAGGGACTATTGACCAAAGACAACATAATGTAAAGGAGGATTCTTTAGGTATGTGCTGTGCACCAAGCATTGCCACCAACACCACCACCATGTACCGATACAGCTATTCATCTTTATGCATGGTTCTTCGTTGCCAGGAAACGGCACCAGCAAGGTATCCTTGGTATTCGTATTCGTCGGAATGGTGGTTGTCAGTGTGTGTGCGATTCCTCCAAGTCTGAGCTGGCGTATCCAAGACGACGCCGAGATGTTTTCCACATACAGCAAGTATACCTTTGGCTCAACATCTTCAAGACGACGTATTGGAAGGATGGCGTCATGACCAAATGGATGGGGTAGGTAAGGTGAAAGAGGTAGGCATCATGTCTTAGTAGTCGATTACATAGCATTGTTGTCAATAAACATCCCATTTTATGTATAGAAGGATTCAGTAATTAAGATAACTTTATATCAAATGTCAAATGAAAGAGATTCACAAATAGCATTCACAATATCAGCTACATGTCCTATTGTATTGAAATCCATATCCATGTCCACCGATGCAAGCGTGTCACGTGTATCATGCTGGTTACGGTGGATTTGAAAACTAAACGTAAAAGCACTCTCCTCTCTTGATGGTAGTTGATTGGACATGATGATGATGGGAATGGGCGATACATGATTGGTATTGGAGGCGGTATTAGTCAATGCTGAATGCAAGGCTGTGGCCAATTGAGTGACCCTGGGATTGGGATCATTAAAATTAGGCGTATCATCTTGGTCTGTTCCGGATGATGACGACGACTCTTCATTCTCAGTCACTTGAGTCGACGTGGGTGGTGTTACTGAAGTATGCATGATGTCACGCAACGACGCTGGCAAGGATGATCGACGTGGATATGCATCTTGTTGATGGTTGGATCTTGTCAATGGAGTACTAGTAGTGGGGATAAGGATTGGTGGTAACAACACGTTTTCACTATGGGATGCACTACACTTGGTGTCAGCAGTAGGGCAAGCTTTGTACGAGATAAAGATACCTACGTTGCATTCGGCTCCTCGTGTTGTTGTTGTTGGTTGCCATGGCTATTGTTGCGCTGATGATGTTGTTGATGATGCATGTTGCGAAAAGGATAAAGGTGGATCGTTTGTCTAGAAGACTCTATATATAAGGCGAGTGGATGTCATTGTTAACGGGGTAATGTTGTCATGGTATAAACAAAGAAGATCATTATCTACCATAATGGGAGCCAAAGAAAAAGCACAATTGGGCAAAAGGGATGTTTATTGAAGGATAATCTTTTTCTCTATATGGATATGGGTCCATGTTCCATTTGATAGGCTTCGAACAATGCACGATAGCAAAAATAATACTGGCTTACAGCTTGTACCATGGTGGTTCTTTGTCTTCGATACGCATCTGTGAGCGTGAACACGAGATCATTCTTGTCCAAATCCTCCTCTTGGATCTTGATGGCATTTTGTTGATGCATCATACGAAAATACTGGATACCACTATTGATGACACAAAACGTGCCTGTACGACCACATCCTGCACTGCAATGAACGATCATAGGACCTGCATCTTTGGGTTGGAGTTGGTCGGCAAGATGAGAGAGAGCAATGACGGGGTGGGTATCATGAGGCACACTGAAATCGGCCCATCCCAAAAACTGTAGCTGGGTCACCGTCGTCTTTTTCAATACTTTGTTGTCGTCATTCATAAAGGTGGCATGAATCCTTCGTATCAAACAATCAGCCTTTTCATCATGTTGTTCGGGTTCTGGGGTGGATAATTCGACATGGAGATGATGACCTTTGATGACAAGCGGGGGTTCATTGTAAAGAGGCCAATAACGAGCACATTTCTCCATGCCATTCTCGAACTCGGGAGAAAGAGCCACAATCAAACGGGTATCTTGTTCAATCACCATACGCCAGAAATCTATCAGCGTCGATCGAATAGGTCCCTGAGAAGCAATGTACTGCCGTGGGATACCGAGCGGTGCCTGGATCATGCTTGCATTGATATAATCATCCCCTCGTGAAGGATCAATCGCCATCAACGACGTATCCTCAAGACGCACTCGATTGTAGTTGAAGGGGATAATGTTGCTGTATCGGTTCTTGGCTTGGCCCACCGCACTGGTTGCTATCGACACACTGTAACGAGCATCCTGCTGCATGCGATGCACTTGTCGCTTGTTGAGTTGGCGAAATTGCTCAGAGACATAATCTTGGACCGATGCCGTGGGTCGCGATAAGAGGGTGGCGAGGAACTTGACTGCTGATCTATCCGCCATGATGGAACAAGACGTTAAAGAAAAGCCACGATGGTCTATCTGTCTCTCAGAAAGGGCGGGCGGCATTGACTGCTGCAGCTGGTGGAGGTAACAATACAGGTGCCACAAATGTTTTAGTTTCTTTGTCTCTCTTCCTCTTCTCAACACAGACCCCTACCCTAATCGAATGGCTGGCACGTAAGTAGTTTGAAGTCTTGCATGCTGTTGCTCCATGAAGCTCACATCCTTATACTAGAACGGTGCCAAAGCAACATGAGATTCAAGTACCCGAGACATTGTTGAAAAAGAAGCGTACGGATGAAAGAGTAAAAGAACAAGCCCTTCAAGCCAAGCAAGCTGAACAAAAGGTATACCGATACAAACATACATGCCATGCACGCAATCTTTATTCATTCATATTACATGATAGCAACGAGCGGTCAACCGTCAACTTGCATTCAAAAGAGCAGATCAATACGTCAAAGAATATCGACAACGAGAACGAGATGAGATCCGACTACGTCGTCAAGCCAAAAGCGTTGGCAACTTGTACGTTCCTGCCGATCCCAAGCTGCTGTTTGTCGTGCGTATCAAGGGTATCAATGATATCCATCCACGTGTTCGCAAAGTCTTACAACTCTTTCGCCTCTTGCAAATCAACAATGGCGTCTTTGTGCGTTTGAACAAGGCAACGGCGCAAATGTTACAAATCATCGAGCCCTATGTCACTTATGGCCCTCCCAATCTCAAGACCGTACGTGAACTCATCTACAAGCGAGGATTCGTCAAGGTGGATGAACAACGTATTCCCATCACCGACAACGATGTCATTGCAAAACAACTCGGCAAGCTGGATATGATTTGTGTGGAGGATGTGATCCATGAGATTTATACGGTGGGTCCCCGTTTCAAAGAGGTCAATCGCTTCCTGTGGCCTTTCAAGTTGAACAATCCTACAGGAGCATGGGAAAAACGCAAGTTTCGGCATTATGTGGAAGGTGGTTCAGCCGGTGATCGTGAAAAGGATATCAATCGATTAGTGCAATCCATGATTTGATTCAATGTATATAATATAAGGGTCTTGGCTTGTGTATGCGTCATTGTATGTGGATTGGATGGGGCTTGTTGTGGAGTATAATGTTGCCAGTGGTCTCCTCTTTTGGGGCACTTGAAGTGCGACACGGAATGCCCTTCTAGAATGAATAGCCTATTTGATCCAGTGATAAGAGATACAATCCCTCCTAAGTTTACCCGGCATCCTGCGTCCTGCCCTTTCCTGCCGAACATTATCTGGTTGTTCTTGGATCAACTCTATAAACGCCAACCATGTTCAAACCGGTTTTGCTGCATGAAGCTTGCGCCAACGACAAGAGCTGGATTCGATTTTTTTGCATGGATCGACATGCCAAGCTCCTTGATATGTAGGGGTAACTTTTCGTAGCTAATTTTTGGTGTGTTGGAGATACCTTACACGTGAACTATACTACCCACTTGTTAAAGAACTCATATGTTGGGTGAGTTTTCACACCTACAAGGTAGCCTGGATGTTTTGTGTCTTATGTAAACGAGCAAGTTTACACTCTGTAGACCTTCTCCTTAGTATTATTTCGCCACATGCAGCCGATGCCGTTATGTTCATGTGTGTCTCTGCATTGTTTGATGTTGCTATGCATCAAAGTGGTTACTATTGCTACTATGACTACGGTTGCTTGGCAACCAGAAATCTATAAAAGATCAATTACCAAGCTTGGCTGTCACCCATAATCACTCATCAAGATGAACTTCAAATTATCCCTTTTCCTTACTCTCATCATTGCAGCCTTCATGGTGGTAGCTGCACCACCACCACCGCCACCAACATCAGATCCTGCAAAGTCTCAAGGAAATACTCAAGCCTCTGGAGCGGATGATGCTGCCCACTCAAGTCCAGGGAATGGCCAAACCCTCAGCATCGAAGAAATGAAAGCAAAGTGTTCAGATTATTGTAGAGCTGCCAATCCTTTTTACTTGAGCGAATGTGTGACGCGATGCGAGACTATCGTTAAGAAATGCACCAAGACACAGTGCCCTATTTAGCGGTTGTTGTAGATGCTATGATTGTGCTTTAAATACAGCTGATCTCTTTCACTGTACCCATAATACGATACCAAGGGTTGCTTGTGAATCATTTCCATGTAGGATGCTTTATGTATGAAAATGATCAAGATTACCTATGCAGATGTTCCCCTTAGCACTTTTTCGCCACACGTAGCCAATCCCCTTAGATGCCTGTATCGTTTGATGTTCTTACCCATTGTGAGGCTACTCCTACTACTGCGGTACCTTAGATTCCACAAGTCTATAAAAGGTTGCTTCAAAAACCAAGAAACGCGACTTTTATGCATTAGCAGCTCATCAAGATGAATAAATTATTCCTTTTTATTACTCTCATTCTTGCTGTCGTCACGGTGATAGCCGCACCACCACCGCCACCACCATCGTCCGATCCCACAAAGTCTCAAGGAGAAGGTGGTCAAACCTCTAGTTTGGATGGTGCTGCCAACGCAAATCAAGGGAATGGCCAGACCCAAAGCTATGAAGAAATCGACGAAAAGTGCAAAGAGTGCTGTAAAGCGTACACTGGTTACCATACTCTCATGTGTTTTGCCGGTTGCCGGTCCCACTATGCCAGATGCAATAAGCCTCAGTGCTAGCTAGTGGTTGTAGATGTTATGATTTACACGTTTGTGCTCTAAATACACCTAGTCTCTGTTACTGCACCCATGATAAGCGGTACCAATGGAATATCAAGTGTTGTTTGTGAATCATGTATACCATGTTGTTAGGTAGATGCTTTATGAAGATGATCAAGATGACCTAGGTAGACATTTTTCCTTAGCACTCTTCGCCACATTCAGGAGACGACCCCCTTTAATTTGTATGCCCTTCTGTCATTTGATGTTCTTATGTATCGTGAGGTTACTCCTGTTGCGATGTCTCAGCTCCCAAAAGTTTATAAAGACCGATTTGAAAATCAAAGCAAACACGACCATTACCACAATAACTCATCAAGATGAACATCAAATTATCCCTCTTCATTACTCTCATTATTCCTGCTCTCACAGTGTTAGCCGCAGCACCATCACAACAACCCGATCCCCAAGGAGATGGTCATCAAGCCTCTGGTTTAGATGGTGTCCAGGCGAGTCCTGGGAACGGCCAAACCCTCAGCCCCGAAGAAATGAAAGAACAGTGCTTCGGCTATTGTCAAGTTGCCGATGAGGAGTTGCTTTACGCATGTTTGGGCAGCTGCAAGTTTAACATGGAGAGATGCAATAAGCCAGAGTGCAATTGAGGGGACTTCTCTAGAGTATAAAACCAGCTACATAGTTTTCCTCCAAATCATGTGACATAAGCGAGATGCGAAAATAAACGAATTGATTACCCAAATGGATATGCTGGTTTGCATAACAATGTTGGTACCTGCATCATTGAGATGCCACGCGAACCAAGGGAGGGATGGTATGCTCATGTTGGAATGTGCGAGATCGCGTATGAAAGAAATAGGGTGGGAGATGTATTCAATGATCATGGAAACGATTACGCGAATGCATGAAAAGAGCTGATGTCTGCTTCATCCATACTGTACCACGCATACCTCTCCCTCTTTGCTTGTTTATTGCAAACACACACCCCCTAATCATCTGTGATAGATAGACTCGCTTGCACGGATTCAATCTTCCCTTTATAATGTCACATGCAAAACAGATTTTGATGAGTGCTATTATGGAGGATCTGAAAATTTACGGGGTGGGATGGGTAATATGGTAGCGGAGCTGAGAGCTGTTGGCATGGAGATGGGGTGTATTGTTGGTTGCTCTAGATACGTATAACGTATATGCACATCCATAGTAGATGCCATCATGTCTCATAAGCTGGTAGTAATCTGATCCATCCTATTTATTGCCATCCAACATCCTAATGTATGACTCTATATATGCAGTACTGCTACTACGGTGCCGGCGGGTCATGTATGTCTTGATAGTGCAACAGAATGATACGCAAAACGAATCCTGCTTGTAATGTCCACCTCGCTCGTCAGCTGTACAAATCGACTTCCACGTAACTCTGAGATATTACCTTTTTCCACCGTGCCGTGGTCAACGTATGTATTGTATTGTCAGGGCCGTTGCTTGTTGTAATCGGTAAAAAGAGAAAGGAAAAGGGGTGTGTTAACAAGACAAAGAAAAGAGCACATCTCTCCCAAACTTCCTGCTTGCCTTTGTAATATGCGATAACGCCTTTCCAACACTTGCAGTATGTCCAATGTTGCTTGTAAGATAAGGGTTGGTCGTGAAAGACGTGCACTTGTTGACAAGGAGAGTTGGATCGGTCCTCACGATGCGAATGAACAAAAGAGCTGTGACAATGTTATAAAAGCTACTGGTAGCAGTACTGATGCCTCCACACACTTCATTGCTGGACAACATTCCGTATGCCTTGCTGATTGAGGTATGTTGTTATATAAAATCGCTGAAAACAGGTACATGATAAACAGTGTTGAGATGCGGTTGCTACCTCCTAGGCGCCTGCTTGGCCCAATGCAGATCTAGTTTCAAGAAATGCAATAAACCACAATGTTAGTGGGTGGCTGTAGATACCATCATTATTTACGTTTCTGTGCTCTAAATATAAGTGATATCTTTTACTGTATATACCTATGATAAAGTGCCGATGAAATTTCGATTGATGTATGTAGGTGAATCGTTTCTATCATGCAGTACGAGTGCTTTATGAAATCATCAAGTTGAGCTAGGTAGACGTTCTCCTTGATACCCTATAGCCATCCCCTTAGGTTTACAGGTTCCTGCGTCTCTGATGCATGGGGTTATCGTCAGCTAAGTAGGACTACTTATGGCGTTTTCACGCACTTAATAAAAGAGCTATTCGAAAATCAGCAACAACGACAACAACCTCATCAAGATGAATTTCAAGCTATCTCTCTTTATTACTCTCGTCGTTACCGCTCTCACGGTGCTAGCTCAATCATCTCCAAATCCCACAGAGGCCAAAGGAAATGGTTACGTCCCTCCTGAGGAGAGAGAACAAGCGTGTTCCCAGCTTTGCAAAGAAGCAAACCTTCGTGATGCTCAAGATACAAAAGGATGTGAAACAAAGTGCATGGGGAACTTGAAACAATGCAGCAAGTTGTTTTGCAGATCAGCACTAGTTAAAGCGTGCAAACTACCCACATGCAAAAAGTATCAGTAGATTGTTTACTTGCAATGAATTTGATACGTTTCCACATCCCATCATACGCTATCTATTGCTCTTGTCCATGATGCCATCTCTTTTTTTTATAAATTACTTTATTATAGGGTGGATTGATATAATGGTATGCACATCTTTTGGATGATGAGAATGAAGGGGAATGATTATGCAACAAAACGAGGGAGTTGATCAAAGAGGGATGTAAAAGAAGAGGTGGTCGTGTTGGGAGTGGCATCACTAATATCAATGGCGTACAATAAGCTTTCTTTGGCTTCTTTGAAGGATCCTTGATGCTTGTAGACTTGACCTAGCAAAAGCCTACAAAGACACGCATGATGAGTATACCATCCCCCATCTTGTGAATGTATCTAAAACGTACCATGCTTCAGCACAATCCCATCCACGTGCTTTGGTAGCTCTTTCCAATAAGCCTTGAGCCACTTCCCATTCATCCAATCCCATGTACAAGGAGGCGAGATCAATATGGGTGCCCAAATGTTCTGGATCCAAGGTCAATGCCTTATGATAGGCCTCCAAAGCGGTTTCCGGATCCGTGGTATGACGTTGGCTGGCAATACGACCAATGTGTTGCCATACATCCGAATCGACCAATCCAAGTTGCTCAGCTTCCGAAACAGCCTTACCCGCTTCATCCAGACGACCTGCTCGAATAAAAGTGGATGCCGTCATGAGCCATAATTGAACCAACAACTTTTGCCATCGTTCACGCATAGTGCGGATAAAGGTGGTTTGTGTGGATGAATGCGTGATGGTATGACAAGGTGGCGAGAATAGAGGTGTATGCGAAAAGGGGGCGATAAAAGAATCATTCTTTTTGTCATTGTCTTGTTGAATGGATGAACTGCGTGAACGTGCTGCTGCTGCTGTTGTTGCATGATTCTGGCATATAAGGATACGCAAAGTAGTAGGGGATTATTGTGGAATATACATGTGTGAATGTTGTCATTGTGTGCCATCTTTTATGGTCATTTCTACTTGAGATGATCAATACGTGTATTGGCACTTGAAATACCACACCAGGGATCTTAAAATGAATAACCTATTAGATGCATCGATAAACGATGTAATCCATCCTTAGATTCACACACCACCTTGCATCCTATTATGTATGCTTTCCTGCCAAACACCATGTAATCAACATCGGACATGCCTCATACCGGTTTTGCTGCATAAAGTTTCCGCCAACCGCAAGAGCTGGAATCCAATGTTTGCATGGATCGTCAAAACAAGCTCCTTAATAGGGATGACTTTTCGTAGCTACTTTTCGTGTGTAGTAAATACATACTTTACATTTTGAAATATGACATCCACATGATAACGCGGTCATATCGTTGGATGAAATTTCACACCTACAGTGTACTCAACGTTTTGAAGCTTTACGTAAAGGATGAGTTTACTTGTAGGTCTTCTCCCTAGTATTATTTCGCCACATGCAGCCAATGCTGTTCCGTTTATGTGTCGCTGCGTTGTTGTTTGATGTTGCTATGCATCAAAATAGTCGCGAGGCTACTGCTTGTATGCTGTGATTTACCTACTTGTTCACTAAATACAAAGGATATCTTCACTACACCCATAGTAGGTAACAATACATGTTTCGCATTGTCTGTAGTATGATCTGCCATCTCTCATGTAGTGCATACGGGTACTTTATGAAAGGTTCTCCTTAGCACTCTTTCGCCACATCTAGCTGACCCCCTTAAGTTTGCATATCTCTGCATCGTTCGAGGTTTCTATGCTGTTTACTGTACTCCTACTGTAGTAACTTAGATTCCAAAAGTCTATAAAATGATCCATTCGAAGCCCAAAGCAAACACAACTTTCGATCCATTAATAGCTCATCAAGATGAACTTTAAATTATCCCTTTTTTTTACTCTCATTGTTGCTACCATCACGGTGCTAGCTGATCCACCTGCTGGACAACCACAAGGTGGCGCAAATCAAGCATTTTCGGAGGCGGACAAGATAGTATTCGGTACCCAAGAAAACAAAGCAACCTGCCGGGACCGGTGTAAAAATAAAATTGGTTGGGCCAAGGGGGTCTGTATCTCCAATTGCGCAGTTAGCTTTCATGGTTGCAATAAACCAAAGTGTTAGTTGGTGGTTATAGATACCATCATTGTTAAAGTTTTCGTGCTCTAAATAAAGCGATATCTTTTACTGCACGTATCCATGATAAGGTACCAATGTTCTTTCGACTGTTGTAGTTGTGTAGGCAAATCGTTTCTATCATATAGTACGGGTGCTTTATGAAAGGTTATCAAGGTTATCAAAGAAGCAGACGTTCTCCTAGCAATCTTTAGCCATATGCAGCTGATCCTCTTAGGTTTACATGATCCTGCATCTTTGATGCAATCAGTTATCGTCATCTATGCCTCCTTAGTTTCCGCGCCTTAATAAATCGGCAATGCCACCCCATTTTTTTTCATCAAGATGAACCTGAAGCTATCCCTCTGTTACTCTCGTCGTTGGCACGCTCACAGTGCTCGCCAAACCACCACCTCCAGGTCACCCAAAGGCTCAAGACAATGGTCAAGCCTTCGATGCTGAGCAGGCACAACAAGCGTGTTCCCAGTTTTGTAAAGAACTAAAAACTCCAGATTCTAAATCGACAATGCTATGTGGAAGTCTTTGCATCATAACATGAAAAAATGCAGTAAGCTGATCTGTGATGAACAAAAGGCCAAATTTGTGCACTCTACCATCGTGCAAAAAGTGGACATAGATGCTACGTATGATCACTTGTTTAAGATCTAAATATAACCTATTTCTTTCACTGTAGCATGAGACAGCAGCAATAGAATCTCAAGTGTTGTAGGTCGCATACACGTTGCTATCTCGTAGCTCTTATCCATGATGCCATTTTTTTGGTAAATTACTTTATTATAGAGTGGGTTGATATAATGGTATGCACATCTTTTGGGATGAGGAGGAGGAAGGGAATGATTATGCAACAAAACGAGGGAGTTCATCAAAGAGGGATGTAAAAGAAGAGGTGGTCGTATTGGGAGTGGCATCACTAATATCAATGGCATACAATAAGCTTTCTTTGGCTTCTTTGAAGGATCCTTGATGCTTGTAGACTTGACCTAGCAAAAGCCTACAATAACGCACGATGAGTATACCGTCCCCCATCTTGTGAATGTATCTAAAACGTACCATGCTTCAGCACAATCCCATCCACGTGCTTTGGTAGCTCTTTCCAATAAGCCCTGAGCCACTTCCCATTCATCCAATCCCATGTACAAGGAAGCAAGATCGATATGGGTGCCCAAATGTTCTGGATCCAAGGTCAATGCCTTATGATAGGCCTCCAAAGCGGTTTCCGGATCCGTGGTATGACGTTGGCTGGCAATACGACCAATGTGTTGCCATACATCCGAATCGACCAATCCAAGTTGCTCAGCTTCCGAAACAGCCTTACCCGCTTCATCCAGACGACCTGCTCGGATAAAAGTGGATGCCGTCATGAGCCATAATTGAACCAACAACTTTTGCCATCGTTCACGCATAGTGCGGATAAAGGTGGTTTGCGTGGATGAATGCGTGATGGTGTGACAAGGTGGCGAGAACAAAGGTGTATGCGAAAAGGGGGCGATAAATGAATCATTCTTTTTGTCATTGTCTTGAATGGATGAACTGCGTGAACGTGTTGCTGTTGTAGTTGTTTGTGTAGAAGAAGAAGTAGGTGGTGATGTTGCTGAGGGTGATTCATGTGATGATGATGAATGAGAAAGTCGTCTGATATCCAAAAACACCATGCTCTTTTTACGAGGTCGTTTCTTGAGAGTATTGTTATCAGCCATATCTTCAGGAATTGGTGGTGGAGGGGGTACTTGGGAAGGATCCAATAACTTGGAGGAGGATCGAGAAGGTGAAGGTGTTGTAGTAGATGATGATGATTCACTGGCACGTCGTATACTTGGGACAACTTCTCCTTGGTGGTTCATGCCAAGACCTTGAGCCAATTTTGTGTAAATGGCAAACAATTCATTGTACGACTTTAGCACTGCATCGGGTCCTTCCATTTTCTCAAGCAATGCCACTTGTGCCATCCGAATATGCAAATACGCCTCCGCTTGTTCATAGTACCTTCGGCTGTAATTCTCTCGCTCACTCCATGATAATACTGGTAATCCATACTTCAAATTGGTGGGAATGTCATTGGTATCAGGAGCAAATCGTGAAAGAGCCGTTTGGATGGTCTCGAGTGCACGTGGTGACGTGTCGTTGAATTGGCGGCAGGAATATAAAAGCGAAAGAAGATGCCATGATGGTAAATGAGAAGGCTCCAAATGCAAAGAACGGCCTATGGAATTCAATGCCGCTGCCACATCCTTGATTTGGGCTTGTTGTGTTGCAAGTTCATAGTGGGTCTGCCATGATGTTGGATCCAATTCTGCAGCTTTGGTCAAGGAGTCGATGGCTTCATGATGACAGCTTGCTCGCACCTCAGGTGATTCACCTTAACAAAGAGAGAGAGTCAAACTCTTTTCCCCTGATGATAACAATGATGATGATGATGTTGACTTACATTGAATGGCATAAAGACCATAAGCACATCCACGCATACGATAGCATTGTGCAACCAAAGCATCCCATTGTTTGTTGTTTTTCTCGTTCCTTGCCTCATTTAAATCCTTGACAAGTTCAACCGCCACATCCGCCACATGAGCTGCTACATGGCCATTGTGTCGTTCTCTGCCATACAATTCCACACCCGCAAGCAAGACATGAATGACATCGATCTCCGTTTCCTTGGTATCATGCACGGTGCGTAGTCGTTGTTGGATGCTGTGTACCTTGACATCCTCCACCACCGGCTGATCAATCTCTGGCATGCCAACCAGTTCCATATAGCTGCGTAATGCATAAGCGGCTTCCACAAAGTTACCCAATCGCATCAAGCAAAAGAAAATGTAGCGTGCAATGCAAATGCTGTTAAAGGTGCGTTCCTTGGCTGCTTGTAAAAATTGCAACACACGGCGGATGTTGCTAATTTCGCCCCATCCAATAGCATCGTGAGCATCCGTCATTAATTCTGCCAGTTCGAGCACGTAGCGTACATGGTTGGATGGATCGGAATGAGAGGACAAGGAACTCAAGAGGTTGCGATAAAGCGCTGTCAAGCATAAAAGTTCCTCATAGGCAGAGGCTTGATTGGTGTCATTGATAGCCGAGACCTTGTTGGGAGGTTGCAAATCGCCTTGGATAGCCATAGGAAAGTAACTTCCCTCGTTGCACGCCTTGATCAAGAAACGAGCGTAATAACGAAACACGATCCACCGTTTATGCATGCGCCAGAATGAAGACCAATGCGATGTACTCAAGTGCATGTAGCCACGCATCAAACGTAACACGCTTCGTGGTGTCCCACTAGATAAAACAGTATCAGCATCCCCTTTTCATTGTATGTTTCACCACCACCCCTTCAACATACTCTTCTCGTATATGTAAAAGGATAGCACGATATAAACATTCTTCAATCCAAGACCATAGCACTTCTCCTTTTTCTACTGGATGTTGTTCATACACACTCCAAGCGGCTTCATAGGCTTCGATCGCTGATGCAATATGACCCTGCATTTCATAACATCCACCTAGCATCATCTCCTTGTGTTACTATCCACTCTCACTCACTACGTACGCTTGTCTCTCCTTTACCTACCTTTGATGACTCTGGCTTGGATCAACAAGACCATGCCATACCCCGAATGGACTTGTTGCATGGGTAAAGCCAATCGTTCCAATGCTTCAAGGGCTTGATCATAGCGTGCTGTCTCAAAGTAAATCCGTGCTAAGATGATTTTGGCAAACTGCAGTGGGTAACCATCGAAATGAATTTTCTAATTTTGGTATGCCATTCTATAATTTGTCCTTGTGTTACCTACCTGTGCCTGCCACTGATCATTGGTTTCTGGCTCTTGGCCCGGGCCATCACCTTGATGTTGTTGAATGATCATCAAGAGCTTTTTCAATATGGGGTCGGTCATGGCGACATCCAAAGGACCAGGCAAGGTGATATGATTGGGTGTATCATTTTCATACATGTCGGTCTCATGAGATGATGATGATGTTGATGATGATGGCGGTGAAACAAGATGTGTTGTGGATCGATTCGTAACAGCAGGGACATGGTTGTTGATGGGTATTTTGCGTTTCTTTGAAAGTAAAATGGCAAATTCGGCTTCAAGACGAGCTGTTGCTTCAAGCACTTTAAGTCATAGATTAGGATCATCGTTGTCCGTGCACACACACACAAATATAAACAAAAATGGGTGTTGTATATACGTACCTGATTCATCCGGATGATATTTCTTGTAACGATCTGCCAATACAGGGATGGATTGCCATTGTCCTTTACATCGAGCCGTATCCAAATCAGCAGCTGCTTGGAGCGGCTTGGAAAGTAGTTCCATCGTCGTTGTGTAGAAGGAGTGGTGAAAAAAGGGGGGGAAAGAAAAAGCGCGGGCGCGTTGACTGGCTGTTGTTGACGGAAAGAGAGAAAGAAAGACTGCTGAGTCTCGCTCACAGGGTGATACCAGTAATATACGGCCACTCTCCACGTGTTTTTCCCTTTCGGTTGTAATCCAACTGACAAGTGCTGGGTTATCACAAATAGGTAGTCGTCTTCTTCATCTTGACTGCTGCTGCCATGCATCGGCGTCCTCTTCATCACAACTCATGTCCAATTGGGGGCTGTTGATGGTGTGCATGTGTGTCGCATTCGCATTACTGACGGCGTTGAAAAGAAAAAGAGGAGAGAGAAAGAATACGTCTTCCGCTGTTTGCCAAAATTGTCCTGCATATCAACTGTCATCGGTTGCTGAGTGAAGCGATGGCACGTGACCCCTTTCATGCTTCATGTATACCCCATACACACACGCTCGTCATGCACTTAAATAAGTAGCTTTAGTTGGAGATAATAAAAAGTAGAACCAGATCCCTAAACGAGATTTACTGTTTCTGTATTCATTGTCTATGATGTAAAGGACCCCATGATACAACTATAGGTTATTGCTGGTTCTAGTTTCTCTAATTTGACACACGCGACGCAACAATTTTGAAATTCCTGATAACCTTGAACAATGTGTTGCGTGTAGATGTGATCAAAGTCAACCATGAAAAGAAAAAGAGGATGGGCTTTTTCATGTTGGAATAGACGCCTGCATGGACTTATCCCTCTTTCCCTGAAAGTTACGCCACCATGTATATCTTCTACTCAACGTATATCATAACCTACGCCGTTGACATTAGGGTGGATGTACGCAGCATCACCTCACAAACCAGATGCTGTAAATGAGAGCATGTAATGAGAAGGATGTTACTTTCATGGTACGTATAAAGAGGTTGAAGATGCTATTTGTAAATTGTACGGTGGGGTATCTACAGGGTCATGGAGATGAAAACGTCACATCGTGAATGCTGTACATAAAAGCTGGATACGTATAGATTTACTCCTCGTGATTACAGGCTTAGTGCCACACATAAATGAAACGATTTATTCATGGTGTCAAAATTGGAAACATCACCATGAGATCTAACCGGCTTGTAGATACGAAAAATAAAGGTGGGCTTTACTGTGATGGTTGTCCCATGATACCAGCTGCAAGACCTTCGCGGCTCACTGGGGCGCTCACTGGGGGAACAACCTGATACTCTGCACAATCGTAAGTTTTGCACATTTTTAGATAGTGTGGGTCAGTGTTCGATGCGTCACACTTTTTGTAACACTCGTCTAGGAGTTCTTGTCGCGTAGGTGGTTTTGAGGAGGCAGAATCTTTTCCGTCAATTGGAGCAGGTTGAGCTTGACAATATGCCACAAAGACCGCCAAAACAACAACGAGAGCAGTGATGGAGAATGACTTGAACATTGGAAAAAGACCTTGATGTAAAAGAAAAGAAGAATGAAAAGTTACATCGAAAAAGCTCACCTTTTTATGACGCATGTTGTATGCAAAGATGGTCCGGAAAAAAGCTGCTGGAATCCCTTCAAATAAGTAGTATGTATGGCGCTGAAGTACGTACATCCTCCCCACTCCAAACATACTTGGCATCTTACTTTCTACTCTACTACCACGGTAAGTGTTGGTGCAATCACAAAAGGGCAATTACATTCTCGTCGAATCCAAGGCAACGGGCTAGAAACATGATAGGAATCATGCCATGCTAGGTAACCACAGTGATTAGATACAGGTATCTCTCGCCTACATGTGCACCAAAACCTAATAATAGTATCATCTCTAGTAGTTCTTAGGCTAGCTGATTGGGCCATTGTGATCACTACTTGGGTTGGTTGTCCAAGATGAGAGCATGTATGGTCGTTCAAAGAGACGACGCATGTGTATTTTGTTGCAGTAGTGGTAACATCGCCTTGAGAAATCAAATGCCGTAAACAAGAAGGAGAATGATAAGGGTGATGTTGGTGATGCTATCGCTAAACCAATTGGAGGATATCGATGCTTGCATATCGCATTATGCATCACGCAAATCACATCGTGATGATCTCGGTGTTAGGAACCAACGGTAGTAGATCCAACATCCTACTAAGCGGCACTTCCTTTACTTGAGTAAGTATATGATTGTGAAAGACGTACGTGTCATGAAAAAAAGATCTGTTCAGAAACTCCAACTCGTGTATGCACCTGCGTGGGAGACGAAAACGTTGCATCATGAATGCTGTAAGAGCTGAATACATCATCATCAAAGACTCGATGCCACACGTAGTAAATCAAGCAATTTATTCATGATGACTATGTAAATTGAAAACATCTCCATGAGACCCAATCTGCTTGTGGATACGAAAAATAAAGGTGGGCTGTGCTACAGTATTATCCGCTCACAGTTGGATTTACATTTCCGACGTACATTGGGGTACGCATGTTTATCAAGATGTTGCAATCGAAGCTTTTGCATCGTTCGATATCATTGGACTCTGTATACCGTGTGCCGCACTTTTTGTAACAGGCCTCAAAGGCTTCTTGTAGCGTAGGTGACTTTGAGGAAGCATCACCTTTTCCATCAACTGGAGCAGGTTGAGCTTGAGCTTGACAGTATAACACAAAGATCGCCAAAACGACAACAAGAGCAGTAAAGGAGAACGACTTGAACATGGGAAAAGAGACCTTGATGTGTATAGTAAAAGAAAAGACGGATGAAAAGATACATCGTTTGCAAGAAAAACCCTCCCCGTTTTATGATGTATGTTGTATGTGCAAAGGCGTTTCTGGAACTCCTTAAAATAATATGTGTTTATGGCGTTCAAGTATCATCGCCGTCATCATCATGGTTTTACTATTTTGCACTCCCACACGACTTGTAATGTTATAGTATGTAAAGCCCTTTGGTGATGATCCATCATCATAATAGATATATACAGTTGACGTCTAGGGAACTCCCAAGAATGGCGGAACACAAGATTGAAGAGGTGGTATATAATCACCATGCACCTCCGTTGCCTCGCAACGCGCACGTGTAGTATGGCGTATCCATGCAACTTGCCAATCACCCCGTTACATTGGTCCGTTCCTTTTACAAAAGTATGAGAGATGGGAAGGGGAGGTTAAAGGATACGGAAACACCATAGTTGCTGTGGTGATATTTGCAGGCAACTGGCATATGGATAACGCTGACACGTGTATAAAATCAAGTCGCGTGTGGAAACATAATAAGGAAAGCTGGACAGTGCACGTGATACAAAAGAGATCCACCCATCAGCTGCATTACAAACCATCCATTCGTTTGCCGTTTTCTTTTTGCACTTTTACTTTGAACACGCAATGTCCACACGATTGACTACACACTTTACATTGAGACCCTAACAACCCATTGGCAGCATCGTCAACACCTGCATTAACACCATCAGCTGATACCGACACACTCCTTCTTGTGTTTCAACAACGCCGAGGAACAACCTTGAGTATGTACGACGACCACCTTTATTCCATACTGATCCGTTTACAACTACCAAAGACGCCATGTATGGGGAAGTTCTATCACAATGATGATGGCAATGGCGATCCAAAAACATAAAAAGGATGACGATGCAAGGGATATCCATTCTTCAAACTTGACGATAGCACTCTCATCGACTCTATTGCGACGACCGGTTCATCCATCCCTGTTATACATGCAGATGCGGTTTTCTATTGCCGGTATCCAACATCGATACGCGACGACCGACCATGCACATAAACGATGTCTGCTGAATACCAATGTCAGCAGCAGCATCAAGCAAGAGGATCACATCTCACAACGCCGACTTTGAGGATTATCCTGGTGCATGTGCTGATTTGTTATTGTTGCCAAAGATACCCCCTAGCTGCGGGCTTTCTGCAAAAGACGCCACTATTATCTAGATTCCCCTTCCAAATACAATGATATACGAGCAAACGCACATTTTATACAAATCTTGATTTATAGCTACATAGTGTCACTGTATTTAATGGGAAGGAATACAATCACGTTCGCAATTGAGTTTCTCGGGTTCAGTTGTTTTGCCTCTCACACACTCATCGTAACATTGTTCGAACCGGTGCTTTAGTTCTTGCGCGATTGGTGAGCTTTCATCTTCTTGTTCTATACCCGAGGGAGGTCCAGCTTGTCAATATCCCACAAAAAAGAGAGCCACAATCACCAAAATAGGAAAGGGAAACTTGTAATTGAGATGCCTGTTGAAGAAAAAGTAGTGGAAAAGAGGATGGCCATCTGTGATGCCCTTTTTATAAAACTTGTGAGGGCGTTCCAATACGCCTTCGTGGATTTCACTGCATATAAGAGAGAAGATGATCTACATACATAACCATATTTGAGTGCTTATCAAGTTCCTGTTGCAGATGAAATCCTAGTTAATCATGTTGCCTACGATGTACTAATAGTGCCTAACGATGATAAAAATGAAAATGTAACCTTTATTATATGTGATTTGGACTACAAGAAAGAGCACTAAGGTTTGTTCCAAAACCAAAACCACTAGCCTAGCCACTCTGCCGTGCGTGGGTCAAGAAGCATTCATCCTTGCATTGGTTTTGCTTGCTTTTAGTTCCCCATGTCTTCATGCAATCTTCCTCACACTCTTGTAACGTGGGCTTTGGCTGTCCTTGTGCAGGATTATCGGTTGTTTGAAGATCTTTTGCGTAGGTCCACAAGCATTCATCCTTGCATTGGTTTTGCCGGCTTATAGATCCCCATGACGTGCAATCCTTCTCGCACTCTTCTAACGCAGGGTTGGGTGGCCTTGCGTTTTCTTGTCCTGTAGTAGTAGCTCCTTGAGAATCTTGTGTACTAGGAGGCACTTGATCAGCTTGACAGTAAGCCACAAAGAGCACGAATGCAACACTAATCGTAACAATAAAAGATTTGCGGGAATGCATTTAAAAGCTATAAAGGCAGTAATGGATGGGTGAAATGCAAGTATAAGATGATGGTGCTTTTATAATGGTTCCGCCATCTCTTGCTGTGTGCGTTATGTAAATACATATACACTACCCGACCGATGATCTGCACCTCACAAACAAAATGCTCCTTCTTTGCCAATCAATCCATTGCAGCTGCTATGCTTTCATTATAGACAGCACATCATTCATCATCGTATGTAGCAGCCAACAGACTTGGAGTCATTAAGGGAATCAACATGTATCGTTCTCGCTCAGCAATCCCAAAGAAGGAGCACCAAAGTGAGTAAGGCGTGCCACAGCCTATTATACAAGCATCAAGTACACGACGTAAGGATAGGGATCGTCGATCAACAGGTTATTTTGCAGAACCATGCACGTCAAAATGTTATAGATAAGTGGCTTTTACATATACATGTACATGCAGCTACGATGTACGTTGAGTCAATTTGACAACGTTATGAGCGGGTAACGTCAATAGCATAAAACCTTTCTCTCTCCTTAAAGGCACTGATCACGCAGAGCGTGCCTGATTCATGTTGAAACGAAAGCGTTTTAACCTCCTTAGATCATTGACGTTGAGCACACAAACCCAAATGCAAATGAAGACATGCACAAAAGCACATTCAACGAAGCAACCTCTTCCATCACCATCATCATCATCCGTGTAACTCTCTTTCTCATTCCTCGATGCGTGTGTGTGGATAAACGAGTCGAGTCGTATTGGTAAATAAGATGCATGTGTGTATATGTATTGCGTAAAAAAGTATAGATCCATCTAATTTCTCCTCTTCAAGTTGTTCGAGAGCCATTCCAAGCCTTCATAAAGACCATCACCTAAACAACAAAACGATCCTCGGGTCAACGCATAATCCATATCCAACCTTATCGACTTTGATATACTTACCGCTAGTGGCACAAGTGGTCTGGATATACCATTGTCTGTTGCGAAGTGAGTGAAGACCAAGCTTGTCGGTAATCTCGGCAGCATTCATAGCATTTGGCAAATCCTGCTTATTTGCAAAGACGAGCAAGATGGCATCCCGGAGTTCATCCTCATTGAGCATACGTTGCATTTCATCACGTGCTTCGGAAACACGGTCCCGATCGTTGGAATCGACAACAAAGATGATGCCCTGAGTATTTTGAAAGTCTATAATACCATCATCATCGTCAATCTCCTTGAAAGAAAGAGGATAATAGCAACCACACTTACAATGTCTCCACAAAGGACGGATCTTGTCTTGACCTCCCACGTCCCATACAGTGAAAGAAATGTTCTTGTATTCAACCGTCTCCACGTTGAAACCTAGCATCCATACACGTTTGAATGATGGTATCTTGCTTTGTCGATATGGAAATGCCACTTACCGATGGTAGGAATAGTGGTGACAATTTCACCCAACTTGAGCTTGTACAAGATGGTCGTTTTACCAGCAGCATCAAGACCCACCATCAAGATGCGCATCTCTTTCTTGCCAAAGAGTTCAGAGAAAAGTCTGGAGAAGCTTAAACCCATGGTAAATGTAATAAAGAATGAGGGGAATAAAGGGAAAAAGGTTCGCTCTCTCCCTCTCTCTTTTTCGCGGTATCCATATCTCTCTCTCTGCAAATACACCTACATACCATACTCAGCTGGCCAATGATAATGAATTGAGCTGTCTTGTTCCTTAATACCATTATGCTGCTTTTAACACAACCATCTTGACATGCCTTTAATACCTTATTGCTAAACCTCTAATCCAAGGCGCTCCATCCCATTTTTCCTCATTACAAACCACATATGAGTAAAGCCATTTGTTTATTGTGTTGCATCGTGTCGTGCCAGCCCTATTGTTGCTTCTTTCTTCCTATGCATTTGAAAGTATAGAGAAGGGTCCCTGTGATATGATTGGGAGGTGTCCATCCATCTCTTTAATAAAACTCCCTGCTTCACGAATGAGCCTGCTGCAGTCTATTCAATAATATCATACATATTTCATTTTATTGCCGTTGTAGTAGTTACTATCTAAGGTGGGTCTGCATTCAAAGTAAACAGTGACCTTGGCAAGACAAAGGCAAACGATGCTTGTTTGTGAAATTTTCGTTATCATCGCAATCATCGTTATTGTCGTAATCATCGCATTCATCGTCCTCGTCGTAATCATCGTCTTTGTCGTCTCTATGAATAAACAGCAGCCAAGTTAGGCCATCTGATACCGGGAATGACGACGACTTAGAGTACCTCTAGGCGATCCTCTCTAAGGAAGAAAGCAAATCAGAAGGAACCATCGTACGAGCAACGTCGCGCTATCCCTTGTTCTTGAGAAAGCACTGCACGAATCACGCAAGGCCAGTTCGATCCATGGCCAAGGAAGGACATCACTTACGTAGAGTCCAGGCTCAATCCTCTCCAAAGAAAGAATGATCCCCAATCCTTCCAATCATTTCCCACCTCATGAAAAGAAATCCTCAAAGGGAAAGAACGAGCCTATCACGAGAAGAGCATGTTGGTTCAACACATTCACGGCCGAGCTGTTGCAAATCCTCTTTTACCTCAACACGGTGACCATGCTCTTCCAAAAATCCATCATCATCGACCCATCCTCAAGTCAACGCAGGCCTATAGAGCCCTGGACGCATTCCAAGAAGCTTTTCCGGCACACTTGGCTAGTGCAGAGCGACGCAGCGGCCACCTGATACAGGCTGGGACTTGAACCCAAAGAGATGATGATGATGATGCCCCCAAGTTGCATTGCCTGACCAAAGAAACCTATACAATTCATTATTAGCACACACAATGAACACCCTTTTCATTGTTTCTTTCATTGTACTTGCCTTTTCCATATACACAAAGACACGTTGTTGTTGGTTACTGGAAACCGAAAACCATGGTGTAGTATAGTGGAGCCGAAACGAAACGCCAAACCAGCCAACGCCTTGAAACCAAACTTGTCCCCTATGCAAGCTAACGCGTCAATGGAACAAGTTTTGCTGCAACATTGGACTCTGGATGTACCTGTTGACACCAAGCATAGAGCGGGAATAGCAACGAGCAAAAGGAAGCAACAATATCGCCATGGCAACCACCAACCACCAACCACCAACCACGCTCATTCCTCGGCACTTTGGACACACTCACTCCCTGGCAATGCATGTTCACAACTACATTAACACCTCACAGCCAACAAGAGCACTTTTTGATAATACATTACTTTGATCGAGACGCTGTGAATGGAATAAGGAAAGGTGGGAGAAAAAGAAGAGAAGCGTTGTCTCAAGTCGTGGAGCTGCTGTTCCCCAAGTTTAAATCCCCCTACTGCTATTACACTGAGGCCACTCATCAATTACCCTATACACGCCATCCACCCATCATGATCATCACCCTCACGATAGACAATAGGTACACGTAAATAAAAGAAATGATCCTCACGTATAGCAAAAGGGTGTGTGCCCATTTTACACTTTACATGATAATGATGATCCAACAACAGCCATTACCTTCTTACCACCAGGCTAGCTCGAATCATGAAAGTTAAATGATGGGCATGCTGGGCTGGAGCAAGACAATCGTTCGTATGCATTGGATTGGACAACAAAGGTGAATGGGAGGACTAAGGTTATTAGCTGGCATTTTGAACTATTCCTAAATAGTGTACAAGAATCATGCATCGCCTGTGCTGAATGACTCTTAAGTTACGCAAACACGCCCTCTGCATCTTTTGCTCTATTATAGTCATACTACTTTACATTAAACAAAGACCACTTCTCATATAGCATCACGCTTACAAACATAAAGGCGCCTGTATCTCCAAACTTTACAATGAAACGTGGGGTTTTGAATAGAGCAATGTGCTCGGCTTGGCCAACTGCACCTTGGGTGCAAGTTTCACGTTCATCGTGGCCAATCCCAGATTTCGCAACGTCGCCACCAGCCAAACTGGATCCAGGGGTCGACCTCTTCGACGACGACGACCAAAAAACTATTTTTTGGACTAGTTGCGACATTGAACGTAAAACTTTCACACAAGGTGCTGTTGGCCAAGCCGAGCACATTGCTCTAATAAAAACCACACGTTTGATTGTAAAGTTTGGAGATACAGGCACCTTTATGTTTGTAAGCATGATGCTATATGAAGAGTGGTCTTTGTTCATTGTCAAGTAGGTGGACCCTGGCAGAGCAAAAGATGCAGAGGGTCGTGCTGTGTAACACAGCTACGTTTGCATGAATGAAAGGGTCAATGTATAATTACTTTATGGATCATCTAACATGATCATCCCATCTCATGAAAAAGTATAAATAAAGCACATGTTGCTAAGCAACGTTTCAAGATATAGACTTCTTTTTTGTACCCATCCACATTGGTCAAGTGTCCCAATTGCCTAAGCTTATAGCGATGAGAGTGCGTTTATTTCTTTGAGTGCTGTAAAGCCAGCGAACAATGACCCACCATTATTATTGTTTTGATAGTGAGGAAAATGGTAGTGTTCAAGTTGAGCTGGAAGGCCTATCTTATTTGGCAACAGCAGGATTCGGTTGAAATTCGGGCACAGCACAGGTCTCTTAAGCGGTTGCATAATGACACACTTTGTTCTCGATGCTCCTTTGTTGTTACTGCTGCCATAATGACTGATACATATCAACAATGACGAACGGCGTCAATGAAGGGCCGTTCCTGGCTTGCGTTATTGACCACGCCTCTTTCTCGTTAAGGCGACAATGAGTAACCATCGAGCCGAAAGCATGAAGATGAAATGCACGTGTTCCTGTTAGGGAAGGTTTTAAAAACGCGTATCCCAATTATGGAAGGGGACAGTCGATGCATGATGATACACGTGCGGCGTTGAAAAAATACAACACAAGGTGGAGCTGTGCCCTTTGTCAAGTTTTATCGTTCTTTCTTTCTCGTCGACATTCACTTTTCTTTGACTCTCTCTCAACGATTGGATCGTGACATCTTCCTTCCAATTCTGAAGCTGCATTACTCAACATGTCGACACTCTCTTCTCCCTCACCACACCGCAAAGCCCACACCCACCAGAACGTGTTTTATGTTTCAGCTTCTTGACTAGCTAACAGGCCATATGAAGGATAAACATGTCTCTGGAAACATGGCAGCAGTATCACTATTCTACTATCCATTGTCGACAAGTATACCATGCAATGACCAAAGGAGGGGATGTCCAAAGCGCTTGATCGTATCATGCTAAAGGAACCTTATATCACGGTAATAGCAAGGTCAAGGAGTGTGTCGGTTGAGAGGCCGTGTCTAACATGCTCATTAATGATTGGAAGGGTTGATACGATGATATGGCATGAATCCAGCAAGCGATACTGGTTTATGAAGGATACAACGTGACAAGCAGCACCCATTACATGCATCGAAGAAAACGGATTGCTTGGATTGGCCCTTTGCATGCTCCATGATGTATCCGCTATTGGAAGGACGTAGTCATGAACAAAATGCGTGGAAAAGGATTGCAGATGGTTCATTGGATCATGGCTAGGGTGGTTTGTATATGGTATCTTGGAAGGCCATCTTGGCGATTTTGCCGGCATGATACAATCACACTCACGCTGCAACATGCTGCTTTGGTTTTATCTTTCAGGGGCGCTATGGAGTGCAACTATCATCATCCACCATGAGCTTCAGCATCATGATCCCCTAATAGCGTAGATTTATATCCTTAGTATTCGATAAATATAGTTTCATTGCCTGTTTTTCTTGTATTCTAATCAGCAAAGTCTTTGGATGTGAGGGAAATGAAGGAAGGGTGATATATGGAATTTCTGTATAGTTGGCGGGAGGCTATGTGAAAAGTGGCAAACCAAGGAGGATGAAAAAGGAAAGGGATCTAATGATAATCGAGTCCTTGATTGTGTCCTTGAGATGCGTGGGTATAAACAAAATGGTGGGCGGCAACATCTTTTATGTGCATGGTGTGGATGTGGGCATTTCTGTGACCACAAACAAAGACTGATAAATGTCTATTGGGGATAGTGACGGGACTGATTGATTGATGAGAGCACCTTCATAAAGAGCGTTTAGGTGGTTGATTGTCCATGCATAAATCAGGATCTGCAATAAACAAGGTGACGATATCCCTCATCAAACCTGCTACATAATGCCACCCGGCTCTTCAAGACAATCATGACTCATATTGACCCCAATGTCCAGCATACATATTGCTTTGTCCAATCCTAACATCTACCCACTATACATTCTTCTCCCTGTATGTGGAAGCTATTATAATGATGTTAGATGTATATAATACGGCTACATTGTTCCCTTTTTGTATTTTCAAAGCAATATACATACAATAAACCCATTTGGTTATAGCGATATCGCATCGTAAAAGAAAAATGTGTATGTAACACATGATCGCTCAATCTCAAAAGATGCAATCACGTGAAGCAAATCATGCATGTCAACTGCGGGGCGACAAAGGAAATGCAAAGTTCGTGAACGATCATCACGTTACTACTTTCTCTCTCTTCCACCGAAGAGACCATTTACAACATGTTCAACTTTATTGACCTTTACGACTATCCCGACGTTACAATTGAACACGGCGACTGCATTGACCTTATTGCAACCATAACTTGGGATCTGAAACAATGTAGCAAAACGTTCGTCCAGCTACTACACGATCGAGCTACAGCATTCGCTTCATGTGCACAATTCGACCTGGCCCAACGAGATGCAACGGCTATGCGAGTTATCGACCCTTCTTCACCTCTTGGATACTTGTGTGGTGGTTTCATCTGTGGAATACAAGGACGTCAAAGAGCTGCTGTTGACATGTATGACAAGGGGCTACGATCAGTGCCATGGGACGATCCAGGATACATCTTGCTAGAAAAGGCGAGACACGAAGCCAAACGCTTGGACAGCAAACGCATCGATTTCATCAGCCAATTGCCAATGGATGTGGTGACAAAGAACATTGTGCCGAGGATACTGGATCATGAATCATCATCGTCATTGTTGCTGCAACAAGTGAGTAAAGTTTGGCAAGAAAGGGTGTTGCTAGGCACATCTTCAGGCATGGGATTTGTTCAGCGTGAGCAAGAAGAATCAGTCACCGTACTGCATATAGAAGGTAACAGTAGGATTGCATTGAAAAGGTTGTGTTATGATGGTTGGTTGATCTCATCATGATTCTAGAAACTGTTGCACTGCCATCCAGCATATTGATTGAGAGGTTCAAAGCAGTTGGCGATACGCTCAGTCATCTTACTTTACACTTTGAACAAGGTGCTCGACCAGAAACACCATTGTCGTTGTACGAGATCTTGATCACATGCCCAAATTTGTCGTATTTGGATGCCGAGTGCCTGGATGTCGCCATCACTACCACCACCACAACAGCAACAGCAACAGCAACGTACCCAAAAATGACGGCATTACACGTTTATGACAGCTTGACACCCATCAAAGCACATGAAATGGATACTCTCTTGTCACGCTTTCCTTCCTTGATCTCGTTAACAGCACACCCATGCCAAGCATCCAGCCCATTGACAAACGTACTCCATCTTTGCCCACAACTACAATCGCTTGTGTACGTAGGAGATGAAGTTTTCACCTATCCAGCGCACCATGTCGATTACAATATACAACCTACGACACAGCACAACAATACAGGAATTCGGGCTCTAAGCATTGGAGACAACAGTGGCGATTATTCCCTTGATAATATCATGAAAACCTTGTTGCAGCATTCAACATCTCTGGAAACTCTTTACATCGATGCTACTTTTAGTGGATCAAGCCTATTACTTGACATTGTTGAAAAGGAGGATATCGTATTCGAGCGAATGAAAGGATTGCGACTTTTCCTTGGTGCAAACGAGAATGATACGTTACGGCTGGTTCGATGGATGTTCCAACACGCTCCCTTCTTGGAATATGTGGAATTGGGTGGTAGCTCGGTGTACCATGCTCTTTTTGAAACAACGTTCTCGTTTCCCAACCTCTCAAGCATCGAACTATACCTCGACACATTGGATCCTTCTCTAGTGTCAAAGCTAAAGGAAAGACTTCCCAACGTGACCTGTATAGGCGAGGATGGGGTAATTCAAAGCTGACACAGCACATGGATTGATCAGGCCTTGTCGAACAAAGATAGACCACCACCACCATCGTCATCCTGTACATATACACATATCCAGCAATCATGCATTTATATCCCGATTACCAATGTCATCCCATTAGAATGTATCATTAAACAACATAATGCGATCCTCGTTAGTAGTCAGCCATACTATGATGAGTAAATCAATAGGGGCATGATCATGATGCATTCTAAAGAGCTATATCAGGTTCGCAATCATTGATTGCATGACAGCTAGTTGACATCTCGTCTTTTCCAGTGGAATACATAAGTAATAGGCTTGTGTGATCGGCTGTAGTATTGAGAATGTCATGGCTCACCCGTAAACTAGTATTCATTCACAAACTTTCAAAGTGTCGACTTCAAATGTATTGATCACAGGTTCATAAAGAATGTTGTATACTGCCCAACTGTAAATATGTATGTAACATTCTAATAGGCTTCTTGCATGGTGGAGGGTGGTATGTTTGAAGTTGGATGAATGGATGTCATTGTGGTTCGAGATAACCAACAAATTTCAATGCACAATCGACCACGTGACACAATAAGCCGATGCCATACATACTCAAACTAGCAGTCAACCAGCCTTGATGGTTATCCATACCACTTTTATAGTTGAAACTATAGTAGATGAAATGATAGATTATCCGCTACAACGTCTATTTCATTAGACAAGCATGAGGCTGAGCGTACCACCAGAGTATTGTGGTAGTGTTAATGACCGGGAATGCGTCTCGATGGCTTTGGTTTGGTTACTATGCCCTCGTATTTAAGAACATCATTTGCGCATTCAGGTTCTTGATATTTTTCGAGAAATGGCCCTTATTAAGATTCTTTTCTATTATTCAAATACGGCAGCTCTACCACTCACCTCTGAACCCGTACCATGGCGAACTCAGGCCGGAAAAAGTACATTGATGGGCAAGGCATTCATTCTGGTTTTTGAACTTTTGGCAGTCGACTCCCACATCAGGCGGGGTACATGAGCGGAATGCGACTATGGTTAATTTTGAGTGACGAAAACCCTTTGATGGAAGAACCTTTTTGAATTACCAATGTGAAAGAGCCCATTTCTAGTACTTCCATATTCGTAAGTAAAGGTGCAAGGTTGATTGTCGCACTTTTCTACTGTAGACGTGGGCACTTTTCCAGCACATGCGCCTGCTGGTGGTTCTACAGCAATCACAGGAACAGCAATGAGCGAGGGCACTCCAAAAAGACCGGCAATTTTCATGGCAGTTAATGTACGATATCAGTGATGATGGGAAATAGATGCATAGGCGTACTCACTGATCATACATCTGTATTTATTCTGTAGCCTGGTTTATGTACTTTTTGCATCAAAATCGGCGCAAAAGAAAGGAGAAAGTATGCAGCGCCAAGGGGTATGCATCAATGCCCCTATAATTAGATAGAAAGTAAAACATTCTATTTATTGTCCACACCGCTATCTTTTACCATTTTATGCGACCGCAGTACTTCGCTCACTACTCTACATCATATGCAATCTGTGTTAAAGATTTTTGCCAGGTCAACAAGTCAAGAGATTCTGCGTGGAGGGCATCTTTCACTTTATACCTCCATTCAGTATCTTGATTTGCCCCAAAGAAAGAGAGACAGTGTTTGTAATAATGGATCACCACTGCATGGAGTTCCCTTAAATTGTACATAGTTCACAGGGATCGTTGTATAGAGGAAGAGCTTATTCCATTTATTCGAGGATCGTGGCAGCGTAGGCAGTATACTGTGTATGTATATCAAACCACTCCTTGTCCAAAACATCAATGAAAGAACTTACTATCAAATTCTTGCAGTACTGGTTCCAAAGGGTTTTCTATTTCTTGCCATTATCATGTATAGCAGACGCTAAGAGATCGCGTGGGTATTCAAGACAAGGAAGGTGCGAAGAATAAAGTGTTCAGCCGGATGCAGCATCATGTAACATCTTAAATTGATGACCTAGAAAACCGGTTGCCATAGGATGCGCCCGCAAGTTTGACAGCACCCAAATGATAATCCATGACAACGCGCGCGTATACAATTCTCTTATGCCACAGCACATCATCATCATCGTCATCCATAGAGGAGCGCCGACAGACTCAGCATGGTATTCGACGCCTTTGAACGGTGATAGCACATATGGAGCCGTGTTTCGGGTCGCCTAGGAAACGATCGTTAAAGCCGCTAATAAATGTGTCAATACAAAAAGCGTGCTGTTGCCATAACTGTATCGTTAAGATCCACTCAAGATATGAAGAGAAGCTGATGTATAATGGGATGGTAACACACACGTGCGGGATAAAAGTATGGAAGACAACAGAGGCAAGTTCAGCATCCTTTCTTTCGCGTTAACGCTCACAGCATTTGACACGCTCTCAACCATGGCATCGTTAGGTTTCCTCTTTCCTAATGACAGGCTGCATTACATCGTTCTTGACTCTTCCGCAATGGGCATACCATCCGAACGCGTTCCATGTTTGAGCACCTTGGCAAGCTGAATGTGGCGACTCATGATATCCCGAGACACTGCAACAACAGCCATGCGACCCATCGTGAACAACAACACCATACAGTAACCCAGGGGGGCAACTCTTGGTTGCGTATCGATACACAAAGCCCCATGTATCAAGGTAAGAACAAGGACAATGAGCATATTGGATGAGACCCTAGTATCTAACAAGCTCATTCATAGTTAGGGCTGTACGGGACCTTAAAGATGTTTACATGTGCATTTGGTTTTGAAAGAGATTGAGAGCAGCAAGGCATTATGGAAATACGATTTGACAAGTGAAGTTGATTCAGAAGCTGCATTGTGTCAATATCAAGCCCACAACTCGCATTTGGATCAGTCAAAGTGATGGGGATGTACATGATATCATCGCCATTGGATGGATTTCATTTTCAACAAAACGAGCGAACAAGGCTGAAGCAGATGGATTATGGGTGAAGAAGGGCGATTGACATGATGGGGTGATGATACAAGGACATGCACGTTGCAACCCGCTTTTTTCAGGTCGCATCGTTTGGATGAAGAGCTATCAGCAACGATCGGCATCATCAGCCAGGAGACCGAGTATATCTAAAACGACATCAACAGCGTCTTCACTTGTTTGAACAGCCCTTACAGACAGAGGATGGTGTTTATGGTAGCATCTTAGTACTCCAGTAGTTAATCATTGAATTTTCCAATATACATACATGGAGCGGCATACAATTGTGTCGTGTTTCACCCTGATCACCAATTATTTTTGATGGGCATAGTAGTGAGTGGGTTATTAGGAAGGATCATGCTATTGAAGGTTCCGAATTATTAGCAAGAAGCCATAATGGCAAGAAGCTCGAAAGGCGACCCCCCTTGTGGCATGCCCAGAATAGGCTATGTTACACAAGTAACAAGACCCGGAACGATGGTCTCCGTCTTCCGAAATTATGGGTCACCCCTTGCTTCACGTGCTCACGCGTTTTTCGCCATATAACGCTTTTATGCCAATCACGTTTTTTATTGCTGTAGGTTGTCATGTCCATGCAACAGGGTATATACTATTGACGTTTGCTTGTTGCAAGATCCGTGTACGCCGCCCACATACTTCAAGAAGACTTTGCTTTCCATGCAGCAGGGCGTATCCTGCAAGTGACACAAAGACGTTACCCCCGCATTCCCCTATATAAAAAGCTTCAAGATGTTATTTACTGATTTCTTTTCTTTTAGCCGTTGACATGCTGAGTGGATTGGATTTTGGAACCAACAGTAGTGAAAAAGTATGCAGAGTTCCCATTCATGTACATCAAAGCCTATGCTAATTCATAATCAATAGATCCATATCGATAAGAAGGGTTGGAGTGATGAGCGTAAACGCCTGTTCGAGACGAAATTGGGTGCACTCTTGAAGAATCCAAATTTCTTGCTACTCCATGTACCAGAAGAAAAAGGCACCAAAATGAAGATCATCCAACCTTCCAGCGATCCATACCATCGTCATCGTATCATAGAAGGCGTCAATGAAGGTGAAACCACGCCACGTACTTGGTATGCCTTATCGCACTTGTGGGGTATCACAAAGGCCGATCCACATGTGTGGGATAATATTACCCAACTCGTGGAGGATGAATATGGACAACCCGTTCAACCTGTTTCCATGCGACCTGAGAAACGCAACACGTTACTGAAATTATTGGAAGCTTACCCCAACAGCTATTGGTGGATAGACGTCTTGTGTGCTCGTCATGATACGCCCCTGGATATCATGGGTGATATTTACGCTTGCTGTACCGAATGCATTGCCCTACTCGATATTGATCCTGAAGTCATACCAGAGTTTCATAGTGTGGTGGATGATGCGACTTCTTTAACTATGGGTGATCCTCAGCTGTGTAACATCTTTGGATCGCTGATCGACTGCAAATGGTGGAAACGGGTTTGGACATGGCAGGAGATGGCATTGCCTCGTACAATTCTGCTTATGGCTGAGAACGCCACTCAAGTATCTGAAAAGCACATGATGAATCTTGATTGTTTACCTGGTTATCTACCTATCGTCTTTCATGGTTTGTACGCCGTGTTGACTGATTTTTTTTATCAACAAGGGCTGACTCATCCATTATCTTTCTATGTAGACTTGCCCAATGCATTTGCCATACATGGAGAAGTGCTTTTTACGAGAGGGACCAACTCGTGGCGTATCTCAGCGGATGGCCTTTACGCTTTATTTTTATCGTTTAAACAGTCATCTAGACAATGCATGGAACCGGTGGATTACGTCTATGGCATACTCGGCATACTGCGATTAGATATCCCAAGAATGAATGATCATCACCAAGTTTGGAAACTGTTTTTGTCAAAGCTTGACACACTAATGATTGACCTCAACTGCACAAAGTGGAAAATCAGCAACGATGCACATCAAGTCGATTTATTGGCTGTTGAAAATATGGCAGATGTTTACAAAGATCTGCTCACCTTGAGCGATTCAGAAAAACTAAGAATGCTCCAGGGTATGTAAATAATATGTACCCACACACACACACTCTCTCTCTCTCTCTCTCTCTCTCTCTCTCTCTTTGTTCATCCTATGCCATTGTAAACACTAAACACTACATATCACCCACTTATGTAAATGGTTGGAGACGCGTGTAGGCAAGTGATATTGATAGCTTTATTAAAACGTAGAGAACTACGACTCATCAGCATTATAAACGAGGCATTTTATTGGTAGGCATCATGATGAGGAGCGAGGATGTGGATGGTGACACGTGACAATCGCGAAACGTAAAAATGAGGCAGCCAACCGCTTCCATTGAATTTCGTTCTCTTCCTCCTTTCGACACGCTCAACACACTATCTCATGACACACAAGTCGGCTACATTCCATGCTCTACCTTTTACAATGTTGTAATGGGGCACCGACATCGCCAGCTCACAGACTTGGTTTGAGCTATGCCTGGGCAACTTGACTTGACGGGGGAATGCATGGGTAAGAAGCTTGCAGAGCCTGCCAGAGTACACGTATGTTGACGAGACAAAGTAGCTTTGCTTTTCATCGACAATGAGGATACATCAACATGGTCGCCTTTATAAGAAAGCTGAATCACACATGCCTTTGCCAAGGTAACAAGAAAACGAATGGATGATGTTGGGAATGATAGGGTGGCTAATAGAGATGCCATGGCATAGGAGGGATGCTTTGGATGAGATGACAATTGTACAAGTCAACGCGAGTTCTTGAGAGCGAATACGGCATCAGCAGCACTTGTATTTGGTGGAGGTCACCAGCTTTCTCTCCTTGACGATGACTTTTGGATATCTCGACGACCTTTTCCTCCTTGAATTATTGGCTATTCCATGCTGTGAAGTTTCTATGGTACAACAAGCTTGAACCCTGGTGACATCGAATTCCCCATTTTGGATGAACGAGACGAGGCAATTGATGGATCCATCTTTTGGCGAGACGTACAGGCTTCCTTCAATCATCAGCAACATGGATGGCATCCAAGCACGCAAAGAAGCTGTTATTGACATGTACATGCGAGGAGGGGCTACTTGGGGATGATCCAGGCTATACCGTGCTAGAAAAGACGAGAAAAGAAGCCAAATGCTTGACTTGCAACTGCCACTGGATGCCATCGTAAAGAACACTGTACAGCCGAGGGTATTGGAGGATGGGTCGCTGCCGCATCAAACGCGTGAGGAAAGCTTGGCAAGAAAGGGCGTTGCTAGGAGGCATAACTTTGGAAACGAGACTCGTACACCAACAACAACATGATCACGACTTGACATCAGTGAAAACGAAAACGACATGTTACTGGAACGATACATTCGATGGGGGATTCAATCTACTATACCAAACAATCCTCGCTCAATCATGTTATTTTTCTCCTCTGGATCCTTTTGTGGTGTCAATGCTCAAGGGAAGACTTTCCAATGTGACCTGTAAGTGATGTTAGGCATGGACGGAATTATTCAAAGCTGACACAGTTTATGGATTTCATATGTATGTAGGCATTGTCGATCAAAGATAGACCACCACCACCATCATCATCCCTTGTATATCCATGCACATCCAACAACCATGCATATTTATCCTTATTGCCATTGTCATCTCACATATCAATATATCATTAAACAGCATCATTATTCAATCATGTGATGAATTTAGTCTAAGATCATGTCGCCAACTCGATTTAGGGGGAGCGGGGTTCAAGGCGCACCAAGGATATGCGATACATACATAGCCGATGGTACAGTAGCAACATTACGAATGGCAAGCATTGGGTTCTTTCGCTTGCCAACGCCAAGCTTTAGATATTGTAAGGTCATACATGGGCGTTGGTTGTACAGGAAGTACATAGTAGGCTATCACCATATCCAAAAAAAAGTACCTACAATCATGTCGACTTTTGCATAGATCATCATTGCATGGAACGAACTTTATTTCCAAGACGGCGTTTTGTGAGGGGGACAATGCCTTTAAAAGATTCACAGCAGCTACTATCATCCCTATCGTTATCCTTTCATGATGCATTACAAGAACCATAGGTTGTCCTTTTTAATCGCTGTCCTCCTTTTGGCACTCGTTGCTACGGCTACTCCTGCTCCTCAAGGCAACCAAGCTACTACTACTACTGGTACTGGTACTAGCCATGAAAATGATCCGGAACAAAAATGCTTTACCAATTGCCAAGGGGCACCTGACAAGTATAGAGCGCTCTGTTACAAAAAGTGCAGGGAGAGTCAAAGCAAGAATACCCAATCCAAATGATCTTGTATTGTGCGATCGATCATTGTAGGCTTTTATCCAGAGTGTGTTTAATAAACGCCATTGCGCATGCACGAGTTTTTGTGCCTCGCTTTGCAGGTGATGCTACCGCCATATAGGATGCCTATCAATTGAAGAAAGTGCGTAAAGTAACCAACACCGTTTTGAAAGTGAGATACATAAACGTTAAGGACTCTGATAGCCTGAATTTCAAGATCTCATTGCTTCAACGCCTTTTCTCTTTCCTGTTGCCCTCGAGTGACCCACCTCGGATTGGTTGTCAGAGGAGGATGGTCCACCTTGAACACTTTGTGGAGTTAGAGATGCGAAGATTGAAACCAAAATGTAAAAAAGTGTAGTTCATGATGATGCCGTTACAAAGTTAGGGGGGTGATGTATGTACCTGTGATCTTGAATCGCCGTGGTCACAACCATTCAAGTGGCAACATAAATCCGATAGCGATCCATACGCCCGATTCTTGTGCATTGCATATGGCTGAACTGTTATTTTTCCAAAAGTATAGAGAGCGAGCGATGCAGCTTGCATTGCAGGCCCACTTTGATTCCTAAGCTCCGAAATCATCATCACGATATTATGTATCCCTCCCCTGGGATACGTGTGTGAATTATACGCATAGCGCCAAACGCTACTACAAGACGTTCAACGATGACTTTACAATCATTTGGATATGCCATGCTCTAGGTATAAGGTCATACAACATGCACGTTATTTACTGTTGTCCTGGAAGCTAAGTGTAGGTTCTCGCCATATTCAAAACGACATTCGTACATCCATTGCATAGATCATCATCTTGCATCGAATGAATCTTATTTCAAACGACGCGGTGGTTTGTAAGGCCAGTTCCCTTTTATAAACACCTCGATGGCCAACATTCGTTACTGCCCTTATCATTTTACCCTTCCATCATGGTGTATCAAAAGCTGTCGTTTTTTATTGCCGTCCTACTTTTGGCTCTCGTTGCTATTGCCGCACCATCCGCTCCTGGAGAATACAAAGAGGCTCTTAGCACTAACGTTAAAGATGTTCCGCTACCAAAGTGCCTTTCCGATTGCGAACGAGCTCCGTCTCGCAGACTCACATCTGTCTGTCGCCAAATTTGCCAGGATGTACATGAGGGCAAGAATGCATACTACCAAGGAGGATCGTAGTATGCCATCAAGATACTAGTCGCCAAACCCCCGCATCCATCGTACGTAGACTTTATCCATAGTAGTATGTTTCAATAAACGTCGTTGGACATGCACGAGAGTACCATGTACATCTACTTTTGCAGGTGACAACATGCAGAAATGAGAGGTTCATGCCTTTCCAAATTGAAAAAAAGAGGCTAGCAAGATCTCGTTGCTTCATCCAAAGCTGCAACAAGCAAAGCTTACCTTGCGAAATCACGCTCTCTTCGAAACATGGCATCATTTGAGGCTATTTTATGACCCCTGGATTGCCCCAAAAATTCATCATCACCCCTTAAATTCCATGACTGCCGTATATAAATCATTCATTTCGAGCAAGAAACCCCCCATCACAATGAACTTTAAGCTCTCTCTTTTCATTACTCTTGCTCTCTTTGCCCTCTTGGTGGTAGCTGATTATGGAGCCATGGCTGTAGCCGTTGCTAAATTGCATCAAAAAGGCATCGCTTGCAAAAAGCATTGCGAAGGGAACACCGATTCTCTCTGTGTCACGAATTGTATGAAGCCGACTAGAACAGCAAAGCTAATGACTACTACTACTTGACGACGATGGAGACTACTGTGGCCTTGTACATCTCTGGATAAACATTTGATGCACTTTTGTATCATCATCAAGACACAATAAATGGCAACATGATCTGTATAAGCATCCTTTATTCATAGGGTGGGATGATCTACTCTAAGGAATGCCGACGATGCTGTCAATTAAAAGATTGAAGGGGGCTGCATAAAATCGTTGCTCAGCCTTGCTATCACCATGCTCAGCCTTGACAACTCACTTTGCCACACCCTTCGTCCTTCTTGCATGTGTTCTTCATGAACGACATTGTCAACCTCGCCGCCATCTATCAGTCACCATTCGTCACCGTGCACCATGGAGAGTATTCAGCAACACGCATTCAAGCAGCAACCCATCGAGCACAGCAGCTGGTTGCAGCATTGGTAGACATTCTCGATGAACGCGCCATGCTCTTGTCAACGAGTGCCCAGTTCACACTTGCGTTGAGAGACAGCCATATGATGCGTGCCATGATGCCCATATCATCGAAGGGTTATCTTCGAGGCATTCAGATATACCATGAACAAGGGCGGCAATCAGCAGCTTTAGCTCTATGTCATGAAGGACTTGGTCGATTCGATGATACTACATCAGCAGCGTACGATCAGCTTGTTGCTTGGAAGGATAAGGTGGAAAGCGCCAACAGCAAACGTGTCGACTTGATCAGCAACTTGCCATTGGATGTGGTGGTCACCCACATTGTGCCAAGAGTCATGGATGATAATGCAGCAGTATTGGGATCAAGCAAAGCATGTCCTTATTTGTACGTATCACGCACTTGGAGAGAACGGTTCCTGCTACACCCTGATGGATTGGATTTTATGATGGAATACACAAAGCCGTTGTCACTCGCACAAGGCCATGATCAGCTGATACGTTTTGCACCTTTTGTGAAGTCACTTCGTGTCGGCCATTGCAAAGGGACCAAACACCACAAGCTATCCGACTTGTTTTCAAGAGCCAACTTTCGATCATTGACGCACTTGGAAGTTAGTAGTGAGTTATAGAAAGGATCAATGAGGAAAAATACGGGATGGCTGATCACTGTGGGATTGCACGTAGATGCATTTGCTTCTGATCGTCTTGCATTTCTTGGAGCATTGTCATCTGTGGCAGGCACCTTGACGCACTTTGAACTCAAATCATCCTTGTCCCAGACGAGTCCGCTTCCTATCGTATTGCATGATCTCCTACATGCATGCCCAAATTTGGTTTCCCTGGTTACCAAAGGAATCAAGGCCGACATGAGCTCCACCAGCAACAGGCAATATCCACAAATGAAGCATTTGAGTCTATTTCGACTACCCGGTGATTCAATCACGTATGATGCGATGCGAGATTTATCAAGTCGATTCCCTTCCCTTGTTTCCTTGGATGTGAGCCCTATGCCTGATTCGAGACTGTTGCCAGTGATCCATCATGATTGTCCTTTGATGCAGCAATTGTCGTTTGGTTGTTCTTCTTCAAGATGGGATAAGGCGACTACAACAAATCATCATCATCAACAAGGATTACGCAAAGTCGCGATTGGTGTTGGACAAAGCACGTGTAACCAAGCGGATATTATTTCAATGTTGGTACAGCACAGGCACTCTCTTCAATCATTTCGTTTGGATGGGGAAATCGTGATCAGCAGCAGCCACAACGATGATGTGGATGTGGATATGGAGCCATTCACGCAACTTGAAGAACTTGATTTCCGGGATGCGAATAACAGCTGTATCACGCTTTTCTTATGGATAATGCAACATGCACCTTACACCACGCATCTTCAACTTTGGTATGGAGCGAATGGACATCAGCACATCATCGATGCCATGATACGATTGAAGCATCTTCGCAAAGTGTGTATACACCAGAGTCACATTGAGCAAACGCTATTGCCTGAATTCATTCAACATCATATCCACCTTGGAAACGCATCATCCTTGGAGTATTTAAAGATTGTGTATGATGATACGCCACAACATCCAAAAAGCCTCATTCCCATCACACGATTACAACGATTACGCTCTCTGGAAATCTTCACCCATGGCATCATCCCTGAGTCATTTGACATTCTCATGCATCACGTCGCCCATCAATGTCCATCCCTTGAAGACTTGAAGCTATCAAGTGCTATGGCTGAGATTGCAGGATCCATCTTTCAACCCCTTCGATTTCATGCTGGGCTCAAGCGACTCAAGGTCCTTTGTTCGGATTTATCACAAGGAGACATGTTATTCTTGACACAATTCCCCAAGCTGGAATACTTTGAAACTTGGAGCGATATCAGCAATGACGTGTTGGCATCATTACAAGAAAAGATAGACACCATCAAGTTTGAAGCATGAATCAATAGATGTAGACATTCCCTTGTGCTGTAATAAAAAAAAAGGTTGTTAAGTGGATGTGAAAGGAAGAATGCTTGGCACTTGTATATTGACAACCACATAAGTTTGAGAGAACCGTGTAAAATGGATTTATTGGAAGGTAGTATCAGTGTTTATACATCTTACAAGTGAGAAAGTGGCAAGGCATATAGTATGTACATCCTTCCATTGGCACACCGATTAAAAATTAAGCAGCAGCATTACGCAGCAGGAGCTTCGGGTGCCTCAAGTCCTGCATCACCAGAACCACCAGCGTTTGAAGCACCACCGGCGTTTGAAGCATCACCTTTAGCACCAGCCTCTGCACCACCGCTTGCTGCACCACCAGTCACCTCGTCCAAGCACTTTACATAGCAGTTTTCACCTTGGTGGATAAGCTCCTCTTCACATTTCTTGAAGCATGTTTTTCTCTGCTCTGGTGTACCGACGGGTGTGCCAACTTTTGGAGCAGGTGGTTCAGGAGGACCACCTGCAAGTGCGTTTTTCAAGCATTTTTCATAGCATTGGAACGATTCCTTGATACCTTGGTCATTGCATTGATCAAAACACGTGTCCTTTTGAGCATCCGTAGCAACGGCACCAATATCGGCTTTGTTTCCTCCTGGTTGTCCTTGATCAGCTGGTTGTGCTTCATCAGCTGAAACCTCTGGTTGGGCTAACACGGCAAGTGTACCAAAGGCGAGAGTAATAAAAAGAGATAGTTTTTTGAATTGCATGTTTAGGAGAGGATGAGTGAGTGATTGATTGATTGATGGTGCTGTATGAAAATCCTCCTCCCCCTTTTATAATGCTGTTATCCCTTTGCCATAATCCTACCACCGCCGTCATTTCAGGAGCTCTGTATATGCATTTTCTTCTTCTTAGAAACCATGATCTACAACAGGCGTTTACTAGCGCATTTGATGGGCACAACACAAAGTACATTTTTAAACGGCAGGTGTCTACATGATGCATGTTTGAAAGAGGATCGGCGGTCAAAAGGTAACCAAGATGATGCACAGCCAATCCTAGCGCTTGCATGTGGCAAAAGCCTTTTACTTTGGCAGTGTTGTAAAAATGATAGGGCTCATGGTAGCTACGTTGTTGGATTGTCTGTGGCCCACGATAATTGCCAATTTGGTTCGTTGCTCCTTGTATGGGTCCGAATCATGATCAATAGGTGTCATAGTGCAATAGCAAGTTATATGTAATGTATGTACAAAGTGACATCCGTAAAGGAAAGAACCCCCTTAAAGTAGGTTGTAGCCCTTGTTTTGTTACTGCATGTCTCGATACGATGGTAGTAGTGGTGTCGGTGATATCAACTTTTTCTGCATAGTGCAGCATTTTATTGGGGGTATTGGATAAACAGAGCTGCAAGATCACTAACATGCAAAGTATGCATGAAAAAAACAGGATTATGACTTGGTTGGCACCATGTTACGCATATACATCCATCCTATCTAGGAACATTTGGTAGACTCGAGTGAGCATTTGACAATGATGAGCGGGCAGCGTATACAATTAGTGGCTCATTTGGCATATACAAGGCAAGACGTCGTTCGGGGTAAATCAGTATTAGTCCAACAACACGGGTGTGTAAAGGGTGGCCCCGTTTGAAATGTAGGATGATTTGAAGAGCGCAATACAGTTGTAGGGGTGATGGCTATGTACTTGCGCCAAAATGCAGTCGTTTCCTAAAAATGTCAACATGGAACCGTTGCCTTGGTTATCGTGTCCTTTCACAACTCCACTTGCTCACATCCTATACATAAGGGATGTATACATGATCACCATGCATCTTTCAAAAGCAGCATTCTTCACTCACATGTGAACATCTATTACCGTAAACAAGGTGACGCGTGTTTTTAAAACGATGGAGTGAAAAATTAAGGATGCCTAAGACTAGTGATCTTTGAAGCCACATGGTTGCCATGAAACGTGAATTTTAAATTAGATTCATCATCGTATAGCGTATATGCTGATTCTTCAAGGAGGTTCAACTCCGAGGATTGCAGCATTTCCATGCCGATCAAATCTTGTTTGAAATATGCAGCTTTTGTGACATTCATGTGAGCCCAACCATGAGCACCATAAAAAATACTTCCAATGATACATAGCAAAGGCCTAATGCTCATTCAAACACCCACTTGAAAATGACAGCTCACATATTCAAGCCATATGTACTTGTGTAGTAGTAGTGAGTCAGCTGCCTGTTAGTGATCTTGCAGCGTTGATCAACCATTACCCCTAATAGTAAGATGCTGCAGGTGGTAAGACATATAGGTGATATCACCGAAATGCCTACATGTCGTACGATCGAGCGGTGCACTCCAATAACAAAACAAACGCTGTTTGGGACCATGACAACCCGACTTTCAGGGACTCTCTCCTTGCAGAATGGCATTTGCTATGCACACAACACGTATGCTTGCGGTTGTACTATGAGACATCCAAGACAACACGGCCTTCGAGTTGGATGACAGTGTCAATAATCAATATGGAAACAGGTACGTAGCCAACATTGTGAGGCACAGAATACACCCTTTTACGTCCCTCCAACAACACCGTTTTTACAACATGCATTAATCAACATGCTGTTGTATTTCAATTAACCTTTCCAAATAATGATGCTAGAGCTACTAGAAGACTTTTGAGTGCTAGGTACTTATACATGGATGTTCGTAAAACGGAATCTACAGTATCATCCTCAGCCCATCATGGTGTAGGTACATCGCTCTTATGTTATCTACGTTTTGTGGCCAATGGACTTTTAAACACGCAAGAGAGCCTGCTGTAGATCGTTATTTCCAGGAGTATCATGTTCGCCAAGATGCAGTCGGTGTACACTAGCCATCAGGCACATGCGTAGCTTTGCATCGCTTGGCATTTGGATGATGATTGTAGATAGCTTCCTTCACCCCCTTGAAATAGTGGTAAATCGGATAACTTTATGTATAAAGGGTGTAGCTTCAAAATAGTGAAGCTTTCCGTTACATACTCTCCATATGAACTTTTAAGATTTCCATTTTCATTACGCTCGTCATGGGTACACTTACAGTGCTAGCCCTTCAAGACGATTCCAAAGGATCTTGTCAAGCCCCCGCCAACGCACAACCTCAAACGGATGAGTGCATGAAAATGTGCTCTAACCAGAACACCCTCCCACTTCAAGATTGCTATGGACGGTGCTTGGGCCAAAGGGCTCCTAATGTTGATGCAATGTAGAAAAGTGTGCCATAGTAGATAAAGTACTACTTAACATCCCCAATGACATCCTTACAACGATAAACTCAAGATAATGGATCAGTGCTTTTATTACTGGGCAAAGCCTACATACTAAAGATTGAATCATGGCACTACACTGTGTTTGTATCCAACGTCATGTTGTGGGTTGGGGAGGACGACTCATTTCTCTCCGCTTACTTGTAAAGCATCCTACTCACTTTCTTTCAACTCATGAATCCCCAAAGGTCAATCTCTCTCTCTCTCTTGCAGCAATAACAACAACAGCAGCAGCTTGCGATGCTGTCCGGTTCAGCCATTTCCTTCATGGTGGTGTCGCGATTCGCGCATGCAACACATTATGCGATCTTCGTGTGCATTCATAAGTCGATATTGCTGCCCAACGTTCGCCCTAGATGAATGGTATCTTCAACATCGACTATGACTGCAGTGGATAAATCATCAGCATGCAACTAAAGAAGGCTACGATATGATACGTACCGTCATTCGAAACTATCAAAAGGACAAGGATGCTTTGCGACACGATGGATTGCATTTCCTGGATTGGCTAAAACACGCATGGATGCCGACCGTTCACGGCTATTCTCAACATTCGATGACCCACGACAACAAGAAGTGATCATGTGATATGGATCGATCCCAATCAACAAAAAGTGATCTGTTGGATGAACCCTGTTTTGATGACAAAGGCTGCTGTTGACATGAAACGGATCCTGTTGGTATATATTTAGGATTGTGTTGTAGTATCTTATCCCTGCAATACCCCACCAGTATAGAGCTGAATAAAACATCTGTGGCTTCTGATACCAATTTAACATACCATCACATAATCAATCAGTAATCGCTATTTCATCCTATATATGCAAGCTGAAAAACTACGCGTTTGATTCGATAATCACCACCCTGCGGCCTTCATTTGATATATAGTAATCCATCCCGCAACGATTTAGTGATCCCTGATGGGACGATCTTTGGGTTTTCAGATCTTGCAGCACCTATCGATGTATAGAAAGCAGCCACCCATCATTGTTACACCAACTTCACGCATGATGATGATGATGATGCCATTGTGAGACACACAAGCAATGCTACCACCAGGGTCTATGGCGTTGAGCGCATGTATGCGATCCAGTATAATAAACACGCTACTTTTATGGCATCATCAACAGCTGGCATTCATACCAATGAACTATATACCATAACGCAGCAAACCCCACTATCACAAATGGGGTTCATTGAAAGACATTCGTTGTGTGTTTTAAAAAACCAGCAAGGGGATACTATGTAGATGTAGCATGTCTTCTACATAATTGGAACGGCATCCATGTTATTTTCCACCGGCCTGTTGCTCTGGATAGCATCGCTCTTTACATTCCTCCTTCGGTCTCAGATACATGACTCTGCATCTTTTGAAGCAAGCTTCTTTTTCCTTTACAGTAACAGGGCCTTGAGAATTTCCTTGACCCTTTGGGGAGGGTGGTGGTCGAGATGGCGGTAGTGGGGGTCGAGCTAGCACTGAAACTGCACCGATGACGAGAGTGATGAAAAGGGATAGCTTGATGTTCATATTATGGATGAATGCGATGTTTGATGCTTTTACCCTTTATAAAGCTGTGAAATGATTTCAGGGGTTGCATAAAGTAATAATGATGCGGACTTACGGTGATGTTGACTGTATATGGCGAAAAACGGTGCTGTCATTTAGAAAGGGGATGAACCAAAGGTGTATTTTCTTGATCATTTACATCCATCAATGATGGATTATGTAACGAGAAGCTGCATGGCAAGAATGAGAGCATTGTTAAGATGAGGATGGAATGGATATTATACTTTGTGTTCTCGTGTAAGATGGTATAGCGCTTAAAGCATGCGCTTGTAGTGTTGGAATTGAACAGGATTTAGAGACACCATAATGTCTCAAGGCAGATGCAAAGCCGATGACCGCTTCTGCATGTGGCGGAAACCATATCTAGGATTCAGATTCAATGTCTGAAAAAGTTGTTTCTTCTCAGGTCTTGTTCCTATGCATTATGGAAGTAATGATAGGTGCGATCCTTTCAGCTGTGGTTATCTTGGGTCATGCTGTACACGTCTTCAAGATCCAGTCATCAATGTTGAATTTTATGGCCCGTTTTAATGAGCCGTAAGAAAATTCCATGATGACACAGCCGATCCAGGATCACGAAAAACGATAGACCATAGAGACATTCTTTGAAACAGCAACGGGTAGAATCACACGTTTGATAATACAATGCATACCACTTCCTCAGTATCGATGATTTATTTTTGAGAGACATGAATAAAAAGTGATTCTACTACCACTATTTACTGCTGGGCACCGCGTGGTTTATCCAGGCAATCATTAAAACATGATAAAGTTATTTTGCCAGTTACTGAATCCTTGCATTGATTGACGCATGCAATTTTTTCTTCCATGGTAGGTTCATTCGGCGAACTAGCAGGATCTTGGCCTTCAAAGTCAAAGGTACCAATGGCTAGCACCATAAGCGAGGAAATGGCGAGTATGGAAAAAGTGATAACTTTAAGTGCATTTGGATGAGTGAGCGAATAAATGATGAATATCGTTTGTGCTGTTACAGAACACGTCCTTTATAATGTTGTGGAAGTCAAAAGGTCGTGCCTTAGCCATACGCCCATTTCAGGAGTCACGTGCGTGTAGTAGAAATATCGGATGATGAAGAGCTACAACGTTTATAGAGACCAAATGTGTTGTATGTGGCATCAATGAACCTTTAACCTGGAAACGCCAAGCTATATTGTAGATCGAAGCGCTATCAATGCCCGCTTTTGCATGTGGCTGAAACTTTAAAAAGGTCTCAAAGGATGTTATGTACAATGAGTGATAAAAGATAATACGCTTGTACGTATGGGTGCTGTTCTTTTTAATATTTCAATCATTGAATCAAGTACTGTAACGGATGGTGGATATAAAATCGTGAAACACAGAGCAGTGGATGTCTTTTATGCCAATGTCATATACGAGGCGACCTCCTCGAAGCTTATTTGTGCATGAGAACATTCCCGAAAATCCAAACATTAAATGTATACGGATGTCAATCAATAGCAATTGTCAAGGCAGCGTAGGACGTTTGAGATGATGGCTGGTCATTCTCGCATAAAGGATCAATTCCGGATCATGTGATTCACCCAACAGATGGAGCTTGCGGGAGTGAAGGGTTTCTTTTCCTGACAACAGTTGACATTTCCGTTTACACACACTCAAAGTACGCATCGAGGACAACGACAATGGGTGAAGAACATGGCAGACCAACCCTTCAATGGCAATGCTTCGCGTTACTACACACGATCATGATTCGAGCCCACCATGTCAAAGTGGCTGTTAAGTGTATCTTTCAATACCAACCAAAAGCACCAGCAGCAGTGACAACCACCTTATGATTGAAGAGCATCGAGACGATATCACAACGTGTTGACAATGATAACCAGGAGAAGCCATGGCTCAGACCAGTGCAGTAAGGAGTCTTTGCATATGATGGATGGACGTTGACACACGCGTTTGTTTTTTGGATCTGGCACGAATGACATGGGCTGCTTGTTGTCTCTCAAGGTTCCTATGGCTGAATACGATCCTACTCCTTGGTTCTTGTGGTTGCCATGGCAAACGATCTCATCGACATGCATGAGCTTGGGCGTTTTTTATGCAACATATTCTCGCCATCTCCGGATCCAACATCCGATGCAATTGATTATCGGTTAAGGAAAGGATTATATAAGATCATCTCTCGCTGTGAGTTACATCTCTGCATCTTTCCTCACGATGAAATACATTTGTATCCTTTCACTTGTCTTTGCCGTTGCCCTCGCCGGTCCTACTGTTCCTGAGCCGGTTTATCCGAATCCAAAGAAGTACTTTTCGGAAATAGCCCAATGCATTAATGCTCCTCTCGATAAATGCACTACAAAAAACGGTTGCTACATTCACACAAATCGTAAGCAAAATTTGGGATTGTGTTATTTTGTTGATACTCATTATGTGCTCGTAGCCTTCACCGGTGAAGAGGAATGTGATTATGATCCAAAAAAGGGTCAATGAGTGATATAACAGTGCCCTACATCTTGCAATTGTTCGATCCCGTTCTTTATCCTGTTATTGAGTTCTCCAATAAACAATTGCCCTGTTGGCAAACACAAATGGACATTACAGTAGATGATATGTGTTACTGTTGCTCATTTAAGTGTAAACATGTACCATATCGTTGGTCGCACCAGTTGTTTGCAATGATTGCATCAAGCATAATGATCAAGTTGAGACAACTGATAGATGATTACAAGACTCTTTTTCACACATTGCATATACCCTGATCATTCGATCCAATATACCAAAGTAGCATCCATTAGTCATATGATATATAGAAATTTACATGTAAGGCTTTTATAACTCAATAGAACGATAGGGGATGGGTGAGTGTGGGTGAGTGTGCGCGAGTGAGTGAGTGAGTGGGTGGGTAGGTGGGCTGGTTTCCCTTTACACACACTCCATCTACGGACACAGCAATGGGTGAACATGGCCGATCAACCCTCCAACAATGCCAATGCTTCGCGTTACGGCAGACGATCATGATTCGAGCCCACCATGTCATGTCGTCAAAAGTGGCTGCTACACAAGTGTATCTTTCAACACCAACCAAAATCACCAACAGTGGTATCCACCTTACAATTGAAGAGCATCGAGACGATATAGCAGCACGTTGACAATGATGACCAGGAGAGATTGTGGCTCAGTGCAGTACATAGGGAGTATACAAGAGCAAGGAGAACAATCAGTCTTTGTATATGATGGATGGGATTTGGCACACTCGTTTTCTTTGGAGCTCGCACGAATGACATGGGCTACATGCTATCTCTCAAAACCCTGTTGCTGAATACGACCGTAGGATGTACTACACAAGTGGTTGTTCCCATGGCAACCGATCTCTATCGACATGCACGAGGCTTTTTTTTTGTTGGCAGCATATAAGCACTCCTCCTGAATGCCCTTAGACGCCAACATCTGATTCAATGGATTATATAAGGACATTGCTCCCTCTGTGAACATCCATCATCTCCTCAAGATGAAATTCAGCTTTATCATTTCGCTTGTCTTTGCCATTGCCCTTACCGATCTTACTGTTGCGTGGACTTCAGCCGTGGAAATTCGGAAAAACATGGAACGATGCCAAAAAATCTCTCTCGATGAATGTCCTGCAGCACGCAAATGCGCCATTGAAGAATGTACGTAAACAATGTGTTGTGGAATGCGGTGTCGTTCGATGATACTCATTGTGTGTTCATTAGCGGATGACGGTGGTACCTCTTGTGCTTATGCTCCAAACAAGGAAGATGAATGAGTGATACATATAACAGTAGTCTTACATTCTGCAATTGATTGACTCGTTCATTGTTCGGTTTACCCAATAAATAGAATGATTTTGTTGCCACATACATAATAGCAATATTGAAATGATCTTAGTCACTGACGGCAAAGTGTAGGGATGACCATTATCGTTGACAAGAGATCGAGGATATGTGGTACATATAAACAAGTACTTTCATGGCTTTAGTTTCTCCCTTTTGCTATTTCGTGTTAAGGCGATTTCGAAAATCACTCCTTGGTACTGATAGGAGGATGTGGCGATTAGAGCAGGATGACCCCCGTGTGTTTGGGCGGAGGATGCGGGGTACACACAAATGTGCATCAGCATCATCGTATGACTTGCAGCGGTGCGCACCCCTTGATGGCTGTAGTTTAGCAACATTTTGGCCGTACGTGCTGTCTTGGGCATCAGTATCAACAATCAAGTAATGCTCAGCCTTTTGGTGAGGAAGGTGTAATCCTGGGAAGGCGAGGAGTAACGCTTGCATAATTCAAGAGTCAAAATGAGGTGGGGGGTGTTACTCGCTTTATGACATTGCTTACTTATTCCATCACTATAGCCTGGTTTTTTTTTTCGCATACATTGTATGTCATGTAGTAGACGTTAGACCTCATGCCTTCATAGTTTGGACTGCAGCCTATACATACCAAAAGGTGATTTACGCCATTTTCAACGGCGGTAACCCCTTGCATGAGGGTAGGAGTTGCCGTACGCCGCTAGATGGACTTTGGACACCGGGGAATACAGTATATATAATGCTATGATCCGTATGGTATGATGCACATCCTTTCTTTATTCAACATGAAACTCACTTTTGCCATCACCCTGCTCTTTGTCATTTCCATGGCTAGCAAAGCTTTGGGTCGTCCACCTCCACCTCCCACCAAATAGTCCATATGCAAAATACAGAAGAACTCCTCTTGATCAATGCGAACAGCAACCTACATGTACACTCAAACCTGGCATGTTGTTAGTGAGTGCGTGTATTAAATCTTGGCTAACCATGGAAACTTCTCTTTAGGTCCTAGCGGTCGGCAATATTGCGGTTATGATCCAAATAAGACGACACAACAGTAATAGCTGTAGTAGAGATGGAATAGGGCATATAATCTTACGCTTATAATGTGAGCGATACTTATCCCCTCAGCATACGGTACAACGTCATTTTTCAGAAGCAAAGTATCATAAAGTGACTTTTCCCTCACGACATCACCACGTGATTAGATTATCATCATCACCATGGCAATGAGCTTATTTTCAATCATTGTGCATGAACGTGTGTCACGCTAACCCTACTTTGGGTCTCTCTATGTGTGTGTGGGGGGATAAGATATGGAACCAAAAGTATGGGTATCAATTGCACCATCAACCAGCCATGGCATTGGTCGACTTAATCAGACACGTGAGCATAAACAGCACTTGCATGCAAAAGTTGTGTGCGAGTCCGACTCTCTTTCACTCACTCTCTTTCTTTTTTCTCACGACCAACAATGCCTGTTGCAGCAGAACCCACCCTTTCCGCTATTCGCATTTACCCTGTAAAGTCATGTCACTGTGTTCAACTTGACGAATGCGAGATTGGTGCACTTGGACCCAAACACGATCGACGATTCATGTTTATTGAAGAAAGCAACAAGCGTTTTATTACTCAACGGTATATACAACACATATACGCACGCAGCAGCAGCACATTCATTATTGACATACACACACACATGTAATAGCAAATATTCTTCGATGGCTTTGATCCGTCCTTTGGTGGATGTGAAGAACGACACGTTGACATTGACAGGACCAGGCCAACCTGATTTGACATTGCCCTTGACACCTCCCAAAGAAGAAAACAATCGCCTCACCGTCACCGTATGGAAGGATACCATCACAGCCTATGATATGGGCGATGCAGCAGCAGCATGGATTGGCAAATTCTTTAAGGATCATCGCCAACACAACCAAATGAATCCACACAGCGATGATGGCGGCATGGGCGGTGTAGGACCCGATGTACCTCCAGCACGATTAGTGGCGATTGATGAACAAGATTATTCGCGACCTTCCCATGATCGATTACCTGGCATTCACACTGCATTTTCGGATTCATCTCCCATTTCGTTTGGATGCGAGTCAAGTCTTGAAGACGTCAATAACAACTTGATCCAATCAGGATTAAGCAAGGGCCAATCCATTCCTATTGATCGATTCCGCAATAACCTCACCATTTCTGGTACCGTGGCATGGGATGAAGATGAATGGCTTGTCGTCCAGTAAGTTCACAAACCTTGGCCTTTTGGAGGAATAGTATGACTCATGATGATGCATGAAGGATTGGTGAAGTGACATTTTATGTGATGCGACCTACGGCTCGTTGTACAGGTAATACAAAGAAAATGGGCTAGGATGATGATGGGTCACTAAAGTAAAGAGCATAGTGCCTGGATTCAATCAAGATACCGGGATCAAGGATGATTGGGGCAAATCAGGTGTATTGGATTATCTCAAAGTCAAACGCAACTTGACCACCAATCCCAAGCAAGGCTACTTTTGTGTGGATGCCGCTCCCCTCACCAAGGGCACCATTCGTGTAGGCGATCCTGTCAAGATCTTGGAAAGAATCCCAGCAGACAAGGTTGAACGTCCTGTGGGTCCACCACCAACAACGACCTCTAATGATAACTAAGTAGTATACCTTTTTTGTTTCTTGTTTGGATATAAAAAATGCTTTTTTTATTGGTCAATACTATTTAAAAAAGCCTATCGTCGACGTGGATCATTTTCATAGTCATCCAAAGCTTCACCTTCCTCTGCACTTGAATGCCCTCCAGCTAATGGCTGATCCAAACTTTCTCGATGGGACATCATTTGACGCTAAAGAAAAAAGCCATTAAATGAGATGATGCAACATACACCTATCCTCCATTCCAAACCAACTTACCCTCTTTTTCCTTCTTTCTTCATCATATCCCAATTCATCTTCCCGATCCGAATCACGTCGGGCATACTTGTATCTTCGAGAGCTATGTGATCGTCCGTGATGGTGACCTTTGGAATAATAGGCTTCATCTTCTTCCTTGATCATTCCCTCTTCTTCCTCATCATCTTGCTCCATTTGTTTCTCCTATAAGCAACAACAATCCCATGAGTATCCACACACACATGCACAGCTCTTCTTTTTGGTACCTTGAGTCGCTTGATAAACTTTTCAAAAGCTTCCATTCTTGCTTGTTCAGAATCAATGGCCTGGTACTCGGGTAAATGTTCAATACGTGGCATCACGGCTTCCCAAGTATCCTCAACATTCACAGGGGGATCCAAATGTTTCATGGCATAACGTAATGCATCCATCTTTTTCCTCAGCTTCCTTTCTTGACGTCGTTTTTCTTCCTTGAGTCGATGCACAGCCTTGTTTTGAAGCTAGGCAAATCCACGTTAGGAAACCTTGAAGGTACACAAAACACCTGAACAGCGACTTACATGATCAAAGATTATTTTGATGTTGCTTTCAGTAGCTCGGTCCTTGAGAGTTGGATCTTGGTCGAGGATGCCACGATATTCTTCAAACTTTGTATCCACAGTCACTTCAAAGTCATGTTGCTAGATAAACATACGTCAGCTTTAAGTGTATCCCACGTGATCCTTGTTCTTTCATACCTTGAGCACATCATACACAGCCTTCTTTTCATGATACAATTTCTCATCCAAGTCATCCAACATGTCCCAAAAGAGATCGAGGGGAGAAGAATCAGGGATGCCCAAGAGATCCAAGTACCGAGGATCCTCCTTGATGTGCGGATAAAGTTCCTTCCATAGGGTCCGTGCGTTGATCACCCCTTTTTGGTAATACTCATCGAGTAGCGTCTATTTTCAAAAATTGAGTTTTCGGATGATTAAAAATATACTCTGTGGTCCGTGCTCGCTTTGTTGACCTACCTTGAATGCATCACGTGCTTTCCGATGTTGACGTCTCTTTTGTTGCTTTTGTCGTTCAAAGTCATCAAAGGGTGCCATCCATAACTCTTTGCTGTGTTGTTGATACACCACCAAGAAATCCAACTTGTCCATGCCCTCAAATGCCTTTGGGTTCTCAAACGTGGGGTGCTTTTTATAGAGTTCTTGTGCCATAGGCCATCCGGTCTCATGGGTGATTTCTGGCATGTGGCGTAACAAGTCCGCAAATTGATCCATGCTGCTCTTGCGTAATTCACGAAGTCGATCCTTTTCACGTCGTTGTAATCCATGCACGTATTCATCAAAATAGGCTTCACGTTGGCTGTCAGACTTGACTTGATTGAAGGCGGGTTGTTGTGACAAAAGTTTGGCGGCTGTACGATAGCGTGTATAGGGTTTGATGTCTTTGGTGTTCTCAAGCATATGGAAAAACGCCACGCGTTGCTTAGTCTCTCGTTCCTCACGTAGTTCCTAAAACCAATAGGTGAATAAAAGAATCATCATCACCATCCTTGGGATATAGAGTCATGGGGCTTACACGTTCACGTTTGGCTTCCTTGTCAATATACTGATGAAACGCCGCCTTTCGTTCAGCTGCTGTACGCAAAGCACGATACATCGGATGGGTGATAATTTCTCGCATCGTTTGTTCCCACGTCCAATCCGGTCGCACACCCTAATAATATACCACATATATATAAATGATCCCTTTTTCCCATTGAAACTCCCATCCAGTCCTATCACTTGCCGTTTCTCGTAACAGTTTGACAAATGCCTTTTCTGCCTCTTCTTTGGTAGCAAATTCAACAGCAGGCACTTGAGATAAAAGCGTGGCACTAGGTGGGGGTTGACGAATGGGACCTCGTTGCTGTTGTGGTGTACCCATAGGCGTACTTGTTGAAGAAGGAGGACCACTCACATCACTACCTGTACCTGGTATAGGAGAAGGGCGAGATGAACTAAAGGATGGATGTGTAAGTTTTTTTTCCCATGCGTAGTAATAAAAATCATGCCACAAAAATGGACGTACACTTCTGCTTGTGCTTGTGCTTGTGCTTGTGCTTGTGCTGCTGCTGCTCGTTCTTTGGCTTGTTCTGCTTTATCACGAAGTTCTAAATGATAGCAACGTAAGATCTCCCATAATAGTTCATGTAACCTATTTGGGTGAATTTATACCTTTATAATCCTCGGGTATGACCCAACGTGATTCCTTTGTCTGGGTATTGCTGTAATAGGTCTTTCCCTCTGGGGTTTTATATTCCTTCCAAGGGCAACTCATCAATGCCTTCTCTTCTGGAGTAAGCAGCTCCTCTGGTTTTTCCCACGTACTCTGTCGCGTTACTGTGTTGAACCAATATTTCTTCCCTTGAGCGTTTTGATGTTCTCGCCATACAGGCTATACACACATAGAATAGTCATAGTGAGCCTTTTGTGTTGAATGTATGATAATAAATGGATGTATATAAACTTACTCCTGAAGGTGGCACGGGTGGTGTATGTGTATCAGATGGAGGTCTTTGCCAAGGCGATCCCATAGATGGCGAAACAGGTGGACTGCCCTGAAAACCACCATGGGGCTATGTTAATCGATAATCGGTCAGTTGAGAAAAGAATAAAGGATCAAAAGGAGATGCAAGTAGAGACGTACGGGTGGAGGATACTGGCCGTTGTACATTGTAAATGAAAGCTGTCTACAAACAGTCGACGATGGGTGTTCAAGAAAAAAAGTATACGCACGCGGCAGAAACACACCACACAGTGGCTAAATTCCCAGTCTCCGAAATCGGAACGGCTTCTCTGTAAAGCGGCTATATTCCCGGCATGCGATGTCACCTGACCTTTTCATCCACCAACACATACACAATAGGCTCAGGTCATAAAGGGAGGAAAAGCAGCCATCCTATCACTCACCTTGCATGAAGATCCCAATCCCCTACGCAATCCAAAAGGTCTCCATGATTGAACAAGTCGCCTCGTAAATATTGTAAGCTGTTTTATTCATATACGATGGAAGCTCTCATAGCAGCATGCCCTTTGTTCATACCATTTCCTTCTCTTTTATCCACTACTCCCTCATGTTGTTGTAGTTTTATCCATATAAATTTTATTGGATGCTCATCCCTTCATACTATCTTAGTATTTGCTGATAAAGTAATGAGGAACTTGCCGCTAGTGCGCGCTTGATGCAAGTTTGAATTGCGCTGTTTCTTCTTTACTGTATCATGCCCTGAGCAAAGCTGGCGCTTGCAGCCAGCACATAAGACCTCTTTCTCTTGTTGAAGTTGTTGCTCTTGATTGTCTTGAGAAAGGTAAGGATGAGAAGGAGGAGGAGGATTTGAGGAATAAGAAAAGCAATCATTAAGATCACTAATCTCAAAGGTGACCTGGACCTCTACCTTGACTTGGATGCCTTGGTGATCTTGATCATCTTGAAGGTCTTGCTGTTCTTGAAGATCTTGCTGAACTTGCTGCACTTGAGCAAGAGGGAGATGATCCTGCTCTGCTGGCAGAGGACTTTGTAAAAAGTAAGCATAAAAAAGAATGGTTTGAGGTAAAACAGTTATACTTACGTATAGTGACCCTGGACAACAGGGCAATCATCTGCATCATCACAATTAGGTTGCAGCTCTTGAGCAATGGATTCATCCACTTGGAAGGTTGCTCTGATGTTGTGATGAGCAAGAGCCTTGGTGATGATTGAGAGGACAGTGGAACGTTGATCAACTTGATGAGTTGCCCATGCTGAGTGGATGGAATAAGCAAGTGGATGGCCACAGACAATGGGTAGAGTGGTGTTGAGTATGATAAACAATGGCTTGATGATGCGTGTTGAGAGCACTGTCCTCGGTCGTGCTGCTGTATCCTGGCAACTTGACGCGACTGAATGGTGTGCCTGGTCACATCTCGTAGCATGCAACGCGTTCATCAGGGTCGGTCAGCAATAGAATGCAAAACAGGTGTGGCATCTCATCCTTGGCTTGCCGCTAATGTTGGCAAGAAGAGCATGTACGGCTGAGCATTGTGCTGTGTTTCCAAGGAAACGAAGCTGTTGGAAAGAAACGAAGCACGTCGAGTTTGAATAAAGAGCTCCACGAAAAATGTTCAAGCACATCCTTTTGTCACACGCACTCATCCCAGCACATGCATCCTTAGTTGCACTACATGTGTTTCCACCGTTTACATGTCTCGTCCTTTCTTTTGTTACCCACCATGTCGATAGCTAACCCTTGATGCTCCTTCGTTTATTAATGAGTGACCAAAAATAAAGCTGTGTGTCTTTGTAAACAAAGCTGACAACGCGCGACGTAGTACAAGATAATTCAAAATGACACCTTTATTGCTTTTTTAGTAATCCCTGCTGTACATGTTAAACCATGACTGTAAACATGTCGATATCCAGCAACCCTGTATATACATCAGACATGCATTGTGCAGCCTGTAAGTCGAAATTTTTCATATCCTGATTGACGCCTATAGCGGCGAACATTTCATCTCGCTGATCAATCATCGAGCGCCTTTTGACATCGGTAAGAAAATTATCAAGCTCGGCGAAAAAGCAATGCCACACTTGCTGGGGATCGTCCATCCTTCGTATCTTGAATCCTAAAACGCCGAGCACACCATAGACATAATCCACTGGATCCATGCATCGCCTTGATGATCGTTCAAACGCCTTGAACAAGTGGTTCAATGTCCATAACGAGATCCTTTCATCTCGAAAAGCTTCACCCGCGTCTCGTGATCGTTTCATTTCCATCAACCGGGCACTCCCAGTACGTTTCAATGGCTTGCCTATAGAGGAAAATGTGAGTTACTGATGGCATGTAAAAAGTGAATTACGTATATACCTGGTAAACGGAATGACTCCGTTTGTAGATTTTTCTCAAGACGAGAAAGTGATTCCATATCCAGCATATGCGTGCCTGATACTTCGGTTGCCGTTTCAGCCAAAAACACTACTTCTCGAGGTAGCACCATCTCTTGCCATGTCCACACACGCTTCCACCAATCGCGTTCCATAAACGTATCCAAGACATCCACGGCTTGCTTATACTGCTTAAAGGTATACTCATACTGTGGATCATTCATTTTGAGGCGTTTGAGGCGTTTCTTCCAGTAGCTTTCTTGGTCAGGGATACGGTCCATGTAATGTCTAAGTTTGGGTATCGTTTTATCATCACAATCAATCATGGCATAGCATGTTGAACATTGAGCGTAAATATCGCCCATGATATCCAAGGGGGTATCTGTGCGTGCACATAACACGTCGATCCACCAGTAACTATCAGGGTGGTCTCGGAGCAGTGCAAGGATGGTGTCTCGTTTTTCAGGTCGCATGGATACAGGCTCCACAGGGTTTCCATACTCGTCATCCACATAAAGGCCAATGTCCTCCCATTGATGGCCATGCTTGGATGTTTTCCAGAGATGGGACAAGGCATAATGCGGTAATGGCACGTCTTGGTTGTTATCATCACCACTCGCAGTAATAACCCGTTTCATGATACGTCTTCGATGAATGGGATCGGTAGAAGGCTTGACGAGTTTCATCTTGGTCTTTTCTTCATCCTTGCCAGGTACATAGAGCAATAAAAAGTGTGGATGGTTTAACAAGGATGGAATGCCTTCCAAATCATCGCCATGTAAGTAATCTTCAGGATCCACAATGGTTGCCGATTCTTCTTTGGAGTAGGGCTCATCATCATAATCCTCTTTCTTTGATGGCAATAGAACAAGGCATGTTGTTAGACTCGTGTTGAACATGCGATGTGCTGGTTGTTGCATACCTCGTAAAAATCATCATTCTTAGATACACAGCACCCCATTTTATGCGTAGGATGAAAGAAAGGAGGTGGCAATGGGGAGGAAAGGGAGAGTGCAAAGAGCGCAGCCATTTTTATGTGGGAGAAGGTAAAAAGACTTTATCCTTGTGTTACATGCATGATGAAGATCGGATTGCCCTGATACATATACATATACAACGTCAATGCTTAGTCGGAGATGCACCATACCATATAGCGTTATTACAATCCCCACCTAATTATCCTATTGTGGAGGATAGAACTCTTTATTTATTCGAAAGCAATGATACCCATAAATGAAAACGTACGTAGCTGCATGAAGGAAGAAATCCTGTTCATTCCCTGCGTGTGTGTAAAAGGGGTGGACCACTTGGATTCCCAAATCGGGAAAAGAAAACGTGATTTCCTCGTTTAGTACGGACGATCCCTCGCGACAATGACAGCAATAGCTTTGCGTACGACATTGTTCTAGAAACAACAATCGCAACCACTGCAAATTGGATGATTGAAAAAAAGCAAACCCTATCATACACGCAATTTCATTCTTGTGGATGGATGAATGAGCAAAAAACAGGTATGTATCCCATTGCATGTGTTCTTTATCCTTTTTCCCCTTACTACCGAGCTTGTATACCCAGTGTCGGCCATTGGACATCACCAAAACCATCCTACATAGCCACATTTTACTTTCCACGTACCCATTAACCGCAAAGATCCCAAATCATCCATATTGCCTCAACTTGCAATCCTCAACTCACTACTCTATTGTCCATTGCCAAACCGCTGGATTTATTGAATTCCTAAAGACCAACATATAACTCTACGACCAGCAGCACAACCAGGATGAGGACGACCACGAACACGGCCATGGCAAATATAATAAGAACGTCGTCGCCCTTTCATCTCAAAGTTCGTTTGCTATATAAACCGTGACAGGAATCAGAAACATGCTTTTGATAATGGGTATAAAGTCGATGCTACTTACGTATAGAACAGGGCGACGCCGTTCAATTCCATCATAGTGAACAAAGAGCCTTCTTTTGCTAATTACTCTAAGGACGATTCCCATCTTTAGTATGATAATGATGGCATGGGATGAATTCAAACTTCTTACCATCCTCAACTTTGCCAACTCCTCGCCACGACTTGTCGAGCGTATATCAATGTGGATGATGCAAGTATTCAGCAACAGACGATAGAACAGCTTTTGCCTCCTTCTATATGTAATAGGTCGTTAACACATGTGCAATAAGAAAAGTCAAACCGTATTCCATACTTGCCTTTAGCAAAGTAAGCTCTTCTTTAGCTCTCGCGTTCTTGTGCATGGCTCGATGCTTTGGGTCGAGAGCAACGATATCGCATTCCTTGCGCAGTACGCTCGTTTTGCGTAAGATTGTGTTGGCATCCTCCAATTTGGGTGCGATATTATCGCTTCCTTTTGAAACAAAAAGCTATACAGTGAACCCATAGATATGGCATGCAATGTGTGTGTTTTTACCTGAAGCCATTTGTAGGAGTAACGAGAGCGCTGAGATACCTGCTTTGTATTAACAAGCACCAGGGCCATCAGCAAGCAGGGGATTTCTTCCACCACATAGCAAAAGGGGAAGTGGTCATCATTGGGAATGGCATCCCGAATGGCAACAGTAGCATCACCATCCTAATATTATGGAAAAAGCATCATAATGAGAAATAAGGTTTGACATGACAATGTATGCAAGCAAGATAACACTTACATAAACAACGGCCCAATGCTTGGAGGCTCAACCTACTCATCGACTTGTGAGGTTGTAACATAGATACGTCAATCATTGTGTCAAGATGAAATGGAATTCAATGAATAATCTACTCACTTCCAAGTACTTGCGTGCTTGATGGCATGGATTGGCCGCCGGATGCCTGAGCACGGTGCAACCAACTCCAACACCTGCTCATGCGTCATTGTCCGAAGGACAAGTGTGGCGTGAGCAATCAGATCCCTCAATACATCCTCGTCGGTCATTGTCCTAAGAGCGTCGCCATAGACCTTCACGTGTTGCTGTGGCGTCCCGTAAGCAATCAAGGCCTTATGTTCCGGTAGGGAGGGAGTATAGCGTATTCTTGCTCATGAGTCACCATCATCCTTGCCATTGAATAAACAACTCACCATAGACATCCTTGTCTTCAATAAAGCACCGATCCCATCCCAAGGAATGTAAAAAGCCAAACGTCTCAGGTTGTGTCATGATGTGCTGGAATCCACCCAATGCTTGTTCATCCTCATATCGATTGATTGATTACATGATGGCGCCATGTTGACACCGATATCCATTGAATGTCATTTCTTTCAACACCAGTGCCAGTCTCCAAGTGAATGATGGATCACCATAACAACGGCTCCTGTTAATGATCAATCTTGTAAGACAAGACCCATTTGCCACGATCCCAATCCTTTCCATTATTTACCTTGGTATATCGATGCACATGAATATGAGTACATGGATACGTTGCTATGCCAATGCAAGCTGTCTCACGTGATGCTCAATGTTGATCATGGGTGGATATGCTTGTAAGCATGCAAACTGCAGCATGACGCGTGAAAAAGGCTGGGCCGTATATTCAACACACCAATAAAGCTTGTCAACGATCGTATACTGAAAGAGATGCTGGTTGAGTAATGCCGGCAAGTGAGTTATACATTAGGTAGAATGCACTGCGCCGTCTGCTGTTAAAAAAGTGGTTGATGCAAGTTGCCATTGGAGCGAGCGAGGTGGAAGAAGACAAGGTTGATGTTTAAAAGATTCTCGGTCTATATTCTCTATGAGAGTCACCCTGTTACACAACTCCCCTTTGGGCACGCGCGTAAGATGATCATGCATGTACCTGAAAGACTTGGTTGCATTCACGTGAGCACCTTAATGCACACCCCCTTGATGCATATGGGTATTACGAAGTTAAATGCTCTAGTCTTCATTTCAGTGTAAGGTATAGAACTCCCTTGTGTAGTCATCAGAGTAGACATCGACGATCATGGTTTATCTATCTATTTGTTATTCTTTGACACACGTTATTTTTTTGGGCATCACCACTTGAGTACATAAAGCTGTTTCCTCGATCTCTACGTGAACATCATTAACGTATGCATTTGGTGGGTGGATGTACCTTTACACTTGCTTATTAAAAGAGAAGAGTAAACTTTTTGGATCACGTGCTTTTATTGTAATACTGTAGCTTTGATAGTAGAGAAAAGGACAAAGGTTCTATTGATCTCCTAACTGCTAGTCTTCTTAGCTGACTCTTCTGCATGCATTGATTTATGTAAGCATCTCCACTCGAAACAGCAAGAAGCAACAGCGTAATGCAAAGTGCGCGATCAACGGGTGTGTGTAACCAGGCATCTACCAGTGCAGCGACAAATTCCTCTGACATTGGCGCTCTTGCATTTACTCCTTTGTTATCCTTACACGCACACCACGACAAATGGCTGCGATCGAACACATTAGCTGGTCTGAATTACTGAAGCATGCCAACATTACAGCTCAACATGGTAATGACGGCAACCGAATTGCCACGGCAACCGAGTCTCTACAGCAAATAGCGCACCAATTCGCCGAGGAGCTCAATGAGCGTGCCAAGCTTTTAGCCAACAGTGCTCAGTTTGATAGAGCGTTACATGATGCAGCAGCCATAAGAGCCATGTTACCAGGATCAGGGCTTGGATACTTGTGTACAGGAGACGTGTATTGTCAACAAGGGCGTCATGCAGCAGCGATTTCCATATACGATCAAGGGCTTGAAGCTGTGTCTGCATCAGATCCATATTACCACCACCTTCAGCAACATCGCATGCAAGTAGCACCCAACAACAACAAACGAGTCGATTTCATCAGCCGGCTACCATTGGATATTGTCATCACCAACATTGTACCAAGGATGACGCCAACGTACTTGGATTCGAATGAGCTGTATGGGCCTCTTTACGTATCACGTACATGGCAGGAGCGTATCTTGCAGCAATCCAAGGGGTTGACTTTCGAATTCGGGCAAGAGGACCACACCTTCAAGACTGGTCATGATCAACTCATCCGATTCGCACCCTATGTTCAAAAGTTAAGAGGCAATGTGTTTGACGATGCAGAGTTGAAAGATCTCTTTTCTCGAGCTCGCTTTTCCAATCTTAAGGACCTGCGTATATACTGTGAGTATGGATGGGCAGTGTTATCTATGCAATATGGATACGAATGTCATCTTCTTCCTTTCATTAGGTGATTCTACAACCCCTCATCTTCCAGTATTACATGGTCTACAACTGATTTCTGATTCATTGACGCACCTGAACATTGATGGGTACCATTATTTTGACCTAAGTGATATCCTCGAATCATGTCCAAATCTTGTATCTCTGGAAACAGAGCATGTCGAGCCTGTTTTATCTTCACCGCCATCATCACGTTATCCCAAGATCACGCACCTGGCACTTCATGACGTATCAGAAGATGAAGCCCCTAGCCACGATGATGTGATTGATCTCCTCAGTCGATTTCCTTCTTTATTGTCATTCGAGCTTACGCCAATGTCCGATTCCAGTATCTTGATGACTATACACGAGCATTGCCCTTATCTACAGGTCCTCTATTACGGTGCCAAAAATTATCCTTCAAAGAAGATTGATATCCACCCAAATCAAAAAGGAATCAAGTCGGCTCATTTAGGAGGAGAATACACAGAAGACCTTTTCATGCAAGGTGATCTGGTGGAATTCCTATACATGCATCGGAATTTATTGGAATCGGTCGGATTTAGTGGTGAATTTGAAGCAGATGATTCCCTTTGGAAATTGGTGGATGGGAACGTAAGTACGGCAAAGGGATGATCATTATGATGTTTATGTACTTAAAGTGACCCAGCGTAGTCAGGAGTGTGATGTTTGGTAATAGAAAATGGATAACAATGAAAAGTACGTTGA